ACTTTTACTTTCGGTACTTTCGGTGCATCTGTTTCATACCTAAAATTTCACACACTAACACACATAATCCAATAGGGAACTGCTTCTCTGTACCGAAAATTTCTGTTCACCTAACCTAGCCTTTTGCTCTCATACCGAAAACATTGAGACCGAAAATTTCTGAAATTAGAGTATGTTCAATTGCTTTAAAAGCACACCCAGTGCTGGTAGATTCCAAATAACCCCACAAATGCCAGGGAAAAGTTCTCACTTTCCATGTCTGTACCCAGAACACATTCTGTATGTCAAAACGCTTGCAGTGTCACGCAGAGTTGTGCTGTGCACCATAGACGCAGCTTTTGCTGACGCTTAGCTGGCCAGTACCGCTTGTTCATGCACACTGAACTGACCAGCACTGTGTACAGTGAACTTTGAATTTCACCTTGCTAACTTCGAATTATAAGCAGTAATCACAATGTGCTGGTAACCGTAGGTTTTATGGGAAATCCAATGATTCATGATTACCTAAACAACTAACTTCGCCATGGGCAAACTTTCATGTACAGTCAACTTTGCTAATAACGACTGCGGATATAACGACAATTCGCGAATAACGACAGAATTTCCATGCCCAGAGCAAAGTCCCATCCCAATGTAATACATATAATGAGACTTCGGGTGTAACGACACTTCGCGAATAAGGACACCTTTTTGATGCCCCGCCGAGTGTCGTTATACGCGAAGTTGACTGTATCGTGAATCAGGAGTTACACATTGTGTTTGATGTACGCTCTTTAAAAGTAATAATAAAGCGTTGATGCTACACAACTGTGCATGTGTCACAGAGAATGAATTGCCGCACACACACACACCACACACACCACACACACACACACCACACACCACACACACACACCACACACACACACACACACACACACACACACACACACACGCACACGCACACATGTAGAGGGGAGATTTGTGGGTGTCCAACCATAGCTATGGCCAGGACATCCCTGTATTTGCTTTTGGATAATGCAAGCCATGGCCCTTGTGTGTGTGTGTGTGTGTGTGTGTGTGTGTGTGTGTGTGTGTGTGTGTGTGTGTGTGTGTGTGTGTGTGTGTGTGTGTGTGTATGTGTGTGTGTGCCAGCTAGTCCGGTTGGTGGGTACACTTATGCCTGATTGTGTTGGGTCTGCTGCCAACAGGCTCGGCTGCTTGAAGGTGTATTGTTGTATCTGCCACCTTTGTTGGTTTCAGGTTACTTTCTATTTGAAGTATACATACCTGTTAACCATGGACTGCTTCTGGCTAGATAAACTCTTGTGTAATCAATGATACTAGTGACGCTTAGATCAGATCCACTCTGATTTAGCCACCCACACTAGTAGCAAGTATTACCTTCACTGGGGGCAGGGGTAACTGCAGTTGAATCCCAGGACGGATACCCTGATACCGTCAATCCTTTTTCTGCACCTTGTCCTCACCCACTTACTGAGGTGTGGTGAGCCCATAAGTGGGATCATTTTCAAGTCCACCCAGAGTTTTGGGGATTTCAGGGGGTGTCGGCCGTTGGGCGGTTCAATAGCCAGTTGAGTCATCTTTCCAAGATTCCTTTTGAGTCTCTCTCCCCTCTCCCGGGGAGACCCACGTGACCAGTTTTGGCAGTGAGCAACAAGTACAAGTACAAGTGTGTGTGTATGTGTGTGTGTGTGTGTGTGCGCACGTGTGCGCATGATACATGCGTGATGCATTTCTCGAACTGCTCAGATATTTGGGCAATTGGCTGTATATTTGCTGAGCTGTTGACGGCTGAGCCGATCTTCCACTGCCGTCAGGAGGACATCAAGACTAGCACTCCTTATCATAAAGATCAGCTGGAAAGGATTTTCTCTGTCATGGGGTTTCCCCAAGGTTAGTAGGAGTGTACATGTATGTGTAGTGACTTCGTACATGCATTTTTGTATACATAAATCATTTTTTATAAAAATGGCCCCTGTATATATTTTCACGTGAAAGAAATAAACTTTCTCTTTGGCCCCAACTTCGTTGTGGTCTGGTTGGCCATTGTAGCCGTCATGGTTGACGTAAAACACCATAATTGGTGACCCCTGACACTGCGCTGAGTCGGAGTTGCTGTATGGATGGCATGGAGCAGGCCATCGCGCCTTCGACCTCCGCGGCCCAGATTGAGCAGGCGCCCAAGCCCACGACCTCACCAGCCCACCATCCACCGGTCCGCCGATCCGCCGATCCGCCGATCAACCGCCACGATCTCCTAGCCCGCAGCCGCCTCTGACAAGATCAAGATCCGTCCTCCTCTGTCACGCGTACGTTTCCCTTGTTCTTTTCTCTACTTTCTTTCTCTGGACTGCCTCTGACACGTTCTTCCACCCCTGTCACGCATGTTTCCTCTTTCCCTTTCCTGCATTTTTCTACCTTGTTTCGGACCTTGTGTCCACGTCACATACAACGGTATTCCACATGCAGCGCATATTTTTCTCTTTGTACAGTCTTTCTCTTTGTACAGTGTATTTTTCTTTCCCGTCTTTCCGCTTTGTACGCTTCGCTCACTCTTTCCTTTCCTTTCCAAGATTTTTTTTTTTCCGTTTGGCGTTCTTCAGCAACTGCTCTCGATCTCGGCTTCATCTCTGGTGGGGGTGTAATGTAGTGACTTCGTACATGCATTTTTGTATACATAAATCATTTTTTATAAAAATGGCCCCTGTATATATTTTCACGTGAAAGAAATAAACTTTCTCTTTGGCCCCAACTTCGTTGTGGTCTGGTTGGCCATTGTAGCCGTCATGGTTGACGTAAAACACCATATATGTACAATGAACTGCACACTGTGTGGCTCTGTCACCTACCGGTTACGGTACGTATGTCAGCAATGTTCCTAAGACTCCTGCTGCGGTTTCTGCAAATCCGTGTGTTTCTTTGCGTGTAAGGCACCCACACTGATTCCCCCTCTGCCATTCTGATTCTTCTGGCAGCTGTGCCTTGCTTGTAGTGTGCAAGCAGTTTTTTGTTTTTTGTTTTTTTGTTTTTTGGGGAGGGGTTTCCATCATGCATTCAATCTTGAGATCAACAGCATTCGTCCCAATGCATGGGCAAATGCCGTGGTGTGGGAGTCGTGCTATTTTTGTTGGAGGTTGAGAGTTTGCTGTCAGATAGCAAGTCAGTCTGCCAGAGCAGCGGCGTCCGCCACTCACGATTTCCGCACGCCTAACGTCGAGGTTATTCTCGTTGTCGACTGTTCTTGATATGCGTTGTTGTTTTTGTTTGTGCCGCCTACGAGAGTATAGAATAAATGTTTTTTATGGAGAATGTATCTCATGTGATACCCTGTGTGTGGACCGTCTTGTAGATCGTGAATGGGAAGACATGAAGCTTATGCCAGAGTACAATTCTCTGATGAAGGACTTCAACCGGGAACGCCGTACTAAGTAAGGTGTAAGAAGAAAAGAGGACCAAAGAGCTACAAGTTACGCTACATTATCCACTAACACCACCAGTTACTTTACAATCAGCTCATGTGATAACATTGCACGACACGGGTCTTCATTTCTTCTTATAAATTAATCCTTGGCTCTCCACCCGAGTCTAACTAAGTATTAGTTGTAAACAACCGAATTAGAGAGGTTGCGCATAGCGAAGTTTCGCAGCGTTCGGTGGATCAGGCATTGACGAAAAGGGCTATGAAAGTATCAGTTCATTCAGAGTTTTCGCGAGAGTGGGAACGTCAAGTGTTTCGTAGTACGGGAAATAGGTCTCGACAGTCAGGCATGCACACACTACTAAGTGTACGGAAGTATGCGGGTGCCGTACAATATTGCGTGGCAGTACGGTGATTGCAGCAAAAGTAATTTCCTTGTTTGGGTCTTTTTGCGTCGAAAGTTGACTAAAGTTCGTTGACATTGAGTGCATGCACAGCTCCACTTGCATGTACGGTGGTATAGTGTACTGTATAGTGTACTGTACAGTGTACTGTATAGTGTACTGTATAGTGTACTGTATAGTGTACTGTATAGTGTACAGTATAGTGTACAGTATAGTGTACTGTATAGTGTACAGTACAGTGTACAGTATAGTGTACTGTATAGTGTACTGTATAGTGTACTGTATAGTGTACAGTATAGTGTACTGTATAGTGTACTGTATAGTGTACTGTATAGTGTACTGTATAGTGTACTGTACAGTGTACTGTATAGTGTACTGTATAGTGTACTGTATAGTGTACTGTATAGTGTACTGTATAGTGTACAGTACACTGTACGGGTACTAGTACACTGGGTATACTGTGTATGTAGTACACGGTAGTACGGTATGTTGATGTGAAAATGATTTCACCGATCTTCTGGTTTACTGATTTCGCTTATCCTAAATAACGCCCGGGCCCAAATTGACACCCATGTTCTGGACCTTCACTAACGTTTCCGCCCAGGGCCTTGTTACAGGCTGTGAGTGGATTTCTCATGATATGACTGGGTGGCTGCACTGAGCCCATGGGACTTGCTGGTGTTTCTGTGCCTGTGCTGTTTAACACTAGCTTTCAAGCCAGCAGCCTGAGCAAGTACATGGAGAAATTCCAGGTGAATCGTGATTCGAAAGCATTTCACCTGGTGAGTATTTCAGGCGCTTTTCGGTATCCGTAACATTTCACTGCTAGTTGTCGGAAGTTGGTGTGTAGTGTGTACTGGATGGTGGGTGTTGAAGCGCATTGGCAGTGTGGGCTACAGTCCATTCATCGGAAACAGTCCCACTGGCTTTTGAAAGTCCGATTTGTGCCGAATTGAGGATCAAAAACCCACTTTAAATCTCAAAAATCTGGGTTCGGGATCTACTTCTCCATATATTTTGCCGTGGCATACCTGTCTTAATTTCGTAAAACCTGGCTGAATTTCTTTTTCCCTGTTCTTGGACTTTTTCCGCCCTCAACTGTAGCAAGGAGTAACTGCACGGGTCACACAATGCAGGATGTACTGTTGTTTTCACAATATCTACAACTATGTGCGGGAGACACCAACAAGTTAGGGTGCCAGTTTCCAATGAATGGACTGTGGTGCAAGCTTGGAACTCTGTATCAGCAACCTCATGTCAAAGTATAGTGTAGATGCAGTCTGAAGACATTGTATTCCCTTTGCAAGTTTACATGTATATGAAAGTTCTCTCAGGACTGGTCTGTTAGTGTCTGTCTGCTGTAGCTGGGTCATCAAATGCTTCGATCTGGATTGTGCTTCGATCTGGATTGTAGCTGTTCGTTTCCGTTTCTTTCTCTGTTATATCTTGCTTCCTGATGCCTTGATCCTGGAGGGTGAAGACGTTCCTGCGGATGCGGGACACTCAATCTAACTCAATCTCACGCCAACTGTGGATTTTTCCCGGCGGTGACAGTCATGTTTGTCTTTCCCTTTTGATCACCTTCAAAACCTTTCTGAATTATCTGGTGCATTTTTCTGAATATTTTTGCAACTATTTGCTGTGTGTGCTTCAATTAGCTGCTGAAAATGTTGACGATGGACCCGTTGAAGCGCGTTACCGCAGAGCAGTGCTTAAAAGATGATTACTTTAGAGACGACCCGCAGCCAGAGAATGAGTAAGCCTGCTGGCCATTGTTGTCTTCTTGTCCTAGGTCATTTGGACAGGGTTTTATGTTGTATTAATGTAGATGTTCCAGTACACACATCAGCATGTCCTTGGTTGCTTTTTACTAAGCAGTGTTCTGTGTCACATTGTACAGTTTTTGCACTACACTACACTGCACTACACTACACTGCACTACACTACACTGCACTACACTACACTGCACTGCACTACACTGCACTGCACAACAGTGCACTGCACAACACTGCATGAGCAGTGTTGCCGATCGCCGGCATTTGCCCGCGTTTGCGGAGGGTGAAGTTCTGTCTCTAGTGCGGATTTGGCGTGAACTGTCCCACGTATTAGAACAATGTCATATTTCTTGAACCTTGGATCTTGTGAAGTTGGCAGTCAAATCAGGTCGAGGTCATGTTTGTCAGCGGGGGTGAAGACAAGCAAAATAGCAGTCAAATCAGGTCGAGGTCATGTTTGTCAGCGGGGTTGAAGACAAGCAAAATAGCAGTCAAATCAGGTCGAGGTCATGTTTGTCAGCGGGGTTGAAGACAAGCAAAATAGCAGTCAAATCAGGTCGAGGTCATGTTTGTCAGCGGGGGTGAAGACAAGCAAAATAGCAGTCAAATCAGGTCGAGGTCATGTTTGTCAGCGGGGGTGAAGACAAGCAAAATAGCAGTCAAATCAGGTCGAGGTCATGTTTGTCAGCGGGGGTGAAGACAAGCAACATAGCAGTCAAATCAGGTCGAGGTCATGTTTGTCAGCGGGGGTGAAGACAAGCAAAATAGCAGTCAAATCAGGTCGAGGTCATGTTTGTCAGCGGGGGTGAAGACAAGCAAAATAGCAGTCAAATCAGGTCGAGGTCATGTTTGTCAGCGGGGGTGAAGACAAGCAAAATAGCAGTCAAATCAGGTCGAGGTCATGTTTGTCAGCGGGGGTGAAGACAAGCAAAATAGCAGTCAAATCAGGTCGAGGTCATGTTTGTCAGCGGGGGTGAAGACAAGCAAAATAGCAGTCAAATCAGGTCGAGGTCATGTTTGTCAGCGGGGGTGAAGACAAGCAAAATAGCAGTCAAATCAGGTCGAGGTCATGTTTGTCAGCGGGGGTGAAGACAAGCAAAATAGCAGTCAAATCAGGTCGAGGTCATGTTTGTCAGCGGGGGTGAAGACAAGCAAAATAGCAGTCAAATCAGGTCGAGGTCATGTTTGTCAGCGGGGGTGAAGACAAGCAAAATAGCAGTCAAATCAGGTCGAGGTCATGTTTGTCAGCGGGGTTGAAGACAAGCAAAATAGCAGGATAATCTACAGTTCTATCACCTTCAATTCAACCCCAGAAAATAGAACACATCATCAGTACAAAGTACCGGTAGGGTGGAAATCTCTTGGCAACAAAGTACAAGCGCTTCATTGTCTGACTTCAGCACGTGTGTGTGTGTGTGTGTGTGTGTGTATGTCTGTGTCCGTGTGTGTGTGCGTGATGCGTGCGCACATGTGTGCATGCGCATACGTGTTCTCCCTATGCGTTTGTGCATGCATGCACCTAATATCTAGAGGCTCAATATCTGAGTGTGCATGGCTTTGCAGGCGTACAATTTCTTGTACGAGTATGTGCTGCCACGGTTGCCTTGGCGTGGTGGGTTCTAATTCTGTCTTTACATGTATGTTTCTTGGACTCCTTCAGTGCATTTCATGGAATGAAGATACCTTACCCGAAACGGGAATTCCTCAATGAAGACTCCGACGACAAAGACAAGGTACACTATACTAGCTGCGAGTGTGTGCATGTACGTGTAGTGGAGGAGAGGGGGCTAGGGGGGATGGAGTCTTGTTTGGTCATGTCAGCATCAGCACGGTGAAACCTTGGTAGAACGCACTGCCAAAAGCCAAAAGTGCCTCGAAAACCTGTGCTGTAAAGGTTGGTTACTGGTTGTTTGATGACTGCCCTTTGGCTTGAACCAACTGCTCGTTCTTCTGTCTGTGGATACAGTAGAATTACAATGCAACTGGCCCCGTAGGTATTAGTGTGCTTAGTATCCGAGGTATTTCTCATCCAAACATACTTCAGTATGGATCAATACAGCCGCACTTACTGAGATGTGGTGAGCCCATAAGTGGGATCATTTAATTCATTTTCAAGTCCACCCTAGAGTTTGGGGATTTCAGGGGGTGTCGGCCGTTGGGCGGTTCAATAGCCAATTGAGTCATCTTTCGAAGATTCCTTTTGAGTCTCTCTCCCCTCTCCCGGGGAGACCCATGTGACCAGTTTTGGCAATGAGCAAGTACGAATAGTGTGTGTGTGTGTGTGCGTGCATGCGTGTGTGTGTGTGTGTGTGCGTGCGTGCATGCGTGCATGCGTGGGTGTGCGTGCGTGCGTGCGTGCGTGTGTGTGTGTGTGTGTGTGTGTGTGTGTGTGTGTGTGTGTGTGTGTGTGTGCTCTGTAATTTGCAATGTAACGTTATAACTTATAAGTACATTATGTTACAGGCAAGAATTCAAAGTCGGATACACGTGCACAGGCACACTCTCCGAACGCAAATGGGACAACACACCATTACTAGACGTTCTGGATTTCTCCTTGCAAAACACTTCAACCATATAAACTGGCATAACTGAAAGAAAAAAAGGAAGTATAAAGGGCCAGAAGAGGCACAGCGCGCTTGCGCCACAACATACGTACACGCGACACAAAAGGCATCATAGTGCGAGCATGACTCATACTCATAGTCGTAGCACAATCATACAGCACAGCGCAGTTGTACAAGCGCATAATCGCGGGTACAAAGGGTTTTCAAAAATACAAATAATTTATCATGAGAGCAGCTCGAACAACTACACGTTCAAAGCGGAAACATAATAGAAGAGAGACGGAGGAGCAGAGTAGAACGCGATTAGACAGAAAGAGAATTATTAATGTGGATCTTGCCGTCCTTGCCAGGATACACACTCTCCACGATGCCACTATGGTGCTGTCTAATAGGCTCAGCGTCAGCAATGCCAGGCGGCTGCCGCGGGTGAGTGGCTTGCCCTGCTGCAGCGCGGCGAGTTCTTCAGGGAACGACTGTTGCTGTACGTTCTCCCACCAGAGCTGCTGGGCGTGTCGGAACTCTGATGGCAACAGTTCTCTTCAGGGATTCATGGGTTTCTTGGCGACTCTAGCCTTCAGGCGCTTAACGAAGCGAGTCACCCGGGCTGTGGTGCGAACCAGACGCATCCATGATAGAAACCTGGTGATATCGGGGAGCGCTTGATGCGGGGACTTCGCAGCGACAGTGGCTCCGCAGAACTCTCGCTTCAGCTCCGGGTCTGTGTTCTCTGGCTCCACTTCAGGAGCGGCGGATGGCCAACTAGCTAGTTGGTTGCGCAGAAAGTCGGGCCCTTGAAGCCAACGTGTCAATTCAACGATATCCATGACTGGTACGCCGCGGGAGAGGTCATCGGCTACGTTGTCGGCGGTGGGTACCCAGCGCCAGCTGGACTCATTGGTCAGCTCCTTGATTTGCGTGACGCGGTGTGCCACAAACGGCTTGTAGCACCTGGCATCAGCTCGTATCCAGCTCAGGGCGGTTTGAGAGTCGGACCACAGACTGGACTTGCAGCAGTGGAAGCTGTGATGCTGCTGAACAGCTGACGATAGACTTGGGCCCAGAACGGCAGCTTGCAGCTCGAGTCTAGGGATGGACAGTGAATTGAGTGGTGCTACTCTGGTCTTCGCCGTTACTACTGATGTTGCAACGAACCCATCGCTCAACTGAAAGCGCCAGTATGAGGCAGCACTGAACACTTTCTCGCTTGCGTCGCAGAACGTGTGTTGCTCAAACACTGGTAGCGTCAGCAACAGCTAGTGAGTAGCAGCGTGGGATGTTGACCTTGCAAAGAGATTGCAAGTCTTGGCACCATTCATCCCACCTGACCTTGATAGAAGCGGGCAGCTCATCGTCCCAGCCGATACCAGAGCACCAGATGTCCTGTTATAGTCCGAACGGATCAAACACCGCCATGACTACTGAGAGCTTGCCGCTTGGTCATGGACTTTCCTGGGCGGTTGATCTTTGCTCCTGCTGGCTGGACTCGTAGCGAGTCCGTCGCTGTGTCCCAGCGCAGGCCAAGCGTTCGTTCAACGGCATGGGCATGCTCAACGTCAAGGTCAACAGTTGTTGTGTTGGCTCTTAGCGCTTCTGGTACAGAGCCTCCGTCCTGGTGAATGCGGATGACGTCAGCAGACAGTGAAGTGGCTTCTTCAACGGTGTCTGTGGAGTCGAAGTAGTCGTCCATGCAATGATGCTCAACTATGGCAGTCTGCAGCCGAGGCGACGTCTGCGGGTGGCTCCGAGCATTGTGGTTCTTGACGAACATTGCCGACGAAGGGGACGATGTCACGCCAAATGTCATAGATCTCATCCTGAAGACAGGTGGTTGACTCCGATCGGTCCGCCACAGGAACCGTTGGCTGTCTCGGTCAGCTTCACAAATCTGTACCGGGTGGAACATTTCGGCAATGTCGGCACCGAACGCAATACGCCGCTCCCGGAAACCGAACAGAACAGTTGGCAGTGGACGGAGCAGGTCTGGCCCGGAGAGTAGCGCATCAATAAGGCTCCTTCCACCTGTCTTTGACGCTGCGTCAAAGACCAGTCTCAACTTTCCGGGTTTATTCGGATTCCTCACGTCAGGTGGTGCAGGTGGAGCGCACAATCGGCGGACTGGCTTGCGGGACCTGACCCAATGTCTGGTGCAGTGCTTGCTCAGTCATGGCCAGCTCGGACCCCGCACGATATAGCTGTTGTTGGAGGTGCAGCTCCCTAGCACCTGGTGAATCACCGAGGCTCGTCATAGGTGCGGTCATAAATGGGGTTGCCTTCCCGTTCAGACGGATTACCGGAGCTGGCGCTGATTGGCCTACAGCTGGAGCTGGTGCTGACTGGCTTACAGCAGGAGGCAGAACATACTGTGAAACAGGCTGGCCAGCTGAAAATGCGACGTGATGGCTGACAGGCTGCTGGAGAGCACTGGCTGCCGGGGCGGCTACACTGCATGTGTGCTCCGCAGGGTGCAGAATGCCTGGTGGTGATGACACTGGTGTCAGTGGGACATCGTGACCAGTGGTGGGCTCCCACTCTCCCAGTCCCAGCCTATCTGGGGGGTATGCCGGCGTTTGTCCTGCTGCTCCGACGCAGCTCCTGGTCAGACAGTATGACACTACTAGACCAGGGAACACGATAACGGTCGGACATCGGACATTTTCCGACCATTTTCGATTCGAATCCGGCGCTTTTTTTCTTGAACGGACAATCTGTCCGATCGAAATAATTCAGAAAATAGCGTCGCTGGGAAAGAGAACGACTGAGGACAATGGCGGTCTGCCTGGGAAGAAGTCTCACGAAGTCGGAGCAGCAACCTGTGACAAGAGGGTTTTACCGCATGACAGGAAGCTGTCCACTTCAGGGTAGCTCCAGTTTGAGCGTAGCAAACGATCGAGAAGGAGTTTTGAAATGAAATTTTTTCTTCGCTTTCTCGCTACAATAGGAACTATTCCGCGAGACCCTTGCACAATCCGAAATATTGGAAACGTCCGTGTTCCAGGTAAACAAGGCGTCAGAAATGTACCAGCTCGCGATATGCCTCTATTGAAAGGAGCAGTCTTCTGCCAACCCGGTCAAGTACGCTCCTGTTGCACAGGCGCTGTGCAAGATCGACGGAGCAGCAGCAGCAAAAGTTACTAGTAGTCAGAAGTTCAACGTCGCGTAGAAACTACGTACTGTTCAAAGAGCACATTGCGTTTGCAAATATGGGAGCCTTCAGCCAACTTGAGTAGTGACATGTTGTCGATCTTGGAGCTGGCAACAAGAAGTTAGAACGGACAAGCAGGTGCCCACTTCATCTTTTGTCAACTGCGTAAAAATGAATGTCTTTGATCTAAAGTAAAGTAAAATTTGCACGTCCGCGTTACCACCGGCTATACGCGTTGAGAAACACAACCAGCTTCTTGATCTGCTGCTGAAAAACCAGCTCACATCCGAAATGTGCAAAAACAGTGCACGCTCATATCCCAGTTCCTATGCTTGCTGCAAAACGCACAGCAATTTGAATCAGTGTTACAATACTTAGATCTGGGTGATGATCATACTTTTAATGTGACCAGCAACACCGCAGTGTGATGTAGCATGACTGTACATCTATGTGTGCATTATGCAGTGGTGAGTGCCAGACTTGTAAACAAATCACAGTGTCCGGCCAAGTCCGACCGGTTCCAGAAGTGGCAGGACATTGTGTCAGAGCAATTTCGAAACCTTATCGTGTTCCCTGTAGACAGTTACTGAAACTGCGGACTAAAGCTGACAACAACGAAACAAACAAACTGACACTACGAAAGAAGACTGTACTGAAGCTAGGTTGAGTCGGAGTAAGGCTCGAAGGACCAATATGCGTAGACTCCAGTGAGTGCGTTCGATTATGCTCACGAATCGATTCACGAATCGGTTCGCGCTATTCACATCACCCCATGTGAATAGGGTGAATGGATTCCGAATCGATTCCAGGGCTCATGACATGAAAATCGAACGACTTGAATGCATGCAAATGGATTCATGAATCGATTCAAGTGCGTAATCGAACGCACTCGCTATAGCTATCCTTGATAAAGAATATAGTTGTCTATTAACTCTCTTCTTTTTCATGGATTGGTGTAGCCCAGAGACCGTTTGAAGAGTGTTGTGAGGATGTGTATCGTTATAACATTATGAGCACTTCAAGAAAGATACACATTTACTGACAGATTCTGAAGTCACCACATTATCCCTTTCGAAGAGCACACATGCAATCAAGCAAAAAATGAGTGGCATGAGCCACAAATCTCTAGGGTCGATTGAGAGAAGAAAGAAATGCAGACAAAAGGGGGAAATGTTCACTGTACTCTTGGTACTCTATCTATTCTGTAGTGTGAAGCTAAGCTACTCGCCTGATTTTGGAACATCATTGGCCCAGTGTATGGACTGTGCTCGTACCTCCTGTATGTTAGTCCCCATCCCGCCGGCTGTTCACCATGGAAACATGTGTGCTCTCAGTCCCTATCCCACTCGTGGTGTGCACTGCAAGCATGTGTGCTCTTTTCTCTACTCCTCTGCTTTCAGAAGGCTTGGTTCTAAATGTCTAATCCGTATACATGTACATGCATGATGTGTGCTGGTTTGCAGAAAAAGCCGGCCAAGAAAATCACGGTGGCCGCGTCAAGCGATGCGCCGCCAGCCAAGAGGGCGTGCACGGATCCATCCATGGTGTCAGCTGCTGGACGACAGGTTAGTGTCACAGTGAAAATAGAGGATCTGAATGATCAATGCATGGTGCTATACTAGTACTGGTATTTTTAATTGCTTATCTGAGCAGCCTCGTGGCCTGGCACGAGGGTAACATGGATGCAGCTAATGGGACTTCGGTCTTTGACCACTTGGTGGTGGGTCTGATCTACTCACCTCCCACCGTTTAGGCGCTGCATCTGCGCCTTTGATCCTAGAGGGTGGTGGCGTTCCCACGGCGGATGCGGAAAACTCGGCTTCCAGCCGAGTCTCACGCGAACCGTGAAATTTATTTATTTATCTGAGCAGCGGGCACGGGGTCTTAGTATCACTCCTGCTGAGAAATGAAATCCTCTCGTTGATTGTATTGTGCACATTTCCGGGGTGGTTGTTATAGTTGTTTGCCATGTCCAACACACCACTGGCAGTATGCTTGATAGACTCTCGCCGGCACGCATGTGCTGGACAGCTGACCAGAAGTGCGATCTGCTGTGTGTTCTTCCTGCTCTCTTGCCCGCTGCGCATAGGCATATGTGTCTGGAACTTCGTCGGGAACGCATGCTCCGATGATGCAGTATCAGAAGGCCTCTCAACAGCAGCACGCCCAACATGCCCAGCAGCTACAGCATCAGGGCCTGGCACACTTTCCCGACAATCAGTATGCTATTGGACATGCTCATGCTCAGCAGCAGCAGCAGCAGCAGCAGCAACAGCAACAGAAAAGGCACTGGTAGTAGTATTGATGGACACGGCAGTCTGGATATTCTGTGCGCCTGTTGATACCACTCCCTATCTCTAAGGCGCACGGTCAGTTGGCATGTGTGACTACAGGTGAAGATCTGCATTGTCATCTCAAGTGAGTGGGGCTTTACACTGGCACTTTCTTACTTAGATCATACCGAGCTCACACGTGCTGCTATTCTCACTTCGCAAGATCGCTTTCTTCTGACTCCCTGTGCGTGTGAGGCTGCGGAGGCGCCCATCTGTCTCGTAATTATGAGGATTTACTCTGGCCAGTATATCTTTTTGCGAGCTTCATCATACCCCGGACGCGATCCCGAACTCCGTGACAGAGTGTTTTCCCTGCTGACTTCACTAGTTGATTGTGCCGTATTCGGTCTCTTGATTTTTGCCAGACCAGTGATCCTGCTCCTGATTTCCTTTTTCTTTCGCTAGGAGAATGGGATTCTGAATGGGATTCGTTGAAAAGCCGCACCCTCTGTGAACTTGTGATGAACTCCTTTTGCCTCATTGGAACGCATAAGTACACATTTCTCCAACTTCACTGTGTGTAGCACCGCTTTTTGATGCAGCGCACGCACGCAAGTCACCCATACCTGCACATGTCGTGTTGCACAGCCATATTATAGTTAGAACTTAAAAGACATCCTTTTAAAATGTTCTCATCATTTTCAAATTTGCCTAGATACTATTTTCGCACAATAACTATTCCAGGATGTATTCGACATTCGTGGTACACATAATCCCAGTGTATTGTATTTGTTTTTATTCTACATCGCAAGTCAAACGGACAATCATGTCCAATGTTATGATGACGATGTTTTGTAGTGTTGATGTACTCCTTGCACCCCTGACTGCAGTATTCACAGTCTACTTGCTGTAGACTTAGGTTGGGCACTACTTCTTATCTCTCCCATAAAACCTTTTTTTTAGAGGCACCATTTGCACAGTGGTTGAACCGTACTTTATCTTATCGCCCCATACTCTTTTTGTTTCATTCACAGCCTTTGCTGGTCATCTTGTTGGCTGTCCTTGTTGATAAGTGAAATGTACACGTCCTGCCTGTAGTTGTTTGGTTACTTTTGTTTGGAGTTGACCTCCATGACGTGTATTCACTCTCTTGTCTCTCATCTTGTTGACATGTGCTCTTATCTTTTGTGTGAGAAATATAATACAACTGAAGGAAAGGTGCTGTGAATCTATTCTGGCGTACGTAACCGTCTTGATAGCTTGGCAGCAAGGTACAGGTTCATGTCTCACTAGTGCACTGGCCCTCTGGGCAATGTTTGAACCTACATGTGGTATACTTTTGAATTCTTCATTCTCACGATGCCACCATCGCCAATAAGAGGTATACTTATTCTCATTGTTGTTTTTAGTACTGCTGCATGACATCAGTTACAGTTTCACTCTGACATGTAATTCCATTTCACTGGCTACACAATATCAAGAGTACTTCAAAGTATTTATTATAATCATTATGTAGATCTACTCTTGACAATATCTAGGTTTGAGTGGGGCACTCTCGTGGTGCACGTACAGTGTAGAGTGCTCACACGTGTGAGACAGGACCAGGCACGCCATGAACCGCCCCCCCCCCCCCCCGCCCCCGCAGGACGCACACACCAACAATAGATCAACATAATATTCTGCGAGTTAATACAGTCATGTTGACTGACTGTCGGGGTTGAAACATGAAAGAGAGGGGTACGCACACACAAACAATAGATCAACACAATAGTATTCTGTCAGACAAGACGAGATAAGACGAGACTGACTGTCGGGGTTGAAACATGAAAGAAAGGGGTGAGTTTTTTGAAGCCCAGCTTACAAAACCACTATCATGAAATATTTAAAATAAAAAACAGCAAAAACATGGGAAGAGCACTAGTGGCGTATCGAAGGCTATAGCGGAAAACCAAATCATTTACTAAAGGTTCACCCCATAAACACAAACAAGATGAGCACCTATTTAGAGCCGGGCTAGATGGATGATGGGTTTGATTTTTCAGTTTTCGTACATGGTCGTGAGTTGCATGAGAAATATGTTGGATGAGCAAATCCTCTAGCACAGCTGGGTCAACAAATGTAAGGAATAAGAAAAAAAGAGAAAAATTTCAATGGAGGGTATCACAGCACTGAGAGACTCCACTGCATGCAACACACGGTAACAAAACAATGAAGTTGTTTCTACGACGAGGGGACGGCAGAGTCTGCCCCCGCGAGTTCAGCTGCCAGCGGTGAAGCATCATTCAATTCTGCTTTCGAAATAGTGGCATCTACAGGGACTTCGGCAGCCGCAGACTCATTTGCGGGCTTCTGCGGCGCGAGGAGCTTTTCCGCTTCTGCACTGGACAGTGGAAAGATGGACTGCAACTGTTGCTGCAGTTCGACAGTACCCTGGGCACTGCTCTGCAATAATTCCTGTACCTGCTGAGCAACGGAAGCTTGCTGTTGCAGAGGAACCTGGGACGTGCCAGCCATGCTATCAGTGCCTGCCAGAATACTCTGTAGGAGGCTGGGCACGGGATCAAGAGCAGCAGTACCTGTGCCACCGGTGAGAGAAACACCAGGAACAGTCGGCATCTCAAATGGATACGGGAATGGTGCTTGCAGGGAGGAGAGAAATGACTGCTGGTTTTGCACTGGGGGATTGGAATCAGATGCAGCATGTGCAGCTGCCACTGCAACAGTAGTGCTCGTAACAGCAGTGCTGGCTGACGCTACAGAAGCACACATAGGGTTATCAGAGGGCTCGGTGTTGGTCTCTTGTTGGGTGGTGTCCATGGCTACAGGCTCGGTTTCGCGTGACATCAGAGATGAGGTTGGCTTGTCGGAGAGATCAATAGAGGTTTCAGGCTGTGTCCCGGCCGGAGTAGATCCACTCTCGCCCTGTTGCTGCTGCTGTGTGCCAGCACAGGCGAGTAATGCGGCATCTGGCGGACTGCCCGTTAGACAATCTTCTCTTACAACAATAGTAGGTGTTACCGAGTCAGCTGAGCTCGCAGTACTAGCAGCTTCGCATGCCTCGGCGGCTGCAGCTGAAAGAGTGCTGTTAGTGGACGCAAGATCCTGGCCGCCCAGTACACTGGCTGTACTCACCACGCTCTGCACTGCAGTCTGGCCAGACTGCTGGTTGAAAACGCCGGACTGAGCGGACAAGGCCTCCTCCTGCGCAGACGGGGTCATCAGTGGTGTGTTTCCGAGGGATGAGAACGGATTGGGAACAAGTGAGTAGCCTATTGGTGTCGGAATTGCAATCATATTATGATTGCTTGGCGTCATCAAGAGACTGTTCAAGTTCGCACTGCTTGCAGGTGCCAACACAGATAGTGGACTACTGGCAAGTGGGGTAGAGCTAACAGAGCCAACAAGCGATGGTGTAGCTGCACATGAACTACTTGAAACTTGAGCATCAATCCCTGTCATCGTCGTATCGCTGACGCACGGTGGATCAGCTGTCTGCTCAGCCTTGTCACATCTAGTAGCTTCTTCAGGATTGGCCTCTGCAAGCGCAGTGGCATGCGCGATTGCTGCCGTGGCTGCAGCCGACGGTGTAGAGGTACCTTCAGCATGCGATCGCGCATGGCGCAACAGCTTTGCGGAGCCCAGGAACGCTTTGTAGCACAGCTTGCAGCGATACGGATTATTGGAGCACATGCGTGAATGGCGGTCACGGACAACTCGTGTTGGAAATCGTTCAGTACAGTATGCACACTTGGGATCTGGCGATTGCGTCTTCTTGTTCTTCGCCATCTCCTGCGCCTTCAGACTCGACACCCGTGACCGTGAGTGAGATCGGATGTGGCGTTCCAGCTTGACCATCCCAAGGCAGGCCTTTTGACAGATCATGCACCTATACGGGTTACGCGCGCACTCACGCGCATGCTGGTCACGAGCCGCGCGAGAAGCAAAGCGCTGGTCACAGTATGCACACTTTGGATTAGCCAAGTAGGGAGCATCTGGGTTACGCTTCTTCTTCGCCTTGATGCCAGCGTGGGCAAGCTTGTGTGAACGCAGCGATGACGGGTCAGAGTATGTCTTGCCACAGTCTTCAAAATCGCACTGGTACGGCTTTTCACCCGTGTGCCCGTTCATGTGCACCTTCAGGTGAGATGCTTGCGTGAACTCCTTACTGCAGATAGTACACTGGAATGGTCGCTTGCCGTTGTGCATGAGAGAGTGTCGCTGCAGTCCACCAGGTGATACAAACACTTTGGAGCAGCTCGGGCACGAATACGGATTCATTGTACATTCGCCGCGCATGTGACGCCTGCGCACAGCCTGCGTTGCTGGGTACGGCAGGTCTGCTTGGCAAAACGAACACTTCCCAGGCCGCTTCTCGCTCTGCTGGCTGGACGATGCAAACGGATTGCCGTTGCTGCTGTTACTTGTGCTGCTGTGTGATCGCTTGACGTGGCGACGGAGACCAGATGCCATCGGGTAAGTTTTGTTGCAATGTGGGCAAGGGAAACCAGCCGGAGTAGCATTCTGCGCCGCAGCTGCCAGCATTTCAATGCCTGGCGTCAAGTCAGCTTGTGCCGCCTGTATTAGCTGCGAGATGCCGGACATGCCGTCAGCTTCCGCCTGAGACGCAGACAGCGCATTCAGGTCAGAAAGACTCGACGTGTCCATCTCTTCTGTTTCACTCATTTCATTGTCCGCATCATCACCACTACTGCTGTCCTCATCGTCATCATCATCTGAGCCCATACCTGGACTCGATTCGAGAGACACACTGGACGGATGCAGCATTTTGTCAGTGAATAATGGGTGTGCAGAAACTGTTGACGTGGAAACTGGCATGCATGTATACTGCACGCCAGCCGCAATCTGACTGGTTGTTGCTACTGCTGCCGACGCCGAAAATGATGAAAATAACTGTGGGATGACCAGGCCAGGAGGCACTAAGCTGGATGCGATACCACTATATGTAACAGCAGTTCCATCTGGACATGCTATTGTTTGTACACTATTCACTTGCGATACTGCAGCTGCGCCACTGACTATTGGTCCGGACAGGTTTACAGGAGCAGAGCAGGCTGACGATGTAGCAGCCACTGCCACCGGACATCGCGCATTCTGGACATTCTCTGATGCCCGGGCAACGCGCCCCGCATTGTCTCCTCCATCACTGCTGTTGCCCTCATTGAGTTTGTTCTTGTCAGTCGAGCCATCAGTTGAGGAGTGACCAGGAGAGTTGTAATAATCAACGCTCTGGCCCAGGTCTTGTGATGGACAGTCAACGACACTGGAATACTGGCACGCTACATCCCCAGAAATCTTCTGCACAACTACATTTTGCTCCGCAGTTCGCGTGGGCGGTGGATCAGCTGCAGACACAAAGAACGGCATACAAATAATTGAGGATAAGTTATGTAATTGTAACTCAACGCTCGGCGAGCACTACACCACAGGCTGGTGCTCGTGACATAGAAATCAGATTCCTAAAAACAAAAACAAAAGTGGAAAGTATTAGTTGTATCCACTCCCCAGACCCAGTCCAAGACTCTACAGCACGCTGGTGTTCAAAATCAAAGAGAAACCAAGTTCACATTGGCATGATTGCACAAAATACGATAGACACAATGCCGATGTTCTTCATGTGGTGTGGCAGCGGGTAGCAAAACTCAGGAAATAAGCAAACAGGAGACAGGTCGGACCACAGCATCACACGAAATATTTACCTTGTGGAGCTGGGCATGACCTCGATTCCTCCGTTTCTTTCACAAATGTGGGCTCTCCAGATGGCGTCTCATGCGCTCTTTCCCCTTTCAAGTCCTGAATTGAGGGCAAAGCAGAAGGGAGCCTTGGATCCTCCATGGCGCAGGCTTCTTGCTGCCCTGGCTCTCCTCGAATCGATGACGCCCCAAGTACTGCGGCCATGCGCCAAGCCTGTGAGGGCTGCAAAGACGGACGGCCACAACATGCGCGTGCGACGAGTACGTGAGGCTTGGAACGGCGCCCGGCGAGAAAGCAGCTCTACAAGCTCTGCCTGTGTGTGTGTGTGATCGGCCAAACCAACACCCGGGTCGTACCAGATCTACTGGCACTGTAGCGCTGCATGCATGCAGTCTAGACTGTAGACTGAGAGTGTGGCGTAGCGTGCATGCATGCAGTCGTTGCGCAAAGCTGGCCAGCTAGCAGCTGAGCTACGTCTCTGATCTGCTCAGCTGACCAGATGAGCGGTACATCATGCATGCATGATCCATTATTTTTATTTTTTTGCGCGGTGGTGACGCGTAGACCTACTGTACGTGATCGTGAAGCTTCGAAGATGCGCATCGATTATGCGATGTCAGTCAAAAGTTGAAAAGTGAGCTCGAGTCAATGAAATCATTTGCTGTGTTTCTTGCCAAACCTGTACGGATCCGATCGGACTGACCTTCAGCTTCTTGCGACGAATGTCATGAAGTCTGCTTCACTTCAGTCATGTACGTAGCTTTTAGCAAGTAAGTAGTTAGTTAGTTCAAGTAGCTTTGTAGTCTATCATTCTTTTGTGTTCTGTGTGAGTCTGACCTGTAGACCGTAGCCTAGGCTGTAGGTCTACTGTCTGTGTAGACTGTAGACTGAGTCTGTACGCATTCACCTTGTTCACGCTGAGCTGAGGCCATCAGGAGTCGTGAGGACCAGGGAGTCGTCAAGTATTTGACGACTCCCTGGTGAGGACCCAGGACCGATCGTGCGCGTACACGGCCGGGTGCGTCGAACGAGTTACCATGGTTACGTAGATCTACGATCGAGTCGATCGAGTGCGACGGGGCCAAAGCCGCGATGACTGCATACACTGAGGGACTCAGATCAGACAGCTCATGTCATGACAGGAGTCATCAAGTTATCCGAGACTCAGGGGCGTCACGTCAGGGCATGTTCGATTGAAACTCAAGGTCCGAAATACAGTAAAGTGTCAGGTTGACTCTGAAGGATCCGACGGATCTGGATCCCGATCCTGGCACAGGTCACCCGGAAGGGTGAAAGTCGAGATCTACTCATCGCGCGCGTCGTACGAAAAGTGAACAAGAGTATCTCCATCCACGTGTGTACGTACCACAATGTGTGCAAAAATGATTTTTACCCCGCGTCATACGCACAAAGGTCACATTTGGATCCGTTGGATCCGGTCAACCGCCTGCTCCCCGCGGTGGGTTTACCGGATCCAAATCCAAAGGATCCGGATCTGGATTCGACCACTGAATCAAAAGGGTGCGAATCCAGTGCCGGGATCCGGTTGATCTGGATCCCGATCCTATCCTACCAATCGCACATGCCCTCAGTCAGCAAATCAGCATATTGCACATATTATTTTATGGTAAAGAAGAAAGGACCAAGAAACTACAAGTTACGCTATAAAATGTCCCGGCACTAACACCACCAGTACTAAACAATCAGCTCGTGCGATAACATTGCACGACCGACTGACCGACGGTACTGGCGTTCTACAACTAACTGGCTAACAGCTCTAGCACATCTTCGATGTACACTCCAACAGCCTTCCAACTTGGAAATTTTGAAGGTCACAAGTTATAGAAATAACACGAGGAGGCCGGGGAAGGTGAGTCTAAGTTATAGAAATAACACGAGGAGGCCGGGGAAGGTGAGCGCAACCAAGACAAGCACGAGCTGAAAGTCTCAGCTTTGAAGGACGTTGGCGGATGTTCATGCATGTCGATGACAATACTGGCAAGCAGAAGTGACCACTGGACAATACGGTCAAACCACGGTTCGAGGACGCAAAGCAACATTCCACACAACTTGTGTGGCTCAAAGATGCGAAGATCAATAAAAGGTTGTTATCTATAACTTAGAACCTTCCAAGTTGGAAGACTGTTGGAGTGTGCATCCAAAATGTGCTAGAGCTGTTAGCCAGTTAGTTGTAGAACGTCAGTAGCGTTGGTCAGTCGGTCGTGCAATGTTACTCGCATCAGCTGATTCACTGGTGGTGTTAGTGGACATGATAGCATAACTTGTAGTTTCTTGGTCCTTTTTCTTTACTATAAATTTATTCTTGGCTCTCCATCCGAATCCATATTATTTTATGCACAGTTGTTGTTTCATTTATTTTGCAGAATCCAAAAATATTAATATAAATGCCTTGCAATGGGCAGGCAGCGTGGGAGCGAATGAGTTTTGTGCGTGTGTAGAAATATCATAGAAGCAATCAGCAGGGTTAGTAACTCACTTACCGTATAAACTAAGACTAAGTAAGAGACCGAGGGCTGATACGAGGAGGTGAAGTACAGAATTATTTGGAATTTGGAGACATCCGTGTTCACTGACTGTGAGTGTGAGTCACTCAGTCTGCACATGCGGCTAGCCGCACAGCACATGACTCGGCATTTCTCTTGTCAAATGAATCACTGCCAAATTCGAATGGTGTTTTCGCACTGTGTCTACAACGACACTGATGTATTGACATGTATCTGTGTACACAGTGTACTAGCAAGCAGCCCTCGACCGCGTACCGGCGGTCTCAGTGTACCGGGTCAGTTGACCTTGTGATTGACTCGTTCAAGGCTTTAGTTTAGATAATCATTGCCATTACCACGATTACAAGTACATCATTAGAATCAGTCAGTTTCCCCGCACACAACTATTCTTTTTTTAAATTTTCTATTTAATGCCGCTATGAATGGACTCGGATGGAGAGCCAACTTGGGATAAATTTATAGAAAAGAAAAAAGGACCAAGGAAGTACACGTTCCACAATAATGTCCACTAACACCACCAGTTACTAGACAATCAGCTCATGCGATAACATTGTGGCACATGTACATCCGCCAGCGTCCTTCACGCTGGCTGAGACTTTCAGCTCGTGCTTGTCTTGGTTGCGCCCACCTTCTCCTCCTATGTGATCATTATAACTTAGAACCTTCCAAGTTGGAAGGCTGTTGGAGTGCGCATCCAAGATGTGCTGGAGCTGATAGCCGGTTAGTTGTAGAACGTCAGTACCGTCGGTCAGTGTCGTGCGATGTTATCGCATGAGCTGATTGTTTAGTAACTGGTGGTGTTAGTGGACATTATGAACAAAATAGTCTGAGCATTCATACTTCAAACACACAAGGCAAGGTAGGTAGGTCAAAAAGGTTTCCAAAAAACGTTTTCTTGTGCCAATCAATTGTGATGTATTGTCCAACTGATGCGGATCGTCACAAGAAAACGTTCTTGGAAACCGTTTTGACCTACCTACCTTGCCTTGTGTGTTTGAAGTATGAGTGCACAGCATGATTATTTTATTCATAGCATTATTTAAACTGTTATCTCCACGGAGATTATTATTCATTTATTTTATTGAAAACCACAAACCTTCAGACATGTGAATGTGCACATATACAGTGTACAAGAACATGCATATATAATATATATTTATACCTCACTCCATATACACCCACACTCATATACCAGATCTCCCATGAAGTTTATAAATTTCCATATACACTGTTCAATATACACCACTAAGATATATACACCACTGAGGAAGCCATCCAAAAAAACCCGCTGAGGAGCTTTCTTTCTCTAAAAAGGAGTGAATATCTTTCTTTCTCTATATAAAAGCTATATTCACTCCTTTTTAGGGAAAGAAAGCTATATTCACTCCTTTTTGCTCTTGAGCTTGCGCATGGAGAGGTATAAATTATATACAGTCAAACCTCTTTAGGACGAACATCAAGGGACCGATGATATTTGTTCGTAATAACGGGAGTTCTTCTTATCCATATGTTTTACTCAGTGAATATACAGGGTTTAATCCAATGCAGTTACGAATATTAGTTCTTCTTAGGCAAACATTTGTCTTATCAGTGTTCTTTCTAACGAGGTTTCACTGTATTATAACAAGGGACCGTGTGTAAAAACCCCGGCTTTGCCTCGGTTTTTATACTGGTCTATATTTCTCGATATACACTCGGTCCCTTGTTATAATATATACATATAGCTGCCTTCTATATATATATATTATATAAAGAAGGCAGCACAGAGACGGCAATGGTGGTGAGGCCTGGGCAGCTCGTCTGACCTTTTAAGCCCTTGGCGGATTATGCTGGCATAATCTTCCGATTTTGTCTAAAAATTATGCCCTGGCATGAAGGACTTCTGAGACCAGACGGTCGGCATAACCTTACGATGCTGGCTAAAGATTAACGATCCAGGCATATTTAGGCATGTTACAGGCAATAACCTGGTGAATGTTACCCCTTGTAAGCCGTGCTGTAGTCATTGTAACGTTGCAAAGTGCAACAAGAGCCTGCAAGGGTACAGTATAGCACTATCATTGGCATAATTCCAGCATAATGTAAAATAATCACTTGCATAATCTGGGCATAGTGGAAAGCATAATTCAGCAATTTTCCGAGCACAATCCGCCAAAGGCTGTTTGTACTGAGTTAACCATACCATTAGCTTGGACCGCAGCATAGAAGTAGCACCATCATCGGCATAATGCCAGCATAGTGTAGCATAATCACTGGCATAATTCAAGTGGACATTATGGAAAGCAGAATTCAGCAATTAATTTACCGAGCACAATCCGCCAAGGGCTACCGAACATGGTTCTCGGAGTCAACACTGGGCAGACACACCAGGGGGGAGGGGGGGGGGGGGTGGTGGTAGCTAAGGAGATAAGGGATGATCTGCGTGTATAACTTATAAGTGAGCTTGCCAGGGCACATCATACACACACACACACACACACACACACACACTGCGCATACTCAAATAGGAGATCGCCCCCCCCCCCCCCCCCCGATAGGCATTCGCCGTTGGGTAATCCTGAAAATTAAAGGGGAGGTTAAGGCAAAAATTAAAATTTCACCAGTTGTAGTCTTCGGAGTGCTGAGTCGAATGGTCGTGGTCCGAGGAAGCTGAGACGCTCCCTTCCTACTTGAATCCCAATCGAACTCGCGCACTTCCACCGAAACTGGGTGACTGCGCCCTACTAGATGGGGATTTGTATGCAAAATGTCACTAAAAGCGCCATTTCGTTCTTATAAAAGCACGGATGACCGCCATTGGCCCATATGTTGTAGTCTTTTGGACGCTGAGTCGACTGGTTTTGGTCCGAAAAGGCTGCGATGCAGCGTTCCTCCTTTATTCCCAATCGAACATAGTTGAAGAAGCGGCCACGTGGTCCTGGGTGCCCAAATCACCTGGTCACCACGCCAGCAGGTGACAACTTTTTACTTTCACACCAAGGTTCAACTCGAGTTCAACTCGAGTGACAGGACTGCACCCAAAAAAGGTCAAACAGGCTAGTAAGTAAATTAGTTGTACCCTGCAGGCAAGGTGACCAGGTGACTGGTGTACGCAGGAGCACGTGACCGCTTGTTCAACCATGTTCGATTGGGAATAAAGGAGGAACGCCGCATCGCAGCCTTTTCGGACCAAAACCAGTCGACTCAGCGTCCAAAAGACTACAACATATGGGCCAATGGCGGTCATCCGTGCTTTTATAAGAACGAAATGGCGCTTTTAGTGACATTTTGCATACAAATCCCCATCTAGTAGGGCGCAGTCACCCAGTTTCGGTGGAAGTACGCGAGTTCGATTGGGATTCAAGTAGGAAGGGAGCGTCTCAGCTTCCTCGGACCACGACCATTCGACTCAGCACCCCGAAGACTACAACTGGTGAAATTTTAATTTTTGCCTTAACTTCCCCTTTAATAAAGATATTATTATGAAATTTAAAAGAAAGGACCAAAATTTTACATGTTATCCATAGTTTGTGTCCAACACTAACAGTTATAAGCAAGATGTAGAGTCAGAAGGTGCAACAGCTAGCACACTACTCGGACTGATGTGATACTGCCATTCAACGACCTGATGATAAGCTCTATCACGTCTTGGATGCGCAAACCAACAGCCTTCCAACTTGGAAGGTTCTAAGTTATGAAAAATTAATAGCATTAGAAAGGGGAAGGTGAGCGCACTCGTACTCAAGACGAAAACAAGCTAAACATCACAGCAAATTAAAAATGTTAGCTTTGACGAGATGGTGATGAAAGACGAAGGACCACGGCACAGGATGGCCACGGCTCACCGAAGTTCGAGAACGCGAAACAACGACCACCCAACTTGGGAGGCTCATGTTGATCGGAGACAAGCAAAAAGAGGGGAAGTTTCGCGAACATCAAGTGAGACAGACCGGACGGCACTACTGTAAAACCGGAAAGTCTAACGAGTCACAAAGTCTAACCTTTTAACGACCAATTTGTTTTCGTTATTTGAAGAAACGTTATCATGTAAATGGGGAGATGTCTGTGCATACAGATGGGTACCGGGTGGCCGGCCAGGTAGCCACTTTCTGCACGTTATCATGCCAAAATTACAAAAACGTTAAACTTTTGGTCGGTTCTGGTTTTACAGTATCTCTTCGTACTATTAAAAAACTACATGTAGAATGGAACTAACGTTACTTGTAATGGACTAACGAACGGCAATAACAAGTAGTATTACACGACAGAATCCATACGGCGAAACATAGATCTACGTAATACATCGCTATGGCCGCGTAGATCTATGCCTATGCCTATGCCTATGGCTTCCAATATACATGTATTTTCCATTATACCCGAGTCGGCAAGACTGCCAAGACAAGAGAAGAGGTTACAGTTTGTACAGGTACTGAAGAGAGCAAAGTGCAAAGTTCATCCCGTGACCTTTGTGACACAAACAAGAACCATTTCGCTGAGCATGCGCAGTATTCACGATCACCTGGTATTCGACTCGCTGCCGCGAGATAATGAAGATTCAAAGAAGGACTGACTGTAATAGTCGACTGCACTGCCTAGGCTAAACCAAAGTCAAAGAGGTAGACCATGTAGACTCCCTCTAATCATATGGGAACAATCAACCGACGAACAAGTTTCCAGTTCACTCTTTTTGTTAAGCCCGGAGGAGCGTGTTACCAACTACTTTGTTCGTAGATTCGGTTGGAGCAGAGAGTGAGAGCTGAAGACAGTAGTAATATCCATTGCTTTCGCTGATTGCGTTCAACGTCAGGAATAGGAAAGAGCAGGGAGGGGCTGCGAAGGAACCTCTTTCCAGAAAGATAGCATGGATCTGGGATTACTGGAAAATGCTTTGCAGTATCTGTTCCTGAGATGTGATTTGGATTCCCTTGCCAACCGAACCATAAAAGAGGTGAGTAAAATACCACCGAGGATGGATAAGAACCAAAGCCAAGTCCCCACCACTACATCTGCCCCGTTTTACAGAAAAGAGGATTGCAGTACCAGCGCACAACAAAACACGCGAAAAGGAAGCACATATACAATCGGTCTCGTCATCGTCCTGTAACAGTCCGTAGGTGCCATTCTTGCCAGCTGCTTTGACCGCCTAGCAGGCTAGATAGGCTGCTCATATCAACAAAGCACCCGCTTTTGAAGAGTCATGGTGTGAAAGGCCTCATTGAAATTTCTATTGACTTCTGGCATTCGTGTGCTATATTTCAGGAAGCAGAATCAGAGCCTATGATAGGGCAGATCATTGAAAAGCACACAGAGCTATATTGGCACGCTACCGGCGTTAATGCTCAGCAAAATAATGCTACGATACTGCAAGGAGCAAAGAGTGCACTTCAAGTTTTCGTGCAGCAGCCGAAGCAAGCAATCCCAGGTGCAGATGAGCAGCATCAAATGAAACAGCAGCTGCTAGAAACAGGCAAGTTCATCAGTGAGCCGGACGAGCAGCTTGAGGCTTTGCAACCCAACAGTAGTGACGAGGTGGCTACCGAACAAGAAAAGAAGAAGCATCAGCAGACGAGACCAGTGCAGCTTGGTCAGTCATCCATGCTTGCGTTTGGCAAATATAGCGGGCTGTGAGTCACAGGGGTAGACCGTCCACCTATATCTCAGAGCTGAATACGCAGTAACTTAACCTCTTTAGCACGACGCTACCTGAGCGCGCCCCACGACAACACCTGTAAAAGTCGCATTTGCCCATGAAAGTACAAGCTGCTCAAGGATCGATAACTTTACCTTCCCTTGGACGAATTCCACGATCTTGAGCTTCCTGGAAAGGTCTTGAGACGAGTGACAAACTGGTGTCAAACCCAGCTCGGAGCGAAACCAAAACCCCGTGCTAAAGTCTGGCAAACTTCATCCACGCGCTCGACAGACTTGAGCACGGCCAAGACTAACCAAGCTCAAATATTCAGCTGCCATTTCGGTCTCCTTGCTCGTATCGAGCTCAAATTTTTTGTGAGGACTCACGGGATCCACTAAAATCATTTGAATCTTGTTTCCATGGCAGCAGGTAGCGCACAAATGATCCATGATGGAAAATACGCGTTCTGCAGACTGTGCAAAAAATCGAGTTGAAATTTGCCGTGTCGAGTCGCATATCTCAACAACCGGTCGCATCGCTTCGGCGATTGTTTCTATCGCCAGCTGAGAGTTTTCTCTTGCAGATACATGTTTCGATTGTGAGAATCGACCAAGTACTGTAAATATACAAATTTTCGGCAGCTATTTAATTTCGGCTATATTCGGCACCGACCCAAAACGCCTAAATTAAAACGCCGATGAAATTTTCACAGCATCTGTCGCACTATACATGCCCTCTACCCCACGCTGAAAATAAATCGCCGCCGAAATGTCAAAAATCGTGAAGTGCCGAAATTTTGCAGCGCCGAAATTTTGTATATTTACAGTATTGAGTGAGGTACGATAGTTTGAACAAGTCACTATGGACTCAACACGGACCCCACGACTATGAGATGCAGGTTCACTGTACAGTGTACAGCGCGCGTCGTACTAGTACGACGGCCGTGGGGCATGCAACTCATGTGCGTCGTACTAGTACGACGCTCGCGCTAAAGGGGTTAAAGCAAGCAAGATGCACTCAGTGACAACTGATTCTCAAAGTAGAAGCCTGTCCTGACGTCACTACTTATTGTACTTGGGTACATCACCCTTCACGCAGCAACTGTCCTTGGCAGAGCAGACGTGTGGCAAATGTGTATCTAGTCTTCCTTTTGTGGTCTGGGTTTTGTCAAAAGGGACCGTACATTATACATGTACATGCACTGCAATGCGCCTTATAAAAAATAATAATGCGCCGTAGGGGTGAAACGAGTATCTATTTTGACCAATCGATCACTCGTTCATAATATTCGATCGAATATCCGATTATTTCGAGTATTTTATCAAAATTCAAAAGCACTAGATTTGCGAGTTCTCGACCAATTCGGAAGAAATTATCTGTGAACATGGAACAAAAGTCGCCTACGTCCTGTACAGAATGTAAAGTAACGATTTTCATCAGTACTTTCATATCTCAGAACGTTACTTGCCGTGGTGATCGCATGCATACCAGTGGACCAGCGGTACAACAAAAGTTTTTGAAAAATACAATGTCAATACTAAAAAAATAAAAAATAAACCGATCGAGTGCAAAATTTCGAATACTCGCTCGTTTGAAATTGTCGAACGAATATTCGAACTAATCGTTTCACCCCTATAAATAAATGCGGCAAGTGCGGTATCCAACAGCGTCCAACGAAGAACTTTTCTTTGTCTTTTTGTGTTGCAGATACCAGGTGTCGTGCATCGTGTTGTGCTGCCACTAGATGTGGGTGTCTTACACCAGCACAGCGGTAAGTGCACATTGGTGCTTTTTATGTGCCGTCACTCAGGCTGCGTTTACACGACAACACACGGCCAGTTTTCCGTTTTCAGTCCCGCATTTCTTTTTCCGTTTTCGTGAGTTTACACGATCAAAGCTGATCCGGGGTAGTCTCGGTTTGTATCGTTTTCGCGCGTCTACACGGGAGCAAAGGATCCGCCAAAGTTCGTCATGTGCCAGGTGTTGTCGTGGAAGCACCAATCACACTCAAGGCATAGTTGAAAACAGGCCACACGACAACACTCGTCACATGACGGAAATTGTAAAAACAATTTTTTTGATTGTCGGATCCGTGTAAACAGCCGAAAACGGAACAAACGTGACGGAAAACGAGGCCAGCAGACCGTTTCGACTGTTTACACACCCAAATGTATCCGGCAGAACATTTCTGTTCTCAAATTCTTCCACCTTGGCCAGAGTTTTGGTTTTCTTCCGTTTTGGTGTACAACTTTTACGTTTTGCTCCGCGTACCGTGTAAATGAACCATGCATCCGAAAGAATTTGGTTTATTCCCGTAGCTATGCAGAAGACGTTACTTCAGTAACGTCTGGCGCTAGCCAGGGTCCACACAGCTTTAATTCCCGTAGCTATGCAGAAGACGTTACTTCAGTAACGTCTGGCGCTAGCCAGGGTCCACACAGCTTTAATTTGGTGTTTGTTTGTTTGTTTGTTTATTTGTTTGTTTGTTTGTTTGTTTGTTTGTTTGTTTGTGTCACGCCTTGCACTATCCCGTATCTGTCCCGTACTGTACCGTACTAGCAAAGACAGCTGGCCCCGATATTTTTGTTTGTTTGTGCCATCGAAATGCCTGGCGCTATCCCGTACCTGTCCCGTACCATCAAGGGTACGGTACCAACAAGAGAATGAGTATATATGCGAAGTGTATCGGGGGAATGCATTCAGTGCTGTAACATTTTGTGTGGATTTGTGTGCGAGGCCGAGATCCCACTAGCAGGCTGGCTGGGCCGCCTGTCGACCAGCCCGGGAATCGCATGTAGGCCGATAGCATAATAATTATAACGTATATACAGTCATGTAGATGTAAAGCAGGGAGTCATAATTATTATGTAAACGACTCCCTGCTGTATTGAAAGAAATACGAAGTAGGGAGACGAGTAAATACAATCAGAATGGATGTTAGTTGCCGTCAGTATAATAATAATAAGAAGAAGAAGAACGCCCGTGATCGGCAGAGTCAGCGCCGGTCCCAGGAAACGTCAGGACAGACATCCCGTCGACTCCAGAACGCCTGTGATCGGCAGAGTCAGCGCCGGTTCCATAGCTATGCAGAAGACGTTACTTCAGTATCTCATTAAAACGTTTTTGCAATACAATGATGTAGCTAATCAAAGGAAAAAGCATTTCCGTCAGTTCTACCAACATGCACGATGAGCTAGGCAACAAAGCATAGCGCAGGGCCCTGAGCTTCCAAGCTCTCTCGTTTGGTATTTGTTTGTGTGTTTGTTTGTTTGTGTCACGCCTGGCGCTATCCGTATCTGACGGCAAAAAAGCATAGGATGTTATAATTTTTTCAATTCTCCTATTTTTTTTCAGGCATATCCTGGGATTCGAACCCGCACTATCGCCCTACATGCATTCCCCCATACACTTCGCATGCATACCCATTCTTCCTAGTTGCTTCACGTTATTATCTTGCGTTTGAAAGCCCTATTTGAATATTGCGGGCAGCTGTATGTGGCCAGCTGTGTTTGATGGTACGGTACGGTACAGAAGACGGTGTCGTATTACCCTCGATCGTACCTGTCCCGTACCTATCCCCTACCGTACCGTGCCATCAAAGACGGCTGGCCACAATGCATATTCAAATAGGGTTTTCAAATGCAAGATCACAATGTGAAACAACTTGGAAGAATTAGTATGTATGCGAAGTGTATCGGGGGATGCATGCGGGGCGCGCGATAGTGCGGGTTCGAATCCTAGGTTATGTCTTAAAAAAAAAAGATTTTTTTAAAGAATTTATAACATCCCTATGCTTTTTTTTGTCTAGGTCATCAAGGCAAAAAAGCATAGCGTAGGGCCCTGAGCTTCCAAGCTCTCTCGTTTTTTTATTTTTTTATTTTTTTTTATTTTTTTTATTGGGAACACAGCCCTACAAAGAGACATGTGGAGACAAACACAAGACAAGACACAAGGGATGTAGGGACGACGTGCCGATGTACAGGGAGCAACTCGACCGACCAGGGGTCTCGGCGTTAGCGTTGCAACCTGGCATCGAAAAAAAAAGGGAGGGCTGCTGCATGGTCAGGTAGCAAAAATAATAATTTGGTGCGAGAAGGGGGCGCTAGTATTGCACCAAATAATAATTATAAATACGTGTAATGACTAAACCAGAAGGGAAAATGAAGAAAGAGAACAATAATCATAACAAGCAAGTAGTAGTAGAGAGGTAAATACTAAATGGGTCTCAAATCTCAATATCATCGTCACAGATACTGTGTGGACCACAGCCATCTCTTTCGGATTAGATCCTTACATACGTTGACCTTGAAGGTTTGGAGGCGTCTTGAATGAGGCTCGTGAAGCAGGAGGTCCGCAGGCAGGTTGTTCCAGGGTGTGATGGCGAAGAAGGGGAAGGATCGCAGGTTGCGTATTCACCCCCAGCGTTGTCGTGTAAAGGCAGCCTCAGTCTCATGTTGCTTTAGGGAGTTTTGAGGTGTGTAGGACTTCATTGAAGAAGCAATGGGGGATTGGTAGGTTGACAGATGCCAACCTCAGAATGGTCAGAGATGTGATCTTCCGAGTATATGGTGCCCTGGGTTTAATGACTTCAAGATGCCATTGTGCATGAAATGGGCCAAGCCTTTTAAAAATAAGAATATGTTCTTTTTGTTTGACTGATGGCATCTGCTACGTTCTCCTGTAACATGGACTTAATTTGCAGTGAAACTTGCAACACTCGTCATTAGACAACTGCAATCGGCCACTAAAATATTTCAGCTCGTAAGTTGCTTTTGCTGCAATGCGATATTTTTTGATTTCTTGGATTGCTCTAATTTCTCAGGAGATAGAGATATGAACACCGCACAGAGGAAGTTGATGTCAAAACGTTTAATAAAAGGCTAGGAGACATTGAATATCCCCAACTATATTTGAATGTCTCCTCAGTAATGATACATTCCCGTGCAGTGTATTGGGGACATTCGCTTGTACACTTCTGTCCAACAGGATTTGGTCCCAAGGACAGTTGGATGAATGACCAGCATGGACATTGTTGATTAATGGGAAAAGGCACTTGTATTGAGTCAGATATACTAGAACAGTTCAACAACAAAACTACCATGATCTTATTTGCAACTCAGAGTTTCATGCACATCGCAATCATCAGGCAAAAATCTACAACAAGTATTATAATACACCCAAATGCTCAATCTGCGGACAGAACTTTTTCGTCCTTTGTGGAGTCATCAGCGCAACACAGAAAAAATGAGGCCGAACTTGATAGCAATGAAAAATAAATTTTCCAAAGCCAGATTTTAACCAGGCCCGAACGTGCCTAGCCAGAGTGCTCAAACTGACAAGTCAGTGAGCTCTGCTGAATGCAAACAGCAAAGGCACTACCACACATAAGAGTGCCCAGCTACTACAAGAGCAGGAGCGAAATACTAAATGTGCGAACAGAACTGTTTCGTCCTTTGTGGACTTGTGGACTATATACCCAATGCTGTAGACAGCAAGCTGTTTCGGCCATAAAGGCCTCATCAGTAGAGCTACGAGCTTTTTAAGTAAGCCCGAGTTGCCAGCCATGGTGCAAAGGTGGCATCACAGACATTTTAAAAGACAACTCGTTGCTCTAGCGCCAGAGTGCTCAAACTACGAAAGGTAGTGAGCGAAGCATAATGCAGCAGCACTAAAGCAGCCTACCGAGAGTGCTCAACAAGACAAATGCCGATAAGCGAGATACCTACCGTACTGTCTTGTATTAGAGCCAGTCTCATATAGAAGCCTGTCTTGAATGGAAGCCTGATTTTCAAGATACACTGTCGGCAGATAAGCCTGGTTTTAGTGTTGACATACATAGAAATACCCGTCTTGTATAGAAGCCTGTCTCATATAGAAGCCTGCAAATTTTCCCCAAGAAAGTCACATACGCCGCGCCGCGGCTTTTATACACGACATTACGGTGCTTAAAATTATAATCGGATATCCCCAACAGACTCAATCAGTTAGGTTTTTGACCTAGTTTGTATGGGTTTACTCACATGCTCGTGGGTACAATGACTGGTTGCTCTAGCTTTTATCCATTATCGCCTTTATTGGTTTCGTTCGGTTATCAGCGAGTGTGGCGCGGATTTAGTGTCATTTCAGAAAGAAGAAAGTTGTGGTAGGGGCAGGTTTGGCACTTTGGATCTCCTCCACCTTTTTGACTACAGTCCATTCAGAAAAAGATGAGCGCTGGCTCTGGAGAGCTTCCGTGTTTGGCGATTTTGTGGTACACTGTGCAGTGCCGCGTGATTCGAAACTTGAAAAAGGGTCCAAAAAGGCACCTCAACTGGGGTTCGAACCGCAAATGTACTGTTATGCAAGAGGAGTGAACAGCCTGGATTTTCATGGTTTTTCCCCAATTCAGTCCTTTGGGGGCAAACCCTGGCCGAAATCCTATTCTTGTTATGGCTTGCTTTTTGGAGAAATAGACTTCAAAAACACAATAGATGATATGCCAAATAACGTGCAACTAGACTTGAGAGGGCATTGCAGAGTAGTTGCATACGAAGTTCAAAGTTGTACGGTTACCTGTGACTTGCATTCCTGCAGAACTCAGGGCCTACCATGTACACATTGTAGTATAATTTGTATGCAACTTGTGTGCGATGCCCTCTCAAGTCTAGTTGCACGTTATTTGGCATATCATCTATTGGAAGAGCATTCCATGGGGGATTGCCAACAAAATTGTGACGAAAACTCAAAATTTGACCTGTTTATGGCCAAAAGCTAGTAGACTGTGAGCCAAGTGCATGAATTCATGATTTTCATTCCCACTTTGGGTGTACCGCGATTTTGTTCTTTTAGCATGTGGAGAGACCTAATAGAAGATCATTTTTGATTGTTGTCAGTTTGGGAAGCTTGCAGGGAAGTCAAAATAAGCAATTATCTTAACATACCCCGTTTCCATAGCAACTACATAGCAACTGACATAGCAACATGCTATTTTGAAGGTGTTTCTTACTTTTTTCAGCAGGCAACGGCACTGGACGAAGAAATGTATATCAAGCGTCATTGCAGCTGGGTTAAAATAACTATACGAGGCCAAAAATTATAGAATTACGCATACATGTAAGTGCATTGTATAAAGTACGTGCACATTTTAAATATTACTCGAAGTGACGATGCACTGGTAGGTAAGTGCACATGAAATGGTGCCGACAACCACGAAATGCATTTCAGGAATGATAATGTACAGAACAAACAGGTGGCATTCAATATACAAAGCCCAGCAGCAGCGAATTCTCCAGACAACGGTTGGAAAAGACCATCAACAACAGCCAGGAGAATCTGGTTTAATCCGGTGCAATGCTCATTTCACCCTCTACATCTCTATAATATATACATGACTGTACAGTATGGCTGAATAATGTTAAAGAAGTTGCTGGATACAGGATTTGTATATTTGCACTCATATAACTGATCAATGTAACGTTACTTCGTAAGTACTGCTGTATTGCTTCCTAACTAAAAGTGCAAAGGGTAGAGCAATGACCGTAACCAGTAACGTTAGAGGACCGCAGGGGTATACCGGTAGATACAGATCTGTAGTTTATTTGAACTATAATAATAATTATTTTGAAACATTAGTTACATTACCCATTGTATGTACAGAACACAAGCGGAAAGATACAATTAATCATAGTCTGAAGCACTTCAGTATAAAAGATCGAAACAGTTATTAGCTCTCCGGAGATAAGGTACATTGTACGTTCTACATGTATTTCTGCTCCAACAGATTACAAAAACCTTTAGTTTAGCTTGACTGATCAGCAGCAAGCATGCTAGCACACTGATATGATTGACATGATGATGTTCGTACTGCCACTGCGCTGCACTAGCACTGCACACAATACTATAGAAACCACGAAAAAACATCGTCATGATGCGGCTGGGTTTGCACCACCGTACATTTTTGCGAGGTCAGTGGTGCAACAGAGGTCCGCTCCAGCTCTTGTGACCTTGGTTCTTGTCGATGGCGGCTATTGATTTGGCCAAAGTAGTTTCTCCCTTCTATTTGGGCATGTTCGTGCCTGATTTGGAAGTGACAACAAGCTGAATTCGTATCTAGTCGAGTAGATGAAACGAACTGGGGAAAAAAATTGCGGTACGCTCAAGGTCGGAACGAAAAAAAATTCTAACAGGATTTTTGGTGCCTGGCTCACAGTCTATAGGATATCATCTTTTCTGAATGGACTGTAGGCAGTGATCTCAGCCAGCCATGTGGGCTTGGGAAGCTGTTGTGCTGGGAAGAGGTTGGCAGCAATGTCTGCGGTTTCAGCTTCATCCAACGACTCCGAGTGTCGTGCTCGGCGGAGAGCTTGCTGCAAATGATTCGCCAGGCTGCGGCGTGACTTGACGGAAATGAAAGCGGACCATACCGGGCTTCTGCTTCGACTTGAAGTAGTCAGAAATGGCAGATAGGAGACCTTCAAGGTCGTTGCTCGTGTTGGCTAAGGGAGGGATAAGTTACTCGATGTCCTTGCTGGCAACCTACTGAAGTGTGCCTCTCTGTCGTGTGTCGTTCGTGATGCCGATAGCTGCAACATAGGATGAAAGCTTCGTTCCGATGCAGGAAAACGGGCAGCATCGTTGTAAAGACTACTGTCAACTGGGAATGGCCCCGGGGGTGGTAGCGGCAGCAGGGACATGGTGAATATTAGGCAATTGCTCACAGCGCCAATGTAGTACAGTCAGACCTCGCATAACCGCACACATCCGTTTCCACAAAATATCCCGGATAGGCGAGGGAACCGGATAATCGAACACACATACTGTATGTATGCATGGCAAATGCTGTAAATTGGTAACCAATGATTTTCTTCCGGATGGTGAGGGATCCGGATAAAAGAGGACCGCATAAGCGAGGTCTGACTGTATTTCTATCTTGCTTTATTGCGAGCAACAAATAACTCTCGGAGCTCCAGAAAGCTCGTAATATGATGTCTACAAGCAACGTCAATGATGTGTGTGCATGCTTATAGTGTTAGTGCATACAGTGCAGTAAAGGTGATCTGTATTGAAAACAGTAAGGGTACAAACAAAAACGAAAAATGTGGGCACAAGTTACATGTTACAATTTTTCCTTGGCTCCTCATCTGAGTTCTTACAGAATCTTACGCTTTGGTTGTGTCCAGGTCTGTTTTACGGCTTTTCAAACTCTGGAGCTACTGCCGTCCCTCAAGGTACCTGGGCAGCTACATATCATCCTACGTCTCACCAACATACCCCAAGATAACTGGTAAGGCAGTGTAATGGTGCAGTTTTTGGAGAGCAGGTTTTTGGTTTTAAAAGCTGATCTAGATGCGGATGTGACTAGTACTTGGCCAAATTGGGTAAGCTACAGAAGGGTCAGTCTGTCTTTCTCTTGATGGTACTCACGGACTATACTCTAGTCGATTGCCAGTTTGTATCCTGGGTTTTTGCACCAGTTCGTGCACACGTCGAAAAGGATTGCTACTTGGGAGAGCTTTTGTCTGATTATCTTGACAATGCACAAGAGAGGTATTGGAAATTCCTTGCTGCAACAGAAAACAATTGTTCGCATTGTTGTGAGCGGAGAAAGAATACCGCTGATACGCAAGGTGGTTGCACGAAGAAGAATAAAAGCAGGAGAAAAACATGGAGGATGCAGTTTAGAGGGGTGAGTGCATACAACTAGAGTCTTCGATTCTGTATCGAGGTGCTGTCTCAATATCCTGAAGAAGAGAAAACCGCATCAGTTGGCGGAAACCAACTGGGAATGAGAACACAGACTGGCGTCGCAGGGTAACTGGTACACATACTCTGAAGACCAGAAAGCTATAGTGCCATTGATTTCATGACACTGACATGATGCGCAAACATCATGCCCCCCCCCCCCCCCCCCACACACACACAACCGTTTTTGAATACCTACCCAACAAAAGACTAGTCGGCCGATTCATCTGCGATAATGTTAGGCACATTTGTTTCTACTCTTTGTTTTCTCAGGCTGACAATACGCAAGGCAGCATTGATTCGCCCCCTCCCAGCATGTGTGGTCCAGGTTCAAGGCAGAGTCTATTCCAAGTCCCCATCAGTACTGTATACGTAAGTGTTTGCTCGCTTGCACCGAAGTTGGAAGAAGAGTAGTTGTAACTCAGTGCTTGCGTATATTACAGTACAACCCTGGCTAATCCGTGGTTCAGTCGGCTGTGGCTTCACTCGTCCGCAATTTTCTCATGGATGCGTCGTCCATTGAATTGAATGCGGTAGGGGCAACATTTGCTACACAGAATGTCTAGAGAGCAGTGCTGACATGTCAATGTGCATGTAGTAGAGTGTCCATGCGGAGCGTGTGGGTATGCTCCCAGGCAGAGCTGGCAGAACTGTGCACCGTTGTCGGAGATGACGTGCCGTGGCATGCCGAACAGCGTGAAGATCTGCTCCAGCGCCTTGATGATGTCCCTGGTCTTCTCAGCTGGTAAGCGGACAACTGCTGGATACCGACTGTACAAGTCCAGAAGGCTGAAGAAGGCGCTTTGCTGGTAATAAAACACATCAATAGCGACGGTGTGCCAGGCATGTGGAGGTAGGTCGCGTGGTTTCAGCGGTACTGGTCGTATAGCTGCTTCTGTCGCACATGGTGTACAGCTGGCTAGGAAATGTCGAGTTGCCGTGTTCCAGCCGGGCCACCACACAGTCTCCTTGAGTTGAGCCAGTGTCCTGTCTCGACCAAGGTGTCCCTCGTGAGCCAGGTTCAGTACGTGTTGAGCTGCCGATGCTGGAATCACCACTCTTTCCCCTCTCAGAATGAGAAAGTCCGACGAGTTCGGAAAGGGCCACACGCTGAGTTCCGGACTAAGGGCTTGGTACGGTGCGAGCTCTGTCGCCGACGGCCATTTACCCGATCGCAGCGCATCTCGCACTGAGCACAGAGTGGAGTCTCGCGCTGTTTCTCTGGCAATCAACTGGCGATGTGCTGAAACACCGTCTGCCACGGTGACAGCATGGACGAGAAGGAAACTCGGGTCAGCATCCTCAGCCGGCAGCCTGGACAATGCGTCAGCAATGTGATTCAACTTGCCGGGGCGATATTGCACGGTTAGGGTCAAGTTTTGCACTTTCAACACCAGGCGCTGTACTCGGAGACTAGCTGAGGCTAGCTTGTACGACGGCATAAATACGTGAACCAGTGGCTTGTGGTCAGTGATAATGGTCACAGGCATGCCGGTGATGAAGCTGCGGAAACGATTAGAGCCCCACGCGACTGCCAGTGCCTCTCGCTCGATGGTTGCATAGCGTGACTCTGCATCTGACAACTTTCTGCCTGCGTAATAGACAGGTCGCCACTCTTGACCATCTGTTTGCGACTGCTGTAGGAGTACTGCTCCAAGGCCATAGCCAGACGCGTCAACTTCGATGCGGGTCGGCAGCGTTGGGTCAAATAGCGCCAGAATAGGTGCACTAGTAATCAGACTGCGTATCTTCTCAGCTGCGGTGTGGCAAGCCGATGTCCAATTCCACTCGCCAGACAATAGTGCTGTCATCGGAGCGACAACCGAGGCAATGTTAGGAATAAACTTTGCCACGTAGGTTGCTAAGCCCAGAAATGCTCGGAGTTCGGCCACATTGGTGGGATCCGACATCTGACTGAGTGACTCAACCTTCGATGGACCTGGCGAAATGCCCTTCGCCGAGACGTGATGTCCCAGAAACTCCAGCTCTGAGACCTGGAAGACGCACTTCTTGTCGTTCAGGGTGACATTGTACTCCTTGAGAGCCGTCAGGACTGCTGCCTTGCGTCGATCATGCTCTTCCAATGATGGAGCATAAATCAGAATGTCGTCTAGGTAGATGACTACCCCTTCACATCCTGCCAGAATTTGCTCCATCTTACGTTGAAATAATTCAGGGCCGCTGGACACGCCGAACGGTAGACGACAGAAACGGAAGTACCCCAAGGGTGAGGCGACCACGAAGGCATGGCGACATTCAGGTGAGATCTCGAGCTGAGAATACCCGGACTTCAGGTCAAGCTTCGAGAACATCTGTGCGCCCGACAGTTGAGATAGAAGCTCATCAGCGGTTGGGAGTTGCACACCCGGTCGCCTTACCGCTGCGTTGACTTGCCGTAAATCTACGCACCAGCGCATGGTTTTGTCGGGTTTCGGTGTGGCTACCAGTGGTGAAACAAAGTCCTGAGCCGTTACTTCCTCCACCATCTCGACCACTCCTTGTTCTAGCCATGCATCTAGTTGTTGGCGTAGCGAGGTGAGCAGTGCCGGTGCTACCCGTCGAGATGACTGTTGAGACGGAGGGTGATCCGGATCGAGACCGATTGTAATCGGGCCGCGCATAGCAGGGAGTGACGCTAGGCCCTCGGCACAGGCTGGGATTTCAACTGCTGAAATCGGCAATGCCAGAAGACCTAAACGGATGGAGGCCTGCTCTCCCAGCAATGCTGGCACAGTGCATTGTGCGTCATCGACTACAAAGATAGTCTCAGTCGTTTCGCGGCCCTGATAGCTCAGGTTACCCTCAAACACGCCCACAGCTGTTATGCGTTGCGTCCCCACTGGCTGGAGTGGGCATGGCGGCGGTAACAGGACGTACCCCGATGGGAGTAATGACTTAGGGATGATGGAAACCATGCTGGCAGAGTCCACTCTTAGCGACAAGGTGTGTCGGCAGTCCAATGTTACCTGCCTCAGAGGTAGAGTGAAACCGGTCTTCCCTGCCTGTACCCCGAATGTTTCATAGGCCTCTGGTGGCTGGGCGGACTGTACGGCTGGTGATGCTGCACCAGTTCAGAGTGACGAAACGGCTGGTGCTGATCGGTTGTGTTGCCTGGATGACGTGCTCTGCGACTGGGTCTGGGCACTGCGGTCCACTCGACCAGATCCGGCACGGCACACCGATGCAAAATGTCCCTTACGCCCACACTGGGCACAGAACATACGCGCTGCTGGGCAGTTCGGCTTGCCTGGAGCGTGCGTCTCTCCACAATATCCACAGCCTGATACTGGCAATGGTGCATGTCCAGGTTGACGCGTAGCTGTATAGCTGACCTCTGGCACTGGTGCTTCTTTGGCACCCTCTTCAGCTAATACCACTGCCTGCGCCTTGGCTGCGGCGGAGCTCAAGTCCTGCGCATCGTGCTCCAAGACACTCTTTCGGGCACTGGCAGAGCTGAGCCCCCGTGCAAACAGGTGGACTCCCACAACTCCCAGTAGTTCCTCGGCAGTACGAGTGCTGGTCAGGTTGCAAACCCTCATGTCTTTTTGCACCCGCAGCCGAAAGGCCTGTACAGTCTCCCCAGGACATTGCTCGACTGCAAACAATTCCGCCAAACGGGACGCTGCGCTCTGTTTCGAGCCGAAATATTCTTGGAACAATTTGATAAGATCGTTGTAGGGATTAGTTGCAGTAGTTGGCACTGTCGGGTAGCTCTGCCATAAGTAGTGACTTGCTGACTCGCCTAAATTGGCAGCTGCTGCCAAATACTGCTTCGCCTGATCCTTCACTTCGTGGAGTGCAAAGCCAATCTCCAACTGACTACGCCAAGTAAGGAAATGATCGTTTCCCAGCTCGTGGTCCAGGTCAAGGCGGACGCCGACTTTTACTTTTTCTGCCATTTCCCACGTGCGTGGTGAAAACTACAAACTTCAACGAGTGACTTACTAAGAAAAGAATCCTGTTCACTGCGCCAATGTTTCAGTCAACTCGTCACTCAGTTCACACCAGCCAACACGGTTCAATCCAACAATGGGATTAATCAATACATGCAATAAGAATAAATACAAGGAAAACGGTTCGGGATAATAAATTAGGACACTCAGGATCTGGCCGCCATTCTCGGGCTCTCTCTCTTGATCTCCTCGACCTTGCGCCAGGATCCGTCAATATGTACAATCACTACAACAAGTATCACGTGCGACCTACGTCGCTGGTAGACTGCATGGTACTACCCAGCGCTAGGGATAGGGCATGCCAAGTATGTGGCGAATGCGTACAGAAGGAACACAGTGCAGGTAGGTCTAGGATGCTTCTAGCATACTAGTATCAGCAGATTACTGAAAGCGCATCAATGACAGAGACAAAACATACATTACAACCAGAGTCATGCAACTATCGGCCATAGTTCAGTGGGACTACCACAAGCACATGGATATGCTTGCCACGTGAAGCGCATGGATATGCTCGCCACAAATTTCAAATTATCATCGCCATCTGAAAGGAAATATTCTGTCACTTGAAATGCTTCTACATGTTTCAGTAACCAGTCTCTCACTCATATTAAAATGCTGTTGGAGGCGGCTGGGCCATTCTTCTTGAATTCCAATGGACATCGTCAAGTGGCTACCAACAAATTGAAAATTCCCAGCTTATTGCTGGCATTTTCTGTGTGTGTGTGTGTGTCTGTCTGTCTGTCTGTCCATGCGTGTGTGCATGCATGCGTGTGTGCGTGTGTGTGTGCGTGCGTGCGTGCGTGCGTGTGTGCGTGTGTGTGTGTGTGGATGTGGGCATGTGTGCTATTAGACAGAGTGCTTGCTATCACTGCCCCACAACATCATGCCCGGGTGCAGATCCGTACCGGTATATCCGCTTGCATTGCCCTGGAGCCAGCGAGGCAGACACGGTCAGGTAAGTTGTACGGCTGTGAGTGTAGCAGCGAGGCAGCTAGAACCATGTTATGTCAACAATGGGCTGTTACCAGGTTGGGAGAGCTGCATTTCAGCACTGCGCCATCGGTCAGAGTCCCCCGTTACATTGTTATCTTTATTAGCATGTTCTCACAAAAGTTTTCAGCAGGATGCTGAGTCCACAGCTTCACTTATGCTGAATGGCTTGGATGAGAGGAGAGAGCATGGATGCAGTATTCAACACACGTCTGGAGCATATGCACTATTTGCCCTGGAATGCCATGCCGTGCCACATTCATGACTGTCACCCAATACCTGTTTTTCCTCTCTTTACAGGGGACACTTTGAGTGTGACTACTGTGGACAAGATCTACAAGAGGATGTACAGCGGCGTGTGCTCTCAGGTAAATGTTTCAAACACAGCCAGGTGTTGGCATTTCTAGGTCATACTTCAGAAAACTAGAAATCTCCATACAACTACAGTCTGTACCGGCTATATAGTGACCAGATGTATGGATATATCGGCTAAAATGATATCAGAACAAAATATCAAAAGCAGAATGGATTTTTCCAGTCAAACAAAATTCACGGTTCGCGTGAGACTCGGTTTCTCTATATAGAGGTCGAGTTTTCCGCATCTGTAGGAACGCCACCACCCTTCAAGGATCAAGGCGCAGATGCAGCTCCTAAAGCGGTGGGAGGTGAGTAGATCAGCTCACCAGCATGTGGTCAAAGACCGAAAATCCCATTCACTGCATCCATGTTTTCCTCGTGCCAGGCCACGAGTTCCCAATTAACTGTGGGTCGCAGCACGGCTGGAAAAAATCCTTCCGCTTCCAAGCAGGACTTGAACCTGGTACCCTCTGTTTCTCAATCATGGTCTTAGACCATCCCACTATGCCTGCCTTCCAGTCAAAATATCATTTATCGCCCCTCCCCCCAAGACACACACATCATAGCACTGTAGAATGGGGTTGGCATTGCATTTTTGTTGTTTTGCCATGTGATTATGCAATCACCATTGCGAAACGAGGGTTGCCTGCTGCTCCTCGTTGATAGTATTAAAAAAAAATCAAGCCCATCTGCTACTGCTAGCTGCCAGAACTGATGATGACACTGCGATCGCCACCTCCAACTGCTGAGGTGCTTCGTGCCTGTAGGCTGTGTAGCACCACCACAGCTTGGTCCGCCCTGCGTTGCCCCGGCATCGTACTCTCGTGCACAGCCCATGCTGCCGCACTCTCGCGTGGTGGCCTTCGTGAGTACGTCTTACACCATTTGCGCTTGCCACGCGCTTATGCGGCCCATGCTGGGTCCTCTATTTTCTGTCTTCCTGCCCGCGGCCCACCTTACCTGGTGAGCTCTCGCGCCTTATTTTCCATAAAAGCATGGTGGTGTCTGTTATCGTGGGTCCGATGGCCACCGGGGACTTCGCCTTTTCCATACGTGATATGCATTTCTCCGCCATACCGCCTGTCTCTGCCTGGCCCTGTACAAGTCTTTTCCCCGTACCGCCTTGTTGCAGTTTTATCTTGCATGCATGCTCGTTAGTACTATGCATTGCCGCTTGGCTGAGACTTAGCACGCGCGCTGCAGCTGGAGCCCTTTCGTGCCACGAAAGGACCTGCTTCCTAATATAGAGACTAGGCACCATGCATGAGCCCTGTCTGCCGTACTCCTTGCATTATTGCAGCACTACAACCTTCATGCAAATATGGGGTAGTCTCGCCTGTGGGCGTACTAGTGCTCATGGTGCAACCTGGGCTTCCCCCAGTACGGTTGCCCGCCATTGCATGCCAGACACCCCCATTGTTGCGCGCCTAGCCACGCGCGTGGCTTTTGCCTGCTGCTCGGTTGTCCGCGATAACTACGGTTTGCCGTACGCTGCAAACCTACATTATAACCATTCGGCTGCAGTGATATATCGGATATTATGATGTTGTCCCAGAATCAAAACATGCCGTGCATACGATAATAATAGCGGCTATAGTGATGTTATATTATGCGTCAAGCAGGTGGACTGTCAGCAATGGGTGTGAATGTGAACCTGAAGGGCATGACATTCCCACAATACATTGTGCAGTACAGTGTCATTTGCATGCACACATCTACACACATGGCCATGTGGATGTTGTTACACACCTCATGTATGTGTAGTCATGTGTACATGTGCATGCGATATCGCTTGTAGTGATGCAGCGGGTATAGCGAATAAAACGCTGAAAACAAAACGGTACGCTATAGCCGATAAAGACTGTATCAACGTGAAGAATCTACATGAGCTAAGGACGATAACTCTGCCAGACCAGTTGTTGAGCATGCGTACATCAGTGGTAGCAGTGTGCAACAATCAAAGTGGTGGCCTGAGGCAGTAGAGTCACGCAAACCCATGCAACAAACAAAGAGAGCCAGGCACGAAGGCTAATGAAATGTGCACATATGCAAAGCGAGCTACTGAGAGAGTTTGCGTGTGTGCACAACGACACATCCGTGAGCTGGCGCGAACACGCATGTGATAGACATCAGCATACAGTGATAACATTACGTCACCGCATTAAAACATAGTTTAGCTACGCGAAACTTGCACTATATTGTAACATTCCTTTCATCATAGCAGACAAAGACAAGGAAAGAGATCAAGGTGTAGGTAGCTGTGGTGTTAGCTGAAGGTGTCACTACCGTATTGTTTCAAATATCAATAGTCTTATAGAACACCATGGACATCCTGCAAAAATTATAACCTGGCCTATAACTGCAATAAAATAATATCATTGAGGCAGACGTTGAATGTTGTGACTGTTCTTGCTCCTCTCCACTGCAGATCTTTGTCACATACAACTAATTTCTTCTGATATCACAGATGTTTGCCACCGAACAATATCTTCAGAAACTGCTATTTTACACCGGGTCATCAACATCATCCTGAGAGGTACTGCTGGAGAATGTGATTGCTGCAAACAATTGTATACTGTATCTGCTTTACTTTTCAATAGAGAGCTGGTACTTACTAGTAGTAGGTTTGGTTCTTTTGTATTATTTTGCAAGAACTACATTCTCTGAGCCGTCGCCCTTTTTGTTGCTTTCATTCTCAACCTGTGTGTCGTCTCGGAAGGTTGAGAACGAACTGCCTCTTCTATCCTCGCCACGCCACACCTCAAAACGAACTAGTCAGTGGTTTTTCTCTAGAGCTAGAGAGAGAGAGCTTTTCATAGTTTACTTCAAGCGGCGACGGAAGAACTCATAATGGAGAACTAACACTGACAACGAATGACTGACGACTGTCAACAAACGTCTGACTCTGACAACGAATGACTGACAACTGACGACGACCGTCGGACAACTGACTCTGACAACGAACGTCTGACAACTCACGACGACCGTCGGACAACTGACGACATGGCAAAAGGAAAACATGATATCAGAAATTGGTGCCCTCGTCAGCACAAAAGGTGGTGTACTCAGCACAAAAAGGTGCGCGTGTCAACAACAAAGCAGCGCAGCAGCATGTACGGGTCAGCAACAAAGCAGCGCAGCAGCATGTACGGGTCAGCAGCACAGAGACACAAATACAGCAGCAGCTACGACGAAGAGACAACACGTGCAGCCACATGTACACACAGAGACACAAATACAGCAGCAGCTACGGCGAAGAGATAACACGTGCAGGCGCAGGTACAACACTATCCCCTACCAAAAAAAGACATCCACTCCTGTGGATGGAAGCAAAAGTGAAGTGTATAATAAACGGAAGGAGACAGACCGGAGAAGAAGACAGAAAGACAGGGGAAATGAAATATGAAGCAACATAAACAGGCGACAATAAAACACAAAAGAGGTGGGCCACAACTGTTGAACGCATGACGAGTAGGCCAGGAGGGTTAACACCAGTCGGGAGCCCCGCAAAACTGTGCACCATCAACGGAACCTGCAAGCAACAGATTTTTGCAGAGGACCCCGGCTGGCGAGCTGTTCGACCTGTGTTTGTCCCTTTGGATCTTTTATTCTTAGAACAGCACCAACCTAGTACGCCACCCATCCACCAGTCATGACAAAACAAAAGTACAAATGCATGAGAAAACAGGTTATGCCGACGGACCCAGCGACGCTTCCAGGAGCGGCGAGACCGACAGTACGCACCGACCGAGAAGACTGGGGCAGCAGGACGCACACTGGCCGGCTGTCCGAAAACCGATGGCGCTACAGAAACTCCGAGAATCACAGGACACACACAGAAAGAGAGAAGGACTGACGCAAACATCTCAGCCATCACCAAAAATCAGAAAAGCACACGAAGGAAGGGAAGAACAGCCAGGAAGAACACGTCGATTGAAACAGGAGCAATTAATCAGTGAGGACACCATTGAGGACACACAAACAAATCGGTTACCAATACGCAAAAGATAATGAAGAAAAACCACAGGGCGCTACCCTGAAAAAACCCACAGGGATCGAACCTGAAAAAACCGCAGGGACTGAACCTGAAAAAACCGCAGGGATTGAACCTGAAAAAAACCGCAGGGATTGAACCTGAAAACACGGAACTTATAGTACATCCGCTCGCAAAACCAAAAAACTGAAGAAAAGAAACTGTCAGGGACCGATTGGGACGCACAAGGGCCAACCAGCAACACCCGGAAACCATAACACCCGCAAGGCAAACCGATACAAAAAAGCGCAGGATCCCTGCAGACCACCAAGCAGACCGTGGCTCACCATGATCAGACGCCCACCCAGGCGAACAAGAGAAACCCATATGCCGAAACACAATAATTACAAAACCATACGCTCACAAAAAAAATTCAACCTGGATCAAGAACGAGAATCCTACATGAAGTTCACACCTCCCACCAAACCGGAAGCCAACAGCTTTCCTACTTTGTTGACAGTGCATGACCGAGCCTGACAACGCTCTACACCATGTACACAGAACATGGAGAAACTACTACTAAAACGGTAAAAACACGAAACAAAACAATATGGATCGACTACATACGAGGCAGCACCTCGAGAACGTTCAGGTGGACATCTAAACAAATCACGCGACACAGTCACACTATCGGAGCAGTCCGACGGCAACTCCGTGACAAGCACAAGTGCACAACACAAGACGAGATCAAAGCTACCCATGCTGAATGCACGACGAACATGCAAACACAAGTAATTCCAGATTCGAACGAGTAGCGCACGCACAGAAGTTTGAAATTTTCATACACAACAGTACAGTACGAGGCGTACAGGGTAGTCAGAGCAACACAACTAACACAACGGGGCGAACTTCCAACGAGCAGCAAGACTACACTATACTACGACTCGAGTACGAGTACACACTCGAACACAAGAGAACAAGGTTCCACGGGACCCGAGTCACCCGACGCAAAACAATTATTTGAAAATTCGAAATCGAATACAAGGTACGGCAACACATTACGCATAGCAGAGCAGACAATTACAAAGGCATGCTCACCTGAGTAGGAGCTCCGAGGATCTAGGAAAGGGTTGAACAGACGCAGCAAAGCGGAGCCATGGCGAGAACGCGAAGAGGAAAACGAAAAACACCGGCCGGAGAGCGACGAGCTTCAGGGTCGTGGGTTCGATTAGTTGGGCGCCAAATGTCGTCTCGGAAGGTTGAGAACGAACTGCCTCTTCTATCCTCGCCACGCCACACCTCAAAACGAACTAGTCAGTGGTTTTTCTCTAGAGCTAGAGAGAGAGCTTTTCATAGTTTACTTCAAGCGGCGACGGAAGAACTCATAATGGAGAACTAACACTGACAACGAATGACTGACGACTGTCAACAAACGTCTGACTCTGACAACGAATGACTGACAACTGACGACGACCGTCGGACAACTGACTCTGACAACGAACGTCTGACAACTCACGACGACCGTCGGACAACTGACGACATGGCAAAAGGAAAACATGATATCAGAAATTGGTGCCCTCGTCAGCACAAAAGGTGGTGTACTCAGCACAAAAAGGTGCGCGTGTCAACAACAAAGCAGCGCAGCAGCATGTACGGGTCAGCAACAAAGCAGCGCAGCAGCATGTACGGGTCAGCAGCACAGAGACACAAATACAGCAGCAGCTACGACGAAGAGACAACACGTGCAGCCACATGTACACACAGAGACACAAATACAGCAGCAGCTACGGCGAAGAGATAACACGTGCAGGCGCAGGTACAACATGTGTACACTTGTCTCAGGACTGTCGTCTTGCAAATTCCGTTCAAACTGCCCTGCAGGTTCTCCCATCAATGCGATCCGCTGAAACACTTTCTCAGAACGTTTGATTTTGTCATCAGGTTTCGACACGCAGTCCTGCGATCAACCAGTCACAGAGCGCTCGGTCTCACTGATCACCAATTTTACTGACGGAACTGGTGGATGGCTGTCGTCTGCGATGTTTTTTTTACTTTGTGGTGGTTTGCCAGTTAACTCACAATCTCGACATACTTCTGTTGTCCCTGCCCTTTTGGAGGGTCTGTGCCCCTTTTGGGCACGTGTGTGCGGACCGCGCGCGGACTGCGCAGGTTGTGCATGCTTGCATAATTATCGTACGCATTCTTGTTGTTGTGCGCATGCTTGCATAATTATCGTACGCATTCTTGTTGTTTTGGGGGCCTTCTTCCTGAGAGAGCGAACTATTCTACTTCACCTCTCCCCTGATACCATATCCGGTTACACAATAGCCATACTCACACTCGGTAACGTGCTGGTGCCTGGAGCTGGCCACGGGGTCGTAGCGCATACCCTCCAGCTGGAGCCATATCAATGGTGACACCAATACCATTGTCATCTTCATCGTCACTACAAATGCTAGTCTCTGTGGCAGCTACATCGACGGAATCTCAGGAAGATCCTTCTTCACTGAATCTTCAGCAAGGCAATGTTGACAACCTTCTCCAACACTCGACAGTTGTCCGGACTTGGCTTTTCAATAACCACGGGCGTTGAACTCACAATTGCCTTCACTGTCCAGCCACGCTCAAATGATGCAAGGCACTTCTGATGTCGATCTGGGCGCTGTAACATCACTCGTTTACCAACAGCATATGGACAATGTGACTCATCCTCAACGAAGTCGTTCGCCGAGAGCTCAGCATCAATCAGGTCACGAATCCGGGCAGACCACTTTGCATGCTTCATGGCCCAGTCACTGAGGCTGCACGCTTCGGCTGTGTTGTCAATGATAAAGTGAGGGGGTTTCCAGCCTGCCATGGCTTCCATCGGCAACAGGCATGTGGCACTGTGAGGCCAATCGCGGTAAAAGAACAGGAGCATATCCAATTCACCCCTCCAGTCCGAAGAGCCATCGAGGACTTTGCGGATGAGGCCGAGCAGAGTACGATCGGCACACTCAGTAGGGCTTTGCGACTGAGGGTGACGAACAACACCGGTACACACATGGACACCCATGAGACTAAACAGGGGCTCCACAATAGCATTGCGAAATTCTGTGCCGTTATCCATGCATACAATGTCGGGGGCACCCCAGATCTTGCAAACACCAGCAAAAGCAGCAGCAACAGACACAGGATCATGACGACGCAGAGGAATGACTTCAACCCGCTTGGTAAACGAGTCGACACAAACCAAGACACAGTGATGAGTCGCACTCTTGTCGAGACCAAGTTCAAGAGTGTCAGTAGTGACCTCACCCCACGGACGACCGGGGATATCGGGTCGAGAGGCAGCAGCAGCAGGTCCCAGCAGAGGACTGGTAGCACGGCAATAAGTGCAATTGGTAACAAACTCCTCACATGCACTACCTCTAACACACCTAACTCAATAGGAAACTGCTTCTCTGTACCTAAAATTTCTGTTCACCTAACCTGGCCTTTTGCCCTCATACCGAAAATATTGAGCACCTCAAATTTCTGAAATTAGAGTACTTTGTTGTGGGAGTGAGCAGCCTTCCACAATTCCAATGCACATTGGGTGCATTGTTGGTCTTTATTATGTCTTTCTATCAGATGAACTTGCAAATACAGTGTCCTTGGGTGAAACGTATAGAATTGCCGGTCAGTTGATGTTGGAGCCGGAGAAAAACCCATCGCAGCGAGCTCATCTTCGCTGCACAATGGAAGTAAGTTGGGCTACCTGATTGTTTCGGGGTAAACAAGTTAGTTGTTTACGATAGGATTATATTCTCACTTGGCCATTGTAGGCAAATCATAGAACCACGACATCTAAAGGATGCTGCATGAAAGTAGGCAGCTGCGAGATGCGTATCTCGCGCATGCTCTTGCATGGCTACGTAATGCATTACATCATAATACAACATCCCCTTCGTCATAAAGGAGTTTAACAACCTACATAACATACCGTACGTATATGACGGCGTGTTCACAATATAGAACATAACATCCAACAATAGCTCTATGTACAAGGTAACAATCATGAATGGCACACGACGGCGTGCTAACAATACAGAGACATAGTATCCAACAATAGCTCTATGTACAATATAACAATGGCACCTCAGCTACTGTGACATAAGCGAACAGGTCCATGAGGCCTCTCTGGCCCTACACATCCAGGATTGACCTGGGTGCGACTGCGCGGCCAGACCGTGTTCGATACAGCTGGGTGGCAGGTTCAGCAGGCTGGCTGACGTCACATGGTGACGGCGGCTGAGACTGGCTAACGTCGCTCCACGGCGACGGCACGTCACTCGACGGCTGAGGGCCTGCGAGACTGGCATCCGGCGGGAAGTGGACCCGCCTCTCTCTGAGGTGGGTACGGTTGCGCCGCACTTCTGTCCCATGGTCAGGCTGCACCATGTATGACCGTGGCCCGTTGACAGACTGGGTTACGATACCAGGTTCCCACAGGTGCGTGGTCGGGCTGCGGATGCCGACGTGCTGACCAGGAACTAGGGGGCGGAGAGACTGCGCTCGCTGGTCATGGTGTACTTTCTGCTGGTCCTGCCGTTCCTCGAGCTTCTGTCGGATGGCCTCGTCCCGAGTGTCGCGCTGGTGTTTGCGAGGCAGGTTGTCCTGTACCTGACGACCGAACAGCATCTCGGCCGGCGACGGTAAGCCCTGGCACACTGGGGTGGCGCGAATGCACAGCAGTCCTAAGTGCGGGTCGGTCCCGCTCTCCCTTGCCTTCTCGAGAGCTCTCTTAGCGATCTTGACTTGCGATTCGATAAACCCGTTACTCTGCGGGTGATGTGGCGACGACGTACTGTGGCGGAATCCATATTCGGCAGCAAACTCTGCGAACAGATGGCTGCTGTATTGCGGCCCGTTGTCCGACTTCAGCACGGCTGGGATGCCGTGCTCACCGAAAATCTCCTTGAGGTGCTGGATGATGGCTCTGCTGGTCGCTTGTCCGGCAGGCAGCTTCCGGGTGATAAAGTACTTGGAGTAGTAGTCGGCGGCAATGAGGTATTCTGACCCGCCGAGGTAGAACAGGTCCGTGCCCAAGGTGTGCCATGCCCTTGGCGGAATATCGGGCTGCATCAGTGGTTCCTTGGCTTGACTGCTCTGGTGGCGCTGGCACGTCGTGCAAGATGAGACAGTTGCTTCGATATCCTTGTTGATGTCCTTCCAGAAGACGGACGTTCTGGCTCGCAGCTTGGTCTTCTCTATGCCTTGGTGGCTGGCGTGCAGCTTGCTGAGGATTTCCCCCCTCATTGGCGGGGGAATCAGGACGCGACTGCTCTTCAGGATGAGACCGTCCTCGGTGCTCATCTCGTCGCGGAAATTCCAGTACGGGAGCAGAATTGCCGGCACCGCGCTCCTCTCTGATGGCCAGCCACTGAAGATCATCTCCTTCAGTGCTGACATCTCGGCGTCTTTAGCCGACTCCTCGCGGATCCTCGTCATCGCTGCATCGCTGAATTGCGGGAACACGGCGTGTACACTGACGTCGAGGTCCTCAATTGGCTCTGTTTCCTCTGGCGACAGTCGGGATAGCGCGTCTGCGATCGGAATGTCCTTTCCGGGGCGGTACTTGATGGTCATGTCGTACGGCTGCAGCTTCAGCAGCATGCGCTGTAGACGCGGCGGGGCTGCGCGGAGGTGCTTGAGCTTGATTGACTCCAGCGGCTTGTGGTCGGATTCTACTGTGAATGACTGACCGAATAGGTAGGTGTGGAATCTTTCACACCCGTATACGACAGCTAAGAGCTCACGCTCAATATTGGCGTAGCGAGACTCCGTCTCGGTAAGCTTCTTGCTGGCGAATGCAACAGGCTTGTCGTCCTGCAGCAGAGTGGCGCCGAGACCTTTCATGGAAGCGTCGACTTGTAGTGTCGTTGCCTTGCCTGGGTCAAAGTAACTGAGCGTTACCTCTGTCGAAATGGCGGCCTTGACCTTGTCGAAGGTGCGCTGGTGGCTGTCTGTCCAGGCGAACGGTGTATCTGGCTTGGTCAGCTCACGCAGGTGCGCGGTCAGTGTGCTGGCATTCGGTATGAACGGGCTCATGTACGTGACTAGCCCGAGGAACGTCTGGAGCTCGTCCTCGTTCTCGGGGTGCTCCATCTGCTTCAGCGCTGAGACCTTCTTCGGGTCGGGCTGTATTCCGTCAGCGCTGCAGATGATGCCGAAGAACTTGATCTTGTCCTCTTTGATGCGGCATTTGTCTGGGTTCAACTTGAGACCAGATTGTTCGCAGCGAACCATCATCTGGTGCATGTTGAGATCATGGTCCTCGTCTGACGTCCCGTATGTGACGATGTCGTCTGCGATGCCGGTGACGCCTGAGCACCCTTCGAACGTCTGGTCGATCCTTGCTTGGAAGACATCTTGCGACATCTTGAGGCCGAATGGCATGCGAAGGAATCTGTAGCGCCCGAATGGTGTGTTGAAGGTGGTGAGGTAACTGGATTCGTCGTCGAGCTCCACATTCCAGTACCCACATTTGACGTCGACGATCGAGAACACTTTGGCACCTCTCAACTTCGGGGTGATCTCCTCAATGGTGGAGACCACGTGGTGCTCTCGCAGGATGGCGTGATTGAGGTCCTTGGGGTCTAGGCACAGGCGTAGCTTGCCATTGTCTTTGAGGCGGAACACGAGGCTGTTCACCCATGCTGTTGGTTCGCCTTCCTGGATCTTGGTGATGATGCCGTTCTGGATCATGTCCTCCAGCTCCGTCTTGATCTCGTCTCTCAGTGCGATGGCGTGGAGGTGGCGTGGAGGGTGTACAACCGGGACGACGTTGGGGTCCACTGTGATGTGGTACTTGCCTGGGAATTTCCCAATGCCATCGAAGCACTTCGGGTATTGCTTCATCAGGTCGTCCTTGTCTCGGATGCTCGCTGGCTTCTCCTGGACAGCGCAGTTCAGCGTGACTAACTGCAGGGCTGTCGCTGTCGGGAGGCCGATGATAGCAGTGCCAGGGCAGTCCGTGATGTAGAAGTCAGCGAGTTGACTCTTGCCATCGTAAGAGCACGGAATAGGACGGGTTCCGCATTGCTTTATCTTGGATCCGCCGTACGCTGTGAGGGTGGTACTTGACGGCTTCACGGATTTCGGCTTTGGGTATCCGTTTGGTCCGACGTGCTGGGGAAACATTTGGCAGAACACTCTCAGCGGCAATATATTGCCCTGGGCGCCCGTATCCACCTTGGCTCTCAAGGTGGCCGGTCTGTTGGTGTTGTCCAGGCTGACATTGAGGGTCGCGAACACCTCTCGCTCTAGTGGCGGTTGGTGACGCTCGACGCTGTCGATGATGACGGCGTCGAAATGCAGTGCGTCGAAGCGTCTCCGTGGGCTGGGGCTCCTCTGGGGGTAGCGCTCCCGCGGGCTGGGGCTCCTCTGGCGCCAGCGTCCGCGTTGCTGGCCCCTTCCATGTGCCTCGTCTCTCCCCTGCGAACGGCATACGTTTGCCCAGTGATTCGCCTTCCCGCATTTGTTGCAGGTGGAGCCGTGCGCTGGGCACTTGCTTGGGTGGTGGGTTCGTCCACATTTGCCGCAGTCTGCGTGTCCCACAGATTTGGAAATGGCGTGAACCGTTTCAGGTAGACGGCTGCTGCTGGTGGCGGTGGACAGCTGCTCCATGTGGCGCTGTGTTGCTTCATAAGTACGGGCCTTGTCAAGCGCTTCGTCCAGAGTCAAATCACTACCACCCTCCAGCAGGCGTTCTTGCACTTTCGAGTGCTTCGTCCCCACGATTAGCTGTTCTATCAGGCGATCGTTAGTCTCCTGAGCGTCCCTGAACTTGCACTTGGACGTCTTCTTCTTACACCTCGCAAAGAAATCATCTACAGACTCGTCGGGTTGCTGGCGGTATTTCTGAAGCTCAAACCGAGCCAGTCGTGCATTTACCCGTGGCTGCAAATGCTTATTAAATTTCTTGAAGACGGCAGCTACTTTGGATTTGTCGCTTGCATTATCCCACTCGAAACTATTGAAAGCATCAACACCAGTTCTCCCGATCCATAGCATGACATAGGCGACCTTTTCCTTGTCGGACTTGTCGGAAAAGGGCCCTTGGAAAACTAGAAGGCAGTATTGTTGGAACCGCTCGAATTCATCAGGTAAATCTGCGGCTTGCCAATCCATCGACGGCGGGGTAAATCCGGCTGCTTCTGCCATTTTACCTCTTGCACCGGTGGCGCTACTGCGACAATTCTAGGGCGTTTATTTAGTTTACTTCTGACACCATGTTTCGGGGTAAACAAGTTAGTTGTTTACGATAGGATTATATTCTCACTTGGCCATTGTAGGCAAATCATAGAACCACGACATCTAAAGGATGCTGCATGAAAGTAGGCAGCTGCGAGATGCGTATCTCGCGCATGCTCTTGCATGGCTACGTAATGCATTACATCATAATACAACACTGATGTGACATGGGATCCCTGTAGATGACCTTACGAACAAACATGCACGTTCTTTGCCATCAGCACCTGAAAGAAATACCAATGGTCTTGAGTTTCTCATGGTTTGGCAAATAAGAGGATGGTGCAAGCAAGTAACTTTCTATTGGAGTCAATTCATGTACTGCAACCCACAGTTAATTGGGAACTCTTGCCCTGGCGAGGAGAAACATGAATGCAGCGAATGGGATTTTCGGTCTTTGACCACTTTGCTGGTGGGCTGATCTACTCACCTCCCACTGCTTTAGGAGCTGCATCTGTGCCTTTGATCTTTGCAGGGTGGTGGCGTTCCTATGGATGCTGAAAACTACTGAGTCTCAAGCGAACCGTGATTTTTGTAATGGCTTGAAACTGTTTAGCCAGGGATGGTAGCCATACTTACCTTCAAGTACTTCCCCTGTCCGAGTGTCGTTGTTGAGAATACTGCACTGTTTCAGTGAATGCTGACAGGTTGTTTGTGCCTGTCTGTCTCTCTGCTTCAGGCAATCCACGTTCAACAAGTAAGCTGTTTGATTGTTAGTTTATTAGTAGCAGCTGTGGACAAGACTATGCACATTTCCTGACTCTGGGTTTTACTGTATATAGTTAGCACGCTTGTCATTGTTCCAAAGAGTAGCTTCCCATACCAGCACAGCTCCATCTAATCATCTTGTTCCTGCTTTTGCTCCCCATTTCTCGGTACGGATGTGGACTCTATTAATTAACATTTTGATCGAAGCCAAATCCTACCTTGTCCATGTGGATTTTTCTTCACTGTACTGTTTTGCAGGCAACTGGCTACACTGCCATACCTCCATCTCCGGCTGCTAACGACAAAATTTCCAAATTGAAGCAAGGTATTGTGGTGCGCAATTTCCATCTTACCTTCTTCAGGGGAACACAGCAGTCATCGGGACCAAAGCGCATGAACATATTGAACCACGATTCTGAAATCCTGCATTCTAAGATGATACTTTCTAATGAACCATTCAAATGTGTGACTTGCATAGACATGAAGCATAGCACTACAAGTAGACACTTTAATGATAGCTTGCATAGACCTGCATAGACCTCGGTCCTACCTACCGGTAGGACCATCATACACAGACATGCTGCATGGCCTCTGTTCTAACATTGACCTAAAACTTGACCCTAAACTGTTGCTCAAAGGCTAATGAAGGAGTCCAGAAATTTTAGACGTGATCGCACAAGTCATACTATGAAATTCCATGGTAACAGCCTATGGTAACCATGGAAACGGAGTATAGAATTATGCATTCCACTGCCTTGGCAAGCTAATAATAACATTAGGACCTCACCACGATTGATGTGCCATGGTCAAAATTCACTTTGGACAGAGTTGCTAAAGCTCCGACAGGAGTATGTGCGGCCATTTTGACAATTGATAAAACTGCGCATACGCAATGCACGGGACATAGCCTTGCATATTGCGCCATTGCTTTGCCTGACAAAGACCTCATCTCAACAATTGTTTCAAGAAATTTCTCAACCAAAAGCACTTTTGCAGCGCGATTTCTTGGGTCCTACCGGTAGGACGGCATGCAAGCTATCATTAAAGCAATCTAAGTGTACATCCAACAGTTAGTCGTGTTAGCTATGCTGTAGGTAGCATGAGCGACTGGCAAGTACAGCGGTGCATTCATCTTGAAAAGTAAATGTCGAGTTAACCCAATGCGGATACTTATTCTTTGCATGCTTTGTGACCTTTCATCCTGTGTTGCTGCAGCCTGTGCCTACTCTCCTTGGGCTTTTCCTGCTACAGTAGCTTATTCTTTTGCCGGTGAGTCACAGTGTGCACAAAGCACCCTCTACTAACTGCCAACGCACACCTCTCGGCTACGATTGTTGGCAAGCAAGCAGAATGTCACCAGAAAATGTTCTTCAGGCGGAAATATCAAGTAGCGCTGCAGTCAACAAACTCAAGAAGAAAACATCTGGCACACAATGAGCACAGCAGCAGCAACAAGCCAGAGAGCAAGTCAACTCTGAAAAGCAGAAGAAGACGATAAAGACCCTTGAACGCAGGCCCCTGCGCTATACAGATATAGTGTGCCTCTTCTGTATTCAACTGCTCTCTCATAATAATTATTGGGGTAAACCACATGTCTCCCGTTATTTGGTGTGTGATGGAAACACTTACTGGGCACCAGGTTGACCGACTGCCAAGCCCTGCTAAGATGTGTGACTTCCTGGCCAAGTCTAAGCAACCGGTCCTCACACAAATCGGAGACCCAATGCTAATGGAAGACAATGTAACACTGCACCATGACGGCACATCCAATCAAGGACACAAGTACTACATGGCACAGCTAGCCACTCCCGACAATATTCTCAGCCTCGGCCTCGCACCAGTGAAATCTGGCACTGCAGAGCACAGCTTTGAAGCTGGCTCGACTATGCTGTCAGATGCTGAGCAAGCCTGTCGTAGATCAGGATCTGACATGCCTGTGGCCAGGAAGTTGATCAGTAGCATTAAAAACACAATGACGGACCGAAGGAGTGTCGAAAAGAGCGTGAACAAAATGCTTGAGACGTACCGTACAAACATTCTTCCAGAGATGGCGGCCAGCTGGACCAATCTACCAGAACCAGTCGGGCAAACCGTGCTCTCTGTCAACACAGTCTACTGTGGTCTACATTGTATTGTTCTACTGGCAGAGCAGGCGCTGGAAGTTTTACGCATCTGGGAGAAAGCACACTTCGATACAACAGCAGTAGGTGCTTCAAGCCAAGGTTTCGAAAATACTGGAGAAGCTGGCAGTGTTCGCCTCATCCGGACTGCCTGTAAAGCCTTGGAGGCTCACTGCAATGAGCAACCAGGCAATCATGTGCTGTTTCGGAGCTATTTGCTTTCCAAAGGTGTAGAATGCATTCCACTAGCACGGTTTGTGGGCAACCCGTTTAACGTCATCTTCTACAATGCTGCGGGCATCATACTTTACGAGAGCATATTCAACGGTTCTATAAAGATGCGTTCGGCACGCAGAACCACTTACACTGGGCTGTTTTGGCTGACATTCAAGTCGATGGTTATATCGCAGCATGCAGGGCCCTCGGAATTGTCGGCAAGTTGACAACCGACCCCTCTGGAGGAGGCTGGAGCAGCCTGGCCTCAGTGTCAACCACATTGGCGATGTTTACCAAGCACTGTGCACAGCTTTCAGTGCACTGAAGTCAGATTGCACTTCTTTATTGGTTCGACAACAGTTTCCCCAGGAGTAAATGTGGTTGTGGATGAAGAAGAAGACGAAAACAGACATGTTCTGCAGCAACGGCACTGATGAGACGACATTCGTCATCCTGCAACTGCTAACAACAGCATTTGGAACTTACTCCAAGAAACTCCTTTTCGACCATTTACTAGGTGGCAAGTTCCACAACATGTCAGCAGAGCAGCAGAGAACAACGGAAAGTGTACAAATCACGAACGTCGTGAGCGAAAGAACATTTGCTCTTTTGGACAGACTCCGCCATCAGAAACCCAACACATCTGCCATTGCCATTCAGGGCATTGTACTGTTCTGCTCAAACCATACTGGTGAGTGGCTTCGGAATCAGTCGGAGCACAGCCAGGAAAGCTCTTTAAAAGCACTCTCGCTGGTTCCCAAGAACACCGTCATCTCTATCGACAACGCAGCCAGGCGATGTGCGATTTTCAACGGCAGAAGATGATGGAAAAGGAAACACAGCGACTGCAGAAGGAGGCCCACACACTCCAAGACTAAGAGCAACTTCTCGAGAAAATCATGTCGGAAGGGCTGTGGAACATTTCCGCATTAGTGCAGAGAAGCTCTCCCTTTTTGCCAACAGTCGCCAGAAAAGTGTCTGCTTTGAAAAGCCAAATCAAATTTGGATTGGATTGGATTGGTTTATTTAAATTCAGGCGTATAGTTCTGCAGCAGAAGGGTGACAAGATCCTATTCCAATGGTCGTCCGGCGGCAAGACACTTACATGGCAGGAACTAAGGGAACACCTAGTACAGCTTATCAGAGAAGCCAGCATGGACACACCAGGACTGACTACGGAGGAATAGAGAGCAGGTGTGTTCCATCGTCATAATTATTGCATCTTCTTCCGCGTGGTTGTTTGTACTTGTAATAAAGTACCAAAGTAATTTCTTGTACACTGTAATACTTTTTGACTTTTTCGAATGATTGAACCAGCATGCGTCCACGTGCTCGCTATTTCTTTCGTCAAAATGTCGTCTCCGCCATGAGTACGCGCGGTATGGTTGCCCCGAAAACTGCGCAAACCCGGTACGCAGTGTGTTCGTTGATATCCCTACCTCACGCAGCATGGACGGCGTGCAAGTGGAACGCACCTGTGGACAAAGAACGTCGTAGCCCACATCCCACATGCACATGCAGGGTGCTACAATGCTGTGCAGCACACCAACGTACAGAGCACAGATTTTTGTACCTATGTGGGTGCTGACTGCAAGCGAGGCAATGTGGCTTAGCAAAGAGCGCAATAAAGTGAATGGCTCAACACCGAGCATGAAGGAAAATAATGGCTCAACATTGAAAGCATGTGTTGGCTCAACATAGAGCACAGGACGATCGAACGATTTGGACCATTTCCGTTGTTATGCCAGCACCCAGTAATTATTGTGATTGTAGACCAACACTAGCAGTAATGGTTATCAATAGTGGTAAGGATGAGGTGGCGGGAAAACATATCCGCAAGCCATCCACCACTGATGTGCAAGATGTGCCAGAAAGACATTAAAAAAAAACAGTTTGAGCTCTCCAAACTACAGTAATGCTACCGTGTGTGCCAAGTCCTTGAGCTGCTAGTACAGCTGGCAGCTAATTTGCACACAGCCGCGCGTACCTTATGCCTGTATGCTACACCCGACATGCTGCCAGGCATATTAATTAGGTTGCATCCCGGTTGTCCTTGCTCTCTACCTGTTTCTGTCTCTGTGTCTTGCTTGCTCTCTCCAGGTCAGATATGTCCTCCTGGGGTGTTCCACCGTCTGAAATTGGCACTACTTCTAAGTCTTGTGACAGTGACAGAGTGTGCTTCACTGGCCAAGGAAGATGTTACATGTGTGCCAGAAGAAGAGGAAATGTCTGTAATCAACTCCAGAAAGCATGGGCTGCATTTGCTGTCGATAAGTTCCGATGACCTGTTGCAGGTAAGAGTATATTACCCCCCCCCCCCTCCCCCCCCCATGGCAAATACTCTTATCATGTGATCCATATCAATTTCAAGTACGTTTTACTACGCACAACGAAGGTCAGCGTGTACGCAGTCTAGATACCTGCCAAGACTCAGATGAGCATTCTGTTACTACTCTATTACTTTCCAAAATAGGTTCGACATGTGGAGCATGAACATTACATCAAGTGATGTGGGGTTTTATTGTCGGCAGATCCGAGCCATAACAAACTCACGCAAAGTTTCACAATCTTGTGGAGTTAAAAATTAAAATGCAAGCACTTTGGCCAGGAATACCATGCATCATAAGCGATTCAAAATGACACCAGAGCAACTGATATTGGGCTCATCATGGCTGAAGTAGCCATTTGTAGCTAAGGTACCATGGAGTGCATGAAAGAGTCAGAGAAACTGTGAAAACAGAAACTCCAGCAAAGTCGAAAAGTCACAATAAACAAAGCCATGCATCACAACCCATGCCTTCGTGGCTATGCACAGCAAAGACACATTAGCATGAGCATTTGCATTGATCATCATCAATGATGACACCATCAGATAACACAGATAAATAACTCGATGATTGCTGCAACAAAAATTCAAACAGCTTCAGAACAGGTTAAAAACTAGCAGTAGAAGGAGAAAAACAGATCAAAGAAAAACAAAGACAATGGAAGCTGAACAGGGATTTAACCCTTTATTACCGGCCTGCAGACTTTCGATCATATATGATCGAAAGTCTGCAGGCCAGTAATATCTTCATAACTCCATCATTTCTTGTGCGAATTCAACAATCGAAAGGTCTATTTGGTAGCGGAAACCCCAGGCTATCCAATGCAACAATCGCCGAAGAGTTACGATGTCGGACACCAGAGATATCGCGCGCCGTATTTTCACCTCGGCAAATTCAAATTTTGATCGATCACTTCGCCATTTTTGGGGAAAATCCCTTTACTTGTGCTCTTTGAGCGACTAAGCACGTGATGTTGACGTAGTCAGCTGAAGTTTGAATCGTCTCAAACAAATTTGAGCGCTCTACGATGAAGGAGAGTGGAATGGCGTTGATGGGACGAAATTGCTTGCATATCAGGCTTGGAGACGACTTTGCTGTGTTACCGCGCCTGATTTGTGGTGACTGGATAATGGAGCTTGGTACCCTGGCGTTACTCTTGCCAAGAGCTTTCCAACGAGCCCTAGATTGTGAATATCAAGTGAAGGAGACCAAAGTTATGACCTGATGAAGTTGGAAATTGTGCTGAAATTCGTAATCCTGGTGCATGCTGTGCAAGTAATCCGGTAATAAAGGGTTAATTATGACTTAGAGGCCGGGTGTACTTGTGACCCAGCTAACAAAACAAATACGCATCGTAATGTTAGTCTGCGCATTGTATTTGTCACAAGTCGCATGATATGTGGTAAAACTTACTTGCATTTGCTCGAGCTTTCAATTTCAAACTCTTCTGTTCCGTGTTCATTTCAATGTTCAGAGCCGACTGATGACGTATGCCTCGCAGTTTTCCCCAACATGCATGTCACACAACCAGGCGACTAGTGATTTGTTTGGCACAGTTAGCAAGGAGCCATGCTTGCCTGGTTGCTCAGTACTATGTGGTGAGTACAAGTAGTAGCTGCCACTTTCGTGACCAGGGTCAGGCGTGCCAGGCTTCCGGAGAAAGCTTGGAAGTTCCCACCGAAAGATTTATATTTTAGGTGTGCACAAAAGAACTAGCAGCTTATTTTAATTAGAGAGCACATCGCTACGGGATGTTTGAATTTTTGAAACGGCTCCCCCACTTCACGGCAGTGTTTGGGTTATGTAACCAGCCATTGTGATGAGCTGACACAACTCTCCACCTTCTAGCGGGATGGACTGAAATCTCCGCTGAAAGCTCACTTATAAGGGCGCGTTCAGACTACCGTGAACCCCGCCAAGCCGTGCATGGCGATAAACCGTGAAGAACATTCACACTACCGATAAACTAGCGCTACCGGTACGTACGTTTTGCAGCTCTCACCGCGGCACTGAGAAGGGATTTTCCCTTTTTCCCAGCCTGAGCACTCTTTTTACTGCTGGAAAAGTTTTACTGCCGCAGCAGCCGCGGCAGTAAAACCTTCCCGCCGGTAACGTGCCAGTAACGTCACGTGATCAAATCACCTTGGAAACTTTCCCATTCCGTCACTTTTTATCGGTAGTCTGAACGCACCCTAACTCACTTATGTTGTAGGAATGTTTTCTGCAAGTTGTCACTTGCTTGCGTCCTGAAGCAGGAAGTGTGCTTAAAAGCAGGGTGTATGTCTAGTCCTGCTTCTGCACTGTAAGAGCTTGCTTCTTGTGATCAATTATTATTCTGTTCTCCTGGGTCAGGTTTATGGCTCAACTTCGGTCATGGTCTGCTATTGTCTTGGTGTGTTGCAGCTGGCTCACTATTTCTGGCCACCGGTGGCATTTGTCTGCTTGGCAATCTATCTCATTACAAGAAGGATTCTCAAACCCAGTTGCAACATGGTAAGTTCCACAGCCGGCACTTGTACTGTACTGTGCCATTGTCTGGTCCAAATTTGGCTCTGTGTTCTTTTAGATAGTGGTAGGTTAAAAATGGCCCTGTAGCTGTTGTTTTTTTTACAGGTACTGGACATTCTGCATTCAAGTGACCATTTTTTGCCATGTTGTGTTGCAGTGCTAGAAGGTGATTGCGCAATATTTTCAGTACCCTTCCGTGATGAGTCCAACATTGTTGGGAGATCGTCACAGGTTCAGCAAGTACAAGTTCCTCTCAAATGTGCCGTCTGGGCATATGCTGACCAGAAGAGCAAAAAGAAACACCGTCAAGTTCCAGCAGCCACATCACTAAGCGGCAAACCATACTTTGTAAGTAGACCGCGGACCCGTTGCCACTGGAGCTGCATTAGTAAACACCAGCAACCTGGGTGTCATAGGCAGTGTGATCCATGCCATGATAGAAAGTACATGGGCTCATGGCTCATCGAAAATTGTCCCACTCGATGTGTTGCCAGGGCAACCGAACGAAGTTATTGCCACTTGGTTTCTACCTGATCTATGCATTGCTGCGTTACTAGTCGCACCATGCATACTTGGCTGATCTGTATCCACAGTAATAGTGTTAGTATATAAAGGATTTGCTGCTGAAAGTTGAACCCTTTATGTACGGTGTGTACGTGAATCGATCACATATGCTCGATTCATGATCGATCCGTAAAACCTTCGTAACTCCATCATTTCTTGTAAACATGTTATGAGAGAAGATCTGAAAATTTTGATCTCAGTGAAAATCCTTGTATCGTGATATCTGGACTATCGTCACAGACCAATATGCGAGTATGAAACAGTACTGCATGCAGATTGACCAAGTCTGCAAAGGCCTTATTTAAAATTACTTTAGTCGCCAATTGTTGTGGTTCGCATTCAGCCCGCACACTACTCATACACAGTTCCACTGATACACACGGATCGGAGAGTTTAGAAATACATGAGCCCGAGCGCGCTAAAACATGACCACAGCTTTTTTTGAAAAAGTCGAGATAATCGCGATTTGAATTCCGCGGCAAAAAATACGAAGTGCAGTGCAACGCGAGTCGCTGTTGTTGTTCTCCTCGGTCGACTGGACTGTTCCGGATGCAATTCTTTGTTGCAAGTAAGTTTATTTGTTAGAGTTTGTATTCCATGTTGCGCTGAGTCGCCTAAAACTGATCGTCATCGATGTATCGACAGAAGAGCCTAGTAGTAGTAATGTACTGCGGAGCGGAAGAAGACGACATCCTCGCACTCCATGCGCAGGATAAAATATTTTGAGGATTCGAGTCGGAAACAGAAGGAAGACGATGATGGCTACAGCGACGAGTCCTTTGAGGGCGACACTTTCATCGAGCGTAAAAAGAATTGATGCTGGTAGTCCCACGATCTGCAGTGACGAGGAATTCTACTCTCATGACAAGCTGGCAAGCGATTGGCATCGACACTGACTTGGGAGGTGAGTCGGCCGATGATTTGGCCATAATGGACATCGCTGCACATATCCGGGACAATGCCAGTATTGGTTGCAAGTGCAAAAACAATCACTGGACTCTGCTGCTAACTCAGCTTGCTCAAGTCGATAATTTGAGTGCCTTATGCGGAACATCGCTAGCATGAGCAGTATGCAGCGAAAGCAGTACTCTCTGGCGAGCAGAGAAAACCGTGTGCAGATGGGCTTTGGTGTGGGGAATATGAGTGCGACGTCTAGTATGTTGAGGAAGACTGTGTGCAGCAGTGTATACTGTATATCTGAAAGTACAGGTGGAGTGTGATGGAGAGGACATGGAGTGCCAACTTCTCCGGCCATCTACAGATGTTGACCGTGTTTTTGCTGGCGGTTCTCCAGTGGTGCTCCAAACAGGAGGTATTTCGGACACCCAGCTCAGCTGCCTATAGACAATTTGGATGTGGCTGAGTACCTGTCAGCTCATGCTATAAGACCCTGGACAGAGGAACTGACCCGGAAAGGATGAACCAAGGGGCTTATCAATTGTGTGCAAAAATGACAATCCCATTGCTGCACATAGAATTTCACCATTTCAACAGTGCTGCATATAATACCATTGTAGCAACACTTAGATATGTAGATCAATCCAAAACTTTCAGACAGTGAACATTAGGTGTGTTAGATCATTTTTGAACAAAAAACTGAAAATCGAATTTTTGGTCTGTGGTCATATTTTGGCGTGCTCTGGCTCACATTGCATTGAAAGGGAACATGGAAGTAAAGGTAAAACCAGAGAGGAAAGACATGCAGCACAGGAAGCCAAGATGGATCCAAGGAGAAGCACATTACACACATGCGCACACTCTAGATACAGAGAGTGCTGCATAGCAACAGTAACTACGCGCCTGGCAACAGTAACTACGCGCATGGTAACAGTAGCTAAGATAATCTGATAATGACGTCACACATAGCATGCATGTAATCTAGGACTGTGACGTTGCGCATAACATGCATGCAATCCATAACACTCTGCTTTCTTCTTTGCTTGCATTAGGACAATGTGAACCTCAGCAAAGCCCTGGTGGAGTAAGTATGCGCAGGCTTGATGTTCATGTACTTCAGTATTCTAATTAGGATGGTGAGCTGGCTTGATAACCAGGAACTGAAGGATGAGGTGAAAGCAGACGCGAATAGCATGTAGGTGTCAACGACTTTTGTTATGCTGTGACAACAGCTATACCACCACCGCCGCCGCCGCCGCCACCACCACCGCCGCCGCCGCCACCACCACCACCACCACCACCACCACCACCACCACCACCACCACCACCACCACCACCACCACCACCACCACCACCACCACCACCACCACCAGGACACCAGGACACCAGAACAACAGCTAAGCATGCCTGGAACGGTTTGGCCTTTTGCACTAGCAGCCTTTTGATAGCTTGCATGCCGTCCTACCGTGGTCCTACCGGTAGGACCCAATACCGGTAGGACCCAAGAAATCGCGCTGCAAAAGTGCTTTTGGTTGAGAAATTTCTTGAAACAATTGTTGAGATGAGGTCTTTATCAGGCAAAGTAATGGCGCAAAATGCAAGACTATGTCCAGTGCATTGCATACGCGCAATTTTATCGATTGTCAAAATGGCCGCACATACTCCTGTCGGAGCGCTAGCAGCTCTGTCCAAAGTGAATTTTGACCATGGCACATCAATCGTGGTGAGGTACTAATGTTTTTATTAGTCTGCCAAGGCAGTGGAATGCATAATTCGATACACCGTTTCCATGGTTACCATGGGCTGTTACCATGGACTTTCGTGCTGTGCCTTGTGCGATCACGTCTAAAATTTCTGGACTCCTTCATTAGCCCCTGAGCAACAGTTTAGGGTCAAGTTTTAGGTCAATGTTAGAACAGAGGCCATGCAGCATGTCTGTGTATGATGGTCCTACCGGTAGGTCCTGCCGATAGGACCGAGGTCTATGCAAGCTATTTAGATCATCTAGGCACACCACACGCTCAGGAACCGTCGTGGTCCCACTCTTCCCACTATATCTTCTGATACACCATGGACTGACTCTGCCTGCAACCATTCTGTGTTATGGTTTCTTCTAGTCGATTCGATATGGTAGTGAGTACCCAGTCAGGCAGCCCTGTTGCTCTGGACTTGGCTGATGCCAAAGTATGTGATATGCTGCTGGAGGCTTCCTGCTCGCACTCTACTGATTTGGAACACAGAGAATGTCTACTGGATGATCAAGACACCAGACAGGTATACTGAAGTACATCTATTCCATTCGAGAGAGTTCAAGAAACTAAATTGATGGTATCTGTGCTATGTGACACCTGTATCTGTGCGGTTTCTAGTAATGAATAATTTGATTTCACAGTATTTAATATATTTTCGACGTTTCCACATTCAAGGATGTGGACTATATTACCTGTGTTTTGCCCTTTTCCACCCACTGCCTTCACAATCTGGAAATGAGTTAGTTTGTATTCAAAAGTCTGAGGGAGTAGCAAGGCCGCCACAGCCGGGTCGGCCTCAGCCGCCCCACTTTTTCGGCGTTTTGATGATCGCAGCTCTGCGCAAACTTGGCAAATGATGAAGAATCCTTGTTCCCGATCGTGGTTTGTTGCTGAATCAAAAAGTCTTTCATTGCAGGTACAGTGAAATGGCAACAAATGCTTGGAAATGCTTGCAGTTGGCTTAAATTCTTCCCGGGGAAGGGTAATGAAAGAATCCGTGTCCCCGATCGTAGCGTCTTCTTGGTTTGTTGCAGAATTAAAAAGTCTTTCATTGTAGTTACACTGAATTGGCACCAAATGCCCGGAAATGCTTGTAATTGGCTTCAATTTTTGAAATTTTTCCGGGGAGGCCCCGCACCCCCCTTCCATGGCCGTCCCACCTCGAAAGTCGGTGCGACGGGCCTGAGTAGAATTAGTTTTTAGTATTCTTGTTGCACCAATTTCTTCTCGTGTTCTGCTTTTTCCAGCTAATTCAGTTGGCAGCTGCAAAACGACCCACGTTTGCAAAGGGATCTCAAGATCTCATTCGCTCATTTTACATGGCAAGCCGGCAGATGCGCTCATCCGGTGCTTTTGGAACAGACATACCAGCAACTGCTATTCATTCCATGTAAGTGTGTTAATCTGTCTTTCCTGGGCCTTTCTTGTTTGTTTGACTCACGATTAGGGATACTGTATAAGCAGAAATATTCGTCTGGAATTTAATTTCGTCTTTTTCGTCCAAGGAGCTTTTGGACTAAATTAAATGTAGGACGAATATCGATTTGTCCAGCGTTTCTATACACTCTTATGATCCATGGACGAAATTTTCAACCGGACGAACTCCTTTTCTTTGGAGTTGGACGAAATTATTGACCGACGAAATTTTCTGCCTCTACAGGTAATCATTGAATTATTTGAATAATTTGAAAGTACATTTTTCAATTAATTATTTTAGAGACAACGATCAGGTCAGAGAACTCACCTTATTCCTCCACAGTTCTAGCTTCTCTGATTAGCTGTAGAAGGTGCTTTCCCAACTCTTCCCATGTAAATGCTTTGCCGCCGGACGACCACTGAAACAATATCTTGTCACCTTGCTGTTGTAACACGACACGTCTGAAAGGAACTTGCTTGTTTAAAGCAGCCAGCTTTGCTGCCGCTGTTGGAAGGAGCGCAAGCTTTTCCACTACAGTATCTGGAGTGCTCCATAGTCCAGTGAGTGCAATGCTGTCCACCAGCTGTTGCTTCTCTTGAAGAGTATGCGCTTCCTTCTGCTGTCGCTGCCTCTCCTTCTCTATCATTCTTTCCCGCTGGAAATCTCGAATGGCCTGGCTGCGTTGCTGGTACAGCTGTCGGTGGTGCTGGGCTCCTGCTAGAGCGCTCTTGAACAGCTCTCTTCGCCTCAGCAAGGATTGGCTTTGGAGCCATTCCCCGGTTCGGTTGTAGCAGAATAATACGATGCCTTCGATGGCGATGGATGACGCGTTTGGTTTTTCACGTTGCAACCGGTCCAGGAGAGCAAAAGCTCGCTCGCTGGCCACATTTGTTGTGCGGACACTCGCTGATGTGGATTGCTGCTGTGCTGACATGTTGCTGAACTTGCCACCCAGCCAAATGGTCGGCCAGCAGCTTCGTGGAGTAGTTTGCGAATGCCGACACAAGCAGTTCTAGAATGACCTGTGTGGACGCATCCGTGTCGTTGCTGCAAAACAGCTCCTGGTGGACTTCGTCAACGATGATGTGTGCATTGGAAAACATTCTGGCCGAACCGTCCAGTGTGGTCTCGCAGTGTGTAGATGCCGGCAGCATTGTAAAATACAATGTTAAATCTATTGCCGACGAACCTTGCAAGTGGGATTGACTCTACGCCTTTGGACTGGAGATAGCTCTTGAATTGCTGATGACTCCCAGACTGTTCGTTGCAGTGGGCTTCGAGTGCCTTACATGCTGTCCTAATCAGCCGAACACTCCCGGCCTCTCCAGTGTTCTCGAACCCATGGCTCGTAGCGCCCACTGCTGAAGTACCGAAATGGGTTTTCTCCCAGACACGCAAGACTTCCTGTGCCTGTTCTGCTAGGCCGACAATATAGTGCAGGCCACAGTAGAATGTATTGAAAAAGGTTAGGAACAAATGACCACACAGCGCTAGGACAGCTATCAATACACAGTATATTTATCTAGTTGACAACCCCTCCTTTTAAGTATACACTCAAACGTCTCTTATCCGGACGCCTCAGATGCGGGCACGTCTCTCTACCGGGCACCTTCAGCTTGAGTTCCTATGGCAAAAAAATGCCAAAAATGCTTCGATTTTGGGGGTTTGAACTTTTTTCGTATGCACAAGTGCTTATCTGTCACTGCCAACCTGTGTAATCCACACATGTTTATCAATGGATTCTTTTTGTAACCTGAACGTGTGCAGTACGTGCCAAATAAACTTCTTCAAAAACGACATGATACATGGTAGATGAGTTATCCTGAGATACAGGCAAATCTGAGATACGGGCAGTGCCCGGTCCCAAGGTGCCCGGATAAGAGACGTCCGAGTGTATTTACACATTGGAATGAGATCAAGGAGGAATGCAAGAACAAACAACCTACTCAACTACGATCGAATAACAAAAAAACAGCGTAGGTAGGAAAACCGGGAAAGGAACAACAGAGAGAACATGCAATGAAACAATGAAACCGAATGCAAAACCGCTCTCCTCAGCAAAACGTGCATGTACAAGTGCACCTATGACAGCGCAAACAAGGCCAGCATACTATGCACAACAAATAAGGAAAATAAATTTACGAACACAACTGAAAATGATACCAGAACGGATATGCGACTGAACACATTCCGTGTAGCCATGGAAAACATGGTGCCTTATTAACTGAAACTATAATTATGCAGAAATGCAGAATCAATTTAAATCAAACCGAAATTCAAACTACAAACAGCAGTGAGCAGGACAAAGGAAGAGACGTAAAGGATGAGGAAAGGAAAAGAGTTTTACCTGGCAGTGGGTGCTTGCACCCAATACCCAATGCACAAATTACGACTAAAATCACATGCAAGAAGACCTTTCATACTTCAAAACTGGTGGTTTGTAAGTTACAAACCACCAGTTATAATTTGTAACAGTCCGAGTCTCTCACAAGCCGTGCATTTGTTTACCATGTGTTTACTTGATTGCCATCTCAATTCATCTGTTGAAGGAAAACTCCCCAATACTGCACCTCACTGTGACGTAGCATGCCTCAGTCTTCTTTATAATATCAAGAGTCCATAAACAAGAGCATGCAACTGTGATCTCCTTTCTATGGGCCAGACGCGTGGCGCGCTGCCTTCATTACATCATTCAGCTGCAGTCCGCGCACTGCGGAAAATCAAACACCGCACTTTCCCTCTGGTTTGAAATGAACTTTCGTACGGAACTGGAGTTCATGCGCCAGAATTCAGAGATCGCGTAGGCACTGGAATGAATCGAGCAAAAACGGATGGGCTCGTACGAGAAATTGTGAGTTTGAATGCATGCTTTCAGAGCGTGATGAAGGCAAGTTACGTAATGAAGGCAGCGCGCCGCGCACTGGGCCATAACCACAGTTGCATACTCTTGTTTATGCACTCTTGATAATATGAACAGACTGTTGTTTGTCATGTGTGTCCTTGTTCATACTCACTTTATCTAGGTCATGTATTACTTGTTTTTGCTATTGTGTTTGCCACCAGGACCTGTGTAGCCGCTGCACATGCTGCGTTGTGCCTGAGGAGCGAGGTAAGATGACTTCCAGACCTGTTTGTTCTTAGAGACACAATGGTCGCTCGGACTACAGGCACACAGGGCTGAAGATGGTGTCATACTGTAGTTGCAGCAACAGTATCAAGTTCAAGCAAACAACTATCAAAACACTTTGTCGTGGAATTCTTACTGCTTGTTTTTTTTATTTTTGCTGTTGATTTCCTATGGTTGAAGCTCATTGGTTGCGTTGAATTTGCTTTCTGAAGGTCACTGAAGATGATGCCACAGCTGCCATTCTACTTTTTGAAGAATCCATGGTAGCCTGCTTTGGTAAGTTTTGTTGCAGATGGTTTGAGTCTGTGCCATCATCCATACGCATGTGCTTTTCTACTCTTTTATATAAACATGAGGATGGAGGCAGTTGCTGAGTACGAATCGTGGTTAAATTCTAGCAGAGATGGAGAAACTCTTCAGCACCAGATTGGCCATCATGGCGCCACAAGGGCACTACCTCACTGACAACTACCACACATACTGACCAGTGTGGCTAATAGCAAGATTCAGGGTATCGATCTGAACAATATACCATGGCTGGACAGGAATGTCATTCACAAGACAAAATAATCATGAATAACACTCTGGATAGAAACACCGGCAGCCAACATAGGAGGGGAAGTTGTACTATAACTTAGAACCTTCCAAGTTGGAAGGCTGTAGGAGTGCGCATCCAAGACGTTCTAGAGCTGATTGGCAGTCAGTTTGCCATAAAATCATCCTTGGCTCTCCATCCGAGAAGAAATATTTCGAAGAAATGTAAGAAATCAATCGTAAATAGTTTTGAACGATCGTAGCAAAGAAATCTTTGAAGTTCTTGAGTAAAAGAGAATAAATCTTAGAGCAGGGAAAATGACTTCACGTTAAAAAGAAGTGCTGTACCATGTATCATTCTCGCTGCCATTGAAGAAGGAAATCACATGTGCTGAACTGGACTCCATAGCAATTTTAAAAGGTGAGCAATACTTAATGTCGGAACGTAACAAAAACAAGATTGCAATAATCCCAGTGAATTCTTCCTGTGAATTCTACAATGTAATTTCTACACTGATGTGGTTTCTACGATGCAAACTCTACAATGTTAGATAAAGGGCCTGGGTAGCTATGGCCAATATGGGTGCGCAAGCAGCTACCCAGGCCAACTGAACAAAGGTGTCATACGAGAACACGGGAGGCTACGGGATGCAGGTCAGCAGGGGAAAGGATGTGCTGGGAAATGTACGGGAGATGGGGACCTAACGATACTGTCCTAAGTCCACAGTTCCCTTTCACCAGGCTGAAAATGCAACGAGTTCCTGTTTCGTCCTAGTGGCCTGATGCTTGGTTACTTACCAGTAATATCAGTATGCTCAGCTTTTAACTACAGCTCAGTGCAGGGTCAATTCTGTGTTGATCACAGTTGTATGGATTTGTCATTTTTTCCATCCAATGTGATGATGTGTAGGATCATCTGTGCTCAATGTATCCTGTCAGCCACACTTTCGGGATGAGGATCTCGATGCGTACCTGGGAGAAAAGGTAAGCGTTTCCACATACTTACTTTATAGTTGCGAGACCAGGAACAAATCATTTTTTTACACCTGAGTCTACATGTACAGAGCATGGTGGGAGGGGGGGGGGGAGTGTAATATTACAGTAATGTTAGGTACCTCCTCCCGTACAGTCTACCTTTTTCCCTAGCTGGTCTGCATGAACCATACGAACCCCGTACTCACCTTTTGTTCCGTTGGCCTGGGTAGCTACTTGCGCGCCCATATAGCCATAGCTACCCAGGCCCTTCATGGTCTCTTGTTGTCTCAGTCTCTCTCTCTCTGTCTCTCTTTCTCTCCTCTCTCTCTCTCTCTCTCTCTCTCTCTCTCTCTCTCTCTCTCTCTCTCTCTCTCTCTCTCTCTCTCTCTCTCTCTCTCTCTCTCTCTCTCTCTCTCTCTCTCTCTCTCTCTCTCTCTCTCTCTCTCTCTCTCTCTGATAATGTAATGTGGCACTTCCCTTACTTGTGTTTTGCAGCATTGTGAGTACATGAAGCAATTCCAAAGCCAACTGCATCACTTCTGTGCAGTACACGGGACAGGAGTGGGGGCAGGTGGCTGGGAAGAATGATTGTTCTTGCCTGTGTGCACTGAAGTCAAGAACTCGTCAATGAAGCTGCTCTGTGCCAGTGCGTACACGTATGTTTACTGACGAGTACATGACTATGAGCAAACTACACAAGCATTGGCTGGCAATCTTTTTTTATACATGGCGACTTACTTTCAGCGAACTCTCTATATAAGTTGGATGATTATTATTCAAAGTCAATATTAATTCAAGTATGGAAGGTCCTCCCACAAGACTCATTGTTTGCTCCAGTACATTGTGCCTTTTGCACGGGGGGTTAATGCTGAAGCACTACTGCTATTCTTGCTCGACGTTGAACAGATGTGGCGAAGTGATTTATTTTGATGACATTACGTTCATGGCGTACTTGGCCAGCTGCACGTTGCAAATGGCATGTTCATACAACTCTGGTGAGAGATAGTCACACTGCTGAATTCTGTGACATGCCACCCACTGATCTGAGTGCTGTTGGCATGGCTGTCAGTTTGTCTCCATTGCTTACAAAGGTGTGCATGAGGGACAGACTGGATAGGCGCATTGGCTGCGCAGCACTAGGCCTTTTGCAGCCTTCAACATGGACGAATGCCAGGCTATGATCCAGTGTAGGCAGGCGACCACGTTTGTATTAGGAAACAGTTTGTTGCGGCCAGTGAAGAATATCATCCTGCTGTAACTTTGGCTTAGGGGCCACAATTTTAAAAATGGCACCCTCATGTTCACCAGTTTGAGGGTTTGAAAGTGGTTGCACAATTATTGGTAGGTTCAGTTAAGTTAATAAAAATCAATTTCAAATTGAACCAGTAACGATGGACGTTGCGCGCAGAGGGGAGGGAGGGGGCAGTGTGTATCTAATTCGAGGCTCAGGCTTGCACGCCCCTTGTGAGTTTGCCACCTAAGACCCTCCCCCCCCCCCCCCTGCATACTTACAGGTGTCTTGATGCACTTAGTTACATCACTAGTCCATTGAAACCCCCCTTCTATTGTATTCAGCACTTCCATTTGCAGGTCTACCCTCATTAGCACGACATCGCTTACAAGACAAACCTCATTAGAAGACAACGATCTAAAATCCCCTGACGAAAATTTATTTTAATTAAAAAAAATCCTTCATACAAGTCTGGATATAAGAGATAGTTCGTTTGTAGACAATATTCGTTATAACGTTACCTTCAGCTGTCCCACAGGTTCGATTCCCTCATTGCAAAACAAAGCAAATGGCCATAGGCTATGAAATTGCTCGGATGGCTCAATGCCAATGGTCGCTGCCAGCAACTCAGCGTAAAGTTTGAAAACAAAATTTCTCTGCACTCGTTTCTAGCTAGCTTGCTCTATTGATGTTACATGTTGTCTTGCACAGGGGTCTTATGGAAAAAAGTCTTATACGAAATGGGTTATCTTGTACAGAGGAGTCTGGGGATGACATATCTAATATTGACTGATTACGAGGTCAATATAGGAAATAAAAGCCGAGTAAAAGACCGAGGCGAAGCCGAGGTCTTTTACGAGGTCTTTTATTTCCAATACTGACTAAGTACGAAGTCAATATTAGATTTGTCACGACTAGCCAAAGCCTGTACTAGCTGTGTTCAATCGCTAAAAAGGAGTCAAATATAAGCGGTCAATATAGCCCTAAGGAGTGAAATATGCAGGAATATTTGACTGCTTAGGTATGGCAAAATTCTATGGGAGTCAATACTAAGGGAGTGATAAATATTATTATGCTGACCTTTCATACAAACTTCCAGTCAACTTGCCCGTCATGCTGGCGGCTTATACTGGGCATATAAACCTCATACAAACCCCATACAAACCCCATATAGACCGCCACCATAGAAACAGTAAGTATAATACATCCCACTAGTACGCTTGTACGTGAAATATAAACCATCATACAAACCTCGGCTTCGCCTCGGTTTGTATGTCGGTTTATATTTCACGTACAAGCGTACTGTTGGGTTGTATTATATAAATATTCTGAGGCGGATACAGTATGTACGTCTATGATGGAAAACAGCAGAAAAATGTGCCTGATAGTAGACAATGCTTGTTTTACAATACTAATGTTGGTCCCCAATTGTCTGCTAACGAGGGTAGACATGAACTTGCAAAAATGACAGTTCGGAATGTGCTGGAGATAATCATTATCGACTGGACACGGTATGCCCACTTGGCACTATTAGTGAAATGGCTGCAGAGTGCAGTAAGTCTGCACACCCTGACACTAACAGTAAACAGGACATAATTATGTGATACAATCTGGGCTGAGAGCAATAATGTCATCATTGCTCTCAGCCCAGATTACCGAAGCACTGGCGATGGTCCTTCCCCTTTTGCCTCTTTAGCAGTAAGTACACTGTACTTGTCTTTACTAGTTTGAGTTTCTCAAACTACATGTGCAGTATCTAGGAATGTTGATATGATTAGATAGGTAGGCCGCCGTAATCACTATGTATCTGACTGGTGTACTTGGCCTGATAAGTAAGACAGATCGTAGTTCCGGCCTATGCTTACCCAAGTGACAAGTCATCATGCTAGTGCCAGTGGTAGATCTACGCCTGCCGCGCGCTTGCGGCTTAGTGGTTATGGGTATGACAGGCATGACCGATCAGCATTTTACTCATAAAGTTTTATACAAAGTCTGATCAAAAAGTGCACACAGATGGTTGCAGCACTGACTCCCGGTTGAACACAAAAATTAGTGGTTCCTTCTTCCGTCCATGGAAGATCAGACCAGGAAACACTCAGGACTCAACCCTCGAGCCTAGCCTACCATTACCACGATTACCAGGCAGGACTCGGTGCTGCACGCAAATCTACTACCTACTCATGACTGTAGTGTACGTACTGCCGGTGCGCAGTGGCCTAGTGCAGTAGTGGTTCCACGAGTCAGGTCAGGTCAGGCTACAAAGTCATAGTCATACCTAAAGTAGGTAAAGTAACGGTACATCCGTGTTACACAATCGGTAATAATACGGGTCGAGAAACACAACCACTGAACCAGCTTAGGAAGTTAGTTTCGCTTTTGCCAGGCTACCAGTACTACTACTAGTACTAGCAGTCCACGATGCCTTTACTTTTAAAAAAGTCTTTACTACCTCCACGATGCCTTACGGGTATACGAGTCGTATACTACTCGTAGTGCAGCAAAACAAAACAAAACTCAAAAGCACAGTCGTCGACCGCGCAAGGGGACAAGCCCAGGCAGTAGTACAGGCATTGACTCTGAGGCACTATGCTCACTTCACTGTCGACATGTCGGCAGTCTGCCTCATTCAGCTCTGGCGCTCACGTGCTCGGATCCCCAGTGCTGGGCCGGCTACCGCGTGGTACCGGTCTACTGCGCGCGCTGGACCACACACAGGAGCTAGGAGGCCAGGGACATGTCGACAGCCAAGGCGCAGTGCAGTACAGGCGCAGGCTATCGCTAGGATGCCCCTACTTGACTCGAGTCTTGATTGCTGATCGAGATGCGCGCGGTCACATCATTTTTTCCTTCGTTTTATTTGCGAGAGGTGTGACACTGCACTGACATGTCGACAGTGCAGTGGGTAAATCTACAGTCAGACAGTAATACAGTATGTAACATTCCTTTCTCTCTTTCGCTCGTGGTCATGTCACTCACAGTTTACTGATGCGGCGAACCCTTTTTTACAGTTTTCGCTCAATTTTCGAGCCTGAGGAGTGCTTCTGTGATAGAGTTGTAGCTGACCTTGGCTAGAATTTCTAGTAAGAGAAGAATCGATCACTCCCCGATGCATCATGTCTCAATTCTACGTCGGTGTTCCGGAGGAGTTCGTGTCGGACCCAGCGACCAGCACGAGCTCAGGCGATACGCTGTCGTCGCAGGGGACGAATGCGGATGTATCTCATCATGTCGCAGTCCTGGCGAACAGCATGCTCTCCGAGCTACAACGTCTTGCTAACGTGTACTTGATCGATCCGAATGAAATGAGCTCGCTGGCTCGGCTGATCACGTCAGCACTGGAAGAACTCGACGTCCTGGTCACGGAGAATGCAGCGATCGAATCAGCGGCAAATCAGGCAAAGTACGATCTGGAACAGGTCGTCAAGAAGCTTGGCACTGAGCAGGATCTCAGGCAAACGAGTGAGAAGGTATGAAGACAACAGTGTCCGGTGGATGGTTTGTATTGTTATGGAACATTTCAGGTCACACGATGCAAAAAAAGTAAAACAAATGGAAAACAAATGGAATATGTATATTTTGTGAAAATGCACAGTTAGCGGCACTGATTTTCCGTTGGGGTTACAAACTTACATAGTTACAGACATCAGCAGCCTAGTTACAGCTAGATCTCCAAACCGGTAGACTTGTTCTCATTGCACCTTGTACCAAACATTTTAAAGTCACACATCCACTGTGAACTACTTGTACAGTTGTAGAAGTAGAGCCATTTGAAGTAGTACACAGTCATGATGTACCTTGGGAAGGGTCTTATGGATTATGTACATGTACAATGGTCCACATCCATAGACTTGTGCACAAAGACAAGTGCAGCCAAGAGCACACAGGTGTGGTGCTGCAGCACTGCATGTCTAGAATAGTATACATACATGTTTTTTTTATTTTTTTTTATTTTGTTTTTTATATACTATGTGCACATCCCTACATGTACAATGTACATGATATTCTCCGCACCTCTACACTGGTAGTAGCACCCCCACATTTCCCCAGGATTGCATGGCTTGCCCCTGGCATTATGGGTAGCATGCAGGTGGTTTGCAGAAACCCAGAAGACAATGGTGCATGTGGCACCACACCACTGGACTGATGGGGGAAATGCGGATTATCTTGGGAAATGTTGCAATTAGTCATGCTAGCTTCCTCAAGTGAACAAGTCTCTTTTACGGTCAAATAAACAATGGAAACAGAGCTTCCTAGTAGTGGTATTGAGATGTCAGCCCAGTCAGAGTCATTGCCATTCTGGACATGTAAAGTACATTGCATACCCATGCCCTGCGACCATATTCAGCAGGAAGTTGTGTCATACTGTAGTGGGTAGATGCAGGAAACACGTATGAATTTCAAATTTCAAACTGTGGGTAGCTTGGGATGTATCAATACCGAGTGTGCTGTGTGAATTCATGTTTGGTTTATTGGCATTTATTGCAAGAAAATGTTGAGTTGCGCAAGAGTCGTCGTCGATCAGACTGACTAGTTTGAATCCATAGGAATGCCACCGCCATCAGAAATCAATGGGCCAGATGTAATGCTTATAGCAATGGGAGTCACCGGATTAGATTAGAGCCACCAGAGTGGGTAAGAAAGAGAGACACCAAAATCCCATTCAATGCACCTATGTGATGTGTACAAAATGGACAGCTGGAACTGCCTGGAAGACAGAACATATTCTTGAGACAGTCACATTGTCCTCACTGTATTACTTGTCCTCTCTTTCTCATGCTCTCTCTCTCTCTCTCTCTCTCTCTCTCTCTCACACACACACATACACACACACACACACACACACACACACACACAAAGACAGACACACAAACAGACACACACACACACACACACACACCGTGCCTATCTCTCTCTCTCTCTCTCTCTCTCTCTCTCTCTCTCTCTCTCTCTCTCTCTCTCTCTCTCTCTCTCTCTCTCACCTTCCAGCCAGCTATAGCCACAACAACAGAGTATATATTCTATACGTACATGTAGTATGCAACTGATAAAGAAGATGTAGTAGGGAATCGGGTGAATGCTATATGCTTACCACTCCCTCTTCCACTGTGCTTCTTGCTTTGTCCACATCATCGTGACGCTGTAGAGACTGTGGGAAATTCAGGATGTTGTGGATCAGGAGCGACGCCAGTTCAAGGCCGAGCTGGAGCAGATGAAGATGTCAAACATGCAGCTTCAAGAGCGCCTAAAAGCGAAAAGCAATTCAGGTGAACCTCGAGTGTGGTGTACATGCATTTGATGAAGTTGGAGCGGGGAATTATTTAGCGGACGGCAGACGTCATGTAAATGGCTACCATGGCTATTGTCAGCCTGTTCATTTCATTGACAACATGCGTACGCTCATGTAGCTAATTTTTCTTGGAGACAAGAATGCAATCACACTGAAGAAAAGAACAAGTTCCGTGCTCCTCACAATCACTGTTTTCTGGACTTTTCCATTCATTGCCTTCTCATCATTCTTCACACTTAGGTTGGTTGGTAGATCATCAATAATTGCTAGTACTTGGTGTCCATTGGTTTGTTGTTGCAATACCGACTTCACACTTGTTTGGTTTCTTCACACTGGCACATTTTTGTCATTCCTCCTTTGTGTATGAGGTTATGCATTGTACCGTGTTGTTTCTAGCTACTCTTCTTTGCGCTGTTGCTATCACATCTCTGCTTTATAAACTCGTTGTGCTTGCTCAGGCTCTTTTTGCCTGTGTTCCACCTGATGAGAAGGCGATGACAGTACTTGTAAAGTGTTGACAATGTTGATTATGAGGTACCTGAAACTTGCTCCCTTTCTCAAGTCATCATGATGGAAGGTGACTTAAAAAAAACTTAACTGGCGGTGCTACATATGCACAATTCTTTCTGCTTTCTTGTCTTAGCACAAGCCCTGCAGGACGATTTAGAAGAACTTCGCAAGCGGCAAGCAGAGGAGAGGCAGACACATCTGGAAGCGATCAAACGCTACATGCAGGACAAGGACACTCCTGTTTCCGCTGAACATGGTCGTGCTATGAGGTAACCAATTGTCAAGTTATTGCTCTCTTTTTTTTTAAGCAATACATGTAACTTGTAGAAGAAGGTGGCTGCTCCGAACATTGGAGCAGCCTCCTTCTTCTATAATTACCGCCAATTCACATCTCAGTTCACTTGTACTTGGTCCGGCTCACCGCAATTGTCGCTTATCTATCGCCACTAAGAACAGGAGTTTTGTTGCCGCTCTGTGAAATTTTCAATAGGCATAGTGAGGAAGCATGATGCATGAATACTCTCCGCCACAAGAAAAAAATCAGCCATGGAATCAGTTGAAGCGAGTCATAGAAGGGAAGCAAGGTAAGCAAAATGCACGAAATAAATCAGCGAAGGAGCGCGTTCTTGCACTCACACTCTTACAGGTCCAGAGTTCATTCAACTCTCCATCACTCGAGCTGCCGCTGTTACATGAGCTGACATTAAAATAATTGCTGGTGTCTAGCTGCTACGTGAGCTGACATTAAAATAATTGCTGGTGTCTAGCTGCTGGCGTAGACTGGTAGAGTATCTCTTGCTTTGTCAGCCTGTCGTATGGCAGCAATGGGAAAGGAACAGTTGTGTCTGTCACTTCGGTGCTTGAAGGAACCGTGGGCAGTGTGACATGTGTGTCACCACAGTGCAACAGAGCCTTCGAATGAGGCATACAGGCCTCTCCAGACAGTTGTCATACGCTCCACTGGATGCGCTGATGACGACTCTTGTAATGCTGCTGCCAGGTCCATGAAGGAACAAAAGGAACAACCAAAACGTGCGCGAGTCGAATCGAAAACACCTTTCTTCTTCAGCATGACGCTCATACTCCTCTGCCGTGCACGCGTGCCTGTCACGCTCTCCAGGATGTCAGTTGCCCCTGCTACAGTTCCGGTATTCGGGTCGCTGCCCTTGGCTTTTGGCAGCACAGACAGTGAATGGCCAGATTTCCACTTCCCAAAAAAGTCGAACACATCGCGATTCAAAGCGCTAGTCGCGATCATTTTTTCTTTGGTGCCTCATTTGATCTTGCCCTCAAACCTCCCAAGCAAAAGTAAGTTAGATATCGTGATGTTGGACTGGGTTTTACCTGTCAAAAAGTGCGTGGGAGATAAGTGACAATTGCGATGAGCCGGACCAAGTAACTTGATAAATTAAAACAAGAGTCGCCATGTCGTTGTATTTTCTGGCTTGGCTAAGTCCCTCACGAGATTGTGCATCTCAAATGCTAACCATTCTCGAAAACACATGGGTCAATTGTTTAAGATAGGAGCGTAGGGAAGGTTAGCATTTTCTTAACCGCCATGCAATCCTGTTAATTGCCATCCCGTACAGCACTAGCACCGAATCAATCCATTCTGCATTCTCATACCGGTAGTTGCATTCCTGTGCATGGATGCCACTTGCGGGTCAATGTACTTACATAGCATGCTGTTTTCGTTGGTGTCGGTGCCCCATTGAATATGTTTTGTAGCAACGCTGCTGTCTTTGCACCGACTGGGACATTTCGCCGACGCTCGTCCATCCGCTCGGCCAGATCTAAGCGCTCCAACACGATGTCTCCTGCTTCTATGGCCTCTGATCCTAGATGTGAGTTCTTAGGATGGCACTCGTACACTGTATTCAGATGACATCTTGGGGCTTTCTTGTTTCGTACCTAGAGAATGCTTTTACTCAACAAATGCTTGTAGACTTGGGCATAAATAGCCATGTATATTTTCATGATTGTTCTGAGATATCCACGTGTGGGCAAAAAGAGACTTCGGTGTAGCCACGGCTTCTGAGCTACATCTGTGGCAAATGAGATCTGATCTCACAGGTACGGATCAGCGCTTCAGTCGACAGTTTGGGTTCTGTGCAGCTTTGAGGGTGCACGGTGCCCGACACCAGTGTATGCATGTAGGTGGACTTCACCGTGTGTGACTGTACCCTCTGATCGTGTACCATGTCACTACCTGTACTCACTTCACAGCTCCTCCACCACCAGAATTGGTGGAAGAAACAATCGTTTCGGTCAGCGAAGAGGCTCAGGAAGGTGCTCGAGAGCTTGTCAGACTGCGGCGTGGTGAGACGATATCGCAGTCATCTGACGATTGGGAAGCAGCCATGGGAATAGGTGTCAAGGACGCAGGTGGCATGTCCTTGCAGTCCGAGCTGTCCATGTCCGATGACTCCAGACCTGATTGTAAGACAAACCACCAGACTGCGATTCTGCATGTGTGCGCAATGTACATGAATGTGCTTGTTCAGTCTGTATTGCAGGTCGTCACTACTACCAGCAGTGTCTGAACACTGTTCTTAGTGTGTTGTGAAGACTCTACTGTACTCACTTCATCTTGCCCATGTAACCATGCACCGCCACCGGTCTTGTCTCTCGGCTACAATTCGTTGAAACAGAATAAAGCAGTGTGCAAGCTCTGTCTAAATATTGTCTAAATTCTGAAGTTGTAAATTACAGGGTCTGAATATCGAGATACATGTGTTCGAAGCTAGTTAGTCTCTTGTTTATTGCACATCTCAGTTGAGGATCTGCTATCATGTTTACAGTTCGGTCTATTGGTTAATTCTGTTCTTGCCTTGCTATCCCATGATCTCTTACTGCTGTTGTAGCTGCTGCTAGTGGTCAAGTACCGTACACAGAGATGGAGGGACAATCTCTGTTGAGTGATGGAGATGTTGACGCAGTTATAGGTATGGACTATGCTCACCTGGATGGCATCTGGAACATCTGCAGAAAAGTTGTGAAAAGTGAACTGCTCACAAGTTCCTTGCTGCTTTGTACTGTCCACAACATGACTATAATGTGTGTGTGTGTGTGTGTGTGTGTGTGTGTGTGTGTGTGTGTGTGTGTGTGTGTGTGTGTGTGTGTGTGTGTCCCATATGGTGCAGTGGTATGTGTAGCGATTTCCAATCGATAGGTTGCGGGTTCGATTCCCGACGATTATGGTCACACACGTCTTTCTTCTCTTTCTCAAACTCTTCCTGACTTTTCTTTCATTCTCCTGGGTGGTTACCAACAGCCAGTGCATGCCGGAGTATGTGGTGTGATGTGTGTGCAGGAAAAAAAAATGAAAAGACCAAAAATAGGGATTCACTGGCCGGAAAAAGTCACTTCAAATAGCTGTATGGTGTAGACCAGGCTGAATAGTGACGGTCAATTCTTCAGCCTTGCAAGCTGTTGAATGGTGCAATCCCAGCACAAGTTGCTATGGCTTCTGCCGTAGCATTGCTATCATCGCCTCCGGCGATGGGCGTCAAAGGTCAAAGGTGTGTGTGTGTGGGTTGGGAATCATGGGGTTGTAGAGTCTGCCATGCCTCCAACCATGAATACTAGTACAGTCAACCTTGCGAATAAGTACCCTCGGTCATGCAGGAGAAAAGTGTCATAATTCGCGAGTTGTTGCTATTCGTGAGGGTGAAAGTATGCAGTTGAATGGTCACTAGGTCCGAAAATTGTGTTATTATTCACGAGTTTCTTGTTTACCCAATGTTGTCATTCCGTGACAAGGTTGCCTGTAATTCTGAATTTTACCTACATGTACAGGTACATACCGTGGAAAATTCAAAATGATGCTCGTGATTAGGAGCATCAGGGCGATGACAATATGTGCTGGATGACAGTGGAGAGAATTGTCCGAATCTACACACCATACATGCATGTACATTCTGATTTTGCTGTGGTATGTGTGTGTGTGTGTGTGTGTGCGTGTGTGTGTGTGTGTGTGCGCGCGCGCGCGCGTGTGTGTGTGTGTGTGTGTGTGTGTATGTGTGCGTGTGCGTGTGTGTGTGTCATGTCGACTGCTAGATGATGTAAACCAGCTTGCCAAGGATGCTGCAGAAGTCGATGAACAGAGGTAAATGCATCTGGATATTTCCCTATCCTTCTCCCCTTTTCATGTGTGCATCAGGTGGATGTCCGATCTGGAGTGCTATCGCCTTGCTTCCCATTTTTTGTAGTGCACTCTTTGAAGTAAAGAAGCACTAGTGTTAGGCATTGCGTTGAACTGTTGATTACAGGGAAATTGCACTGTAAGATGTTTGCATGCTATCTGTGGTACCGGTTTTCTGTGTGCATATGCCGCTTATGTTCTGTGTACTTGTTGTCCGTGCAGGGCCCAGCTTGCTAAGGAGAACTCGGATTTGAAGGCAAAGATTGACGAATTGACAGGGTAGGTTTAACAAGTAAATAAAGAGAGACCTTTGCAGCAAAGAGACCATAATAATTATGAGTATTGAACTATTCAGACGCGTTAATGTGTGGATGGCTGCAATGGAGTTGGCGACTGAATCCTTAGGACATGTTTAAAACGAATAGTCAAATTCCAGCTTGCAATGTCTACAGCCTTGAATAAGAGATAGTTGTTATTGATGAAATCTACTATTCATGACCACAAGTGACCTTAAAACTTCACTACCTCCCATTACCTTGCATTGCTAAAACTGTGTTCTTCAATATTGATGTATGCTATGTAGTGGCACCGGTGAACTACAACAGCAGGTAGCCTCGCTGAAAACAAGCAAGGATCACTTGGAAGCACAGTCGAGGGCGTTCCGTGAGGAAATTTCCAGGTAGGTGCCAACACTACCAACACTGATGGCAGCAGTTTTTTTCCAATTTTCTGACCCGAGGGATCTGAGCAGTTGCTGTCTCGATTGTGCGATGGTGGGTGCTGACAGCTGATAAGAAAATCCCGTTCACCACAGTGGCATGCAGGATCGGATGTGCATGTACATGTAGCACCTTTGTATTGTATTCATCGGTTGCCCAGCACCTGCATTGTACATCAGTACAGGACTTGTATAGCCTTTGGTCACAGACACTTTACTGGCAGCTACCAGTGATTACCCCTATGTGTCTATGTTGTGGTGATGGTTGCTGTTTCCCAGGCTGAAGGATGAGGTGGCGAGCGCAAACAGGAAAGCAGTTGTAAGTTGCCCCTAACACCAGGGAAATACTGGCATGCAAGCTTTTCACACTCAATGGGGAACTCGACAGGTTTCTGTCTATTTCAATTGTCAACCATCAGTGCATCCTTCAAACATGTCTAATCTCAGAGACACACAGCTTCTGCTTTTTGTGGAGTCCTCGAGTATTGATTTCCATACATCTTCCCAGAAGATGGTTTTGCATCTTTTCTCGTTCAGGCCCAGTCAATTCCCCCAGCTAGTGAAATGAGGAACCGAGTTTCTATCTAACTTTTTCTGTGCAGGTACCCGATTTCTCGGTTCAGCTTCGCAAGGAGAACGAACGCCTGATGAAACTCTACTCCTTTTACAAGGAAAAGTGCCAGAACTTGCAAGAGGAGCTTTCAAGGTGTGTGTAGTGAGAATATGACGGCAAGTGTTTATTTTTTTAGGTCAGAAGCTTGTTTGTAATGTTCTGCGTCATGCAGTCTTAGCAGCTTCATGACAGGTTTGCGGTCGCTGTCATCCGAGGCATGTTGGGTTAGGTTGGGAAAGCCAGAGAAGCTGCCAAATTTTGCCAATTGTATTCCGTGATCTGGGAACATTAGCAAGTATCCTGTTACTCTTACGAACCTTACATCTCTGTGCCCATCTGTTTTAGCCATGTGTGCAATGTTGCCTGTATGTCACATTCTGTGCTTGTGAATAGTGAATATAATTTTGTGTTTGACTTTGTCACAGGCAAAATGAACCGCTGGAGACGAACAGTGGCTTGAAAGGCCTGTAAGTCGTAGCTGTTGTAATCTGGTGATTGGTTCTCCAATTTTGGTTGAATTTGCGAGGCCGATGATGCTTGTGTTATGCTTGTCTGCTTCTGTTTAAATGTTTTTCCATTTTCTTCTTCTTCTTCAAAGTACCTACCGGGGCACTCATTTCATGATGTATTTGCGTCATTACCATCATGCATGTATGACTGTATGTAGAGGTGGATTTGTTGAGTAGTTGCCCCGTCTACCCTTCCGGAATGAATAATATTCCAACCCTGGTGGAGTACTGACCTGTCCGATCTACCGTATATTCTGTACGCGCACACATGCCTTGTCAGGTTTGCCCGTCTGCTGTCTGGCTTGCGTCGCCGTGGACATGCCGCCGACAAGCAGAGAATGGTCACACCAACATCGCCCAGTAGCTCTGTAGAACACAGCAATGCGTCCTCACCAGACATTCCTATGTAAGTCTCGACCAAAGCAGATCATACTATTATATTCAGACAGCCAGTAAGCAGCAGCAGCAGCAGTTACATCTCTGTAGCTGTATTGGCTGTAGTTTCCCTGCCATGCAATGTTGGATCTAGGAAGCAAGCATTTTGTTTAGTGCAGGTAATCAAAGTTCATATATTGTAGTGCCTGGGAGTGGACCGGCATAATGCATCATTTTATAGGATTGTGGATCAACTTGGCAAGTGCTTTTTTTTAAGACGGCAAATGTTCACGGAGCACTTTGGCCGCATACATGCACTCACTTTTGAAGTTTGATTTTACTCTGGTTAATATCCGTGTTACGCTCTTCTCATGAAAATAGCAAGCATTAATTTCGCCAACCTTTGGCAGTTTGCACTAGTATTGGGTGTTGCTCCAACAAATGCTCGACTCCAGTCGTAAGTTTCTACCGTCTTTGTTAATGCTGTTCCTCTGTTGGTTAGCACTGGTGATGCATCTAGCGGCCGCCAAAGCAGAGCGTCAGCCTCATCCAGTGACAGCAATACAGCAGATAGCCGTGCCCCGCTCGTGCGCCTACCGCCCGCACGCCCACCGCAACCGAGCGTCACCAAACGCAGTCCTCAGCTGACACCGCGCCGTAGTCCCAACACCAAGCGCTTGTCGCTGGGCCCCATCGGCAGCAGCACCGCTAGTAGTAGTAGTAGCAAAACAAAGGCATTGACCATATCGTACCGTGCCCGACGCCAGACATCCACAGAAGTGTCAATCAACTTTGATGAGCTTTGTAAGTCTTTTCGGTCCGTATCTGCAAACTGACGAAGCTAGTGTGTTCTTTTTGATAGCGTTTCACTGTGCAAAATGTACCAACTGGCTTCTGATATCAGTTTGGAATGCACATGGCTGGATACAAACCCTCCCACTGATTAATTATTTTTTAGATGCATGTGATTCTAACATTGTCGAGTAATGCTTCACCATGCAAGATCTTGTCTGTTCTCTCACTCATTGCATTGTTCAGCCAAGCCTGTGGTAACAAGCACAGGTATTTTCCAGCCTAGCGGTGACTGGTTAGTGGGAAGTAACATGTATAGAAGTATCAATGATGATCACAAGGCGGTGTCATCATGTACAAGTCAAGCAGCGCTATTCAGTCCGGAGCCCAGCAAGGTATGGAATTAGACTACCGGCAAATGGCATTGATCTTGGGGTTTTTTCCTTTGCTGTTGACTTTGGCACACTTTTGCATGAAACATTACTTGTAGATTACCGTATTGGTGGTGGTGATGGTTGGGGGGGGGGGGGGGCAATAAGGCATCAGTTGTTCGCAACTGGAAGCTTGATGGAAATTTGTCATTTCCCTTTTCCATATTCCCTTGTTTGGAGTCCTTTAACTGTAAGCATATCCTGTGGAATTTGTGTTGCTGGCTCTTCAGATTGTTGCTGCCACGATATCCACTTGTCATGGCTCACCGACCACGCTGGACGCTCCGCTCATTGACTTATCGTCCACGTCCGGCGATTCATCCGCAGCCGCTGCACCTGCATGTGGTGACCTGTGTCAGCAGATGTGGGTCTGCACCAAGCAGCTTGGCACACCGTGTCGGCTAGAGGTAATTTCCGTTGCCGCACATGCTTGCGAGGAGTGCTGGGTATGCCGACAGCAATTATCTAGGATAACATGGATGCAGCTAACTAGGTTTAGCCACCTGTTGAGCACTGGTTACGGTGAGACTTACCATCTCACCCTCGCCGCCAGGCACTGCATCTGCCACCATGGTGGTGGCCTGGCACGAGCAAACCTTCCTAGGCCGGTTGTGTTTATCAACACGGTTTTATAGCTGGCAGTACCGCGGATGTGTGAACGTTCCTTTACTTTGACAATCAGAAAAAACAGCTAACGGTGTATGAAGTCATGGCAAGTTGCAGCAGAAATCCATCATGGACGAGAGTTACAATACCGAGATGCTGTTAACTATGAGTTTGCTCCATGATACGCTCCATTAGTTCTGTATTGTATTGACCTAACAAGCTACCATTCTCCCATGTGTAGATACTGGACGTCATTGGAAGCGCTAGTCTACGGCATACTGGCACCATCATAGACATGGATGCTCTAACACGTAACGATACCGTCCTGAGCATGGAGTTCATGCCCGACACGGATGTGGCTACGTCCAGAGGCATGGTCAGCACCGGTGTGCAACCTCTACAGCCCACACCCGCCGCCACATCATCGGTGTCCACGGCTAACGGCAGTAGCAGCAACGGTGCACAAGATAGTCAATCTGCTCCCGGCAACACCTCCATACCCACAGTCTGGATGGGCACGGACAGCGAAGACGGGCAGTAAGTTATTGCTTGCCTGCTAGTCACAGCCTCATATACTACTACTTACTATGTACACTGCTGGTTCCATCATTGCTTGACCATCCTGGCACGACTTGTTCTGTTTCAGCCTGAGGTTGTATAACCATCAGCTACACCTTGCTGGAATCGCCATTACAATAGAACATTGATTGCCCGAGCTCCTCGGGGCGAATGCCGTTAAGGGAAATGTTCGGATAGTGAGAGAGTCACAGAGTTGCATGCGGTACAAGGCTTATACATGAGTGTGATCCAGTTTCATCATTGAAAATACCTACGTACAAGATCACATACATGTACTAGTAGCTCTACCATGCGCTGACAGGTATGCTGGCAGTGCATACTTACCTGATAGATGTACAGACTACACGACTGCGCTGGTAAACTCAAGTCCTGCCTCCTGCATTTTTCTTTTTCTTCATTCTCTTTGTTTTGGGGGTCCCAGCCATTCCGGATAATCGATCGTCCGGATAATCCAATGTCCGGCTAATCGATGCTCTCCCGCACTACTCGTTAGGGACAATACCGATGTGCACAAGGAGGAGGTTTTCTCTCCAGTATTCTTCATGTACTTGTACACTCTTTACTTATCTTGTTTACAAAGCTCCACCACTGCCCTGTACGTTCTGTGTATTTTCTTGCTTCAATACTTTCCATGGGTTTCAATTGATCGTGAAACCGCTTATGGGTGATAATTGATAACAGCATGTGCCTGGTGTCGTTCTGTCTGTTCTGCCCTTGTACAGTGTGTTGATCTATCATGCCAGGCCAGGCCTTCAGCTTGGCGAGAAGCTGCAAGAGTGTCACTTCCAGAACGGCGCCGTCACTTGCATCAGGTACCACAGTGTGCATGTTTAGCCGTGTTCTACTAGTATATGCAGGGGCGTCGGACACGGTACGGTCACTACGGTTTTGACCGTACCACTTTTTGCCCCAGGTACCCCGTGAATCTATAAAATACACTGATCTGGACTCTAAAATTCCGAAAAAATTTCGCCTCCGCCATCCCTCCCCCACAAGCAAACTGTACTTCAGATGACTGACCATACCACCCTACAATACCTTCCCACACCCAGGCTGCTGTACATGATCCTGTACATGATCCTGTACATGATCCTGTACATGATTGTATTTTATGTTTGGACCGACTGTCCTATGCATGTGTTCAAATTACCGGGTGGATTTTGTACAGGCAGAAAGGTGTTGGCCAGTGGTCCCTAGACGAGATTGCTTACTACATGATTGTAATCAGTGGTTTAACATAAGGAAGTTGGTTGCTTGGAAGACAACTGTCAAGTCGGTGGGAAAGGCTCTGGCTCGAACGTTGCAAGATGTCTCTTTCTGAAGTACTATTGTGATTTTTGCGCATGGTAGTGATAATGATGGCACTGGTATTCATTTCAGTTGTAATGGCTTACGACTTCTTTTTTAAGGGAGATGTCATAGGTGTCCCTTTGTTTTCTCTCTAGCCGGCTTATAGGTTAGGCATGTGATAACTGAACCTTGTTCCAAACAATATTTTGTATCGTGACGAAACCTGCTAGGGCTTGTCTTGCACCAAGCGCACATGGACTGATTTGAAAGTGGATGCATTGTGTGTGTGTGTGTGTGTGTGTGTGTGTGTGTGTGTGTGTGTGTGTGTGTGTGTGTGTAAAAAAATCCCAAAAAGTAGGGATTCACTGGCCAGAAAAAGCCACTTCATAGCTGTGTGGTGTAGACCAGGCTGAATAGTGGCGGTCAATTCTTCAGCCTTGCAAGCTGTTGAATGGTGTAATCCCAGCATAAGTTGCTATGGCTTCTGCTGTAGCATCGCTATCATCGCCTCCGGCGATGGGCGTCCAATGGTCCAATGGTCCAATGGTGTGTGTGTGTGTTGTGTGTGCAGATATGCCTTCCAGAGAGCCTTTATAGGCTTCTCCAATGGCATGGTGTTAGGATTCAATCGACAGGCAGGTAAGAAGTGTTTCTAACAAAAACGGAATTTCTTAAGGTACGCCAGCTCCACCGCAGCCACTTTATACCACTGAAAGCCCTGCATCATCACCAAAGGCAAAGCAAGTGGTCTCTTTGCTGCAAATTCTATAATCTCAACCAAATTTTCGGCCAGGTGCTATCATGGGTTCTATCATGGGTTCTATCATGGGTGCTATCATGAGTGCTATCATGGGTGCTATCATGAGTGCTATCATGAGTGCTATCATGGGTGCTATCATGAGTGCTATCATGGGTGCTATCATGAGTGCTATCATGAGTGCTATCATGGGTGCTATCATGAGTGCTATCATGGGTGCTATCATGAGTGCTATCATGAGTGCTATCATGAGTGCTATCATGAGTGCTATCATCATGATAGCAATGATGCACATGTAGGAGTTTCCTGTGTTGAAAACGTAATTGGCAAGACAATTTCCCTGTTTGCTGATGTAAATGTGTCCAGGATGGGGTCAATCAGAGAAGACCAGGGGAAATCTGAAATGAGGCAGAAATGGCTGCTGAGAAATGTGTCTGTTTCTGTGTTATTCCAGGCACACCTTGCGGCTGGAACATGTTTGCGAATGATGAAGACACTTTGAAATTGGCCGATCTGAGTGCTCCGGTCAACAATCGTCAGCTGAATGATATTACGTGTATGGAGTCTGTAGAAACACTGCTGTGGTGCGCATGTGGGACCTACATATTCTCCGTGGATCCTGTTTCGCTTACTGTTGTGGTAAGTGTATGTGCTTACCTGGGACCGAGGGTATTTTCGGGTCAGTGTATGCATGTACCATGATTTATGAAAAATTATGGAAGTTTGCATGCACCTTTTCAGACCATGCATGCTGTAAGCCTTCGCCTGGCTGTAAGCAATACCCTAGCTGTAGGCCATAGCCTTCCTGCAAAACATAGACTGACTGTAAGCCGTCGCCTTTCTGTAAGCCATACCTTGGCTGTAAGCAATAGCCTGACTGTGAGCCATAGCCTGGCTGCAAGCCATAGCCTGACTGTAAGCCATAGCCTGACTGTAAGCCATAGCTTGGCTGTAAGCCATAGCGTAACCTTGCTGTAAGCCTTAGCCTGGCTTTAAGCTGTAGCCTAACTGTAAACCGTAGCCTTGACTATAAGCTGTAGCCTTGCTGTAAGCCATAGCCTGGCTGTACGCCATAGTCTGACTATAAGCCATAGCCTTGCTGTAAGCCATAGCGTACCCTTGCTGTAAGCCATAGCCTGAATGTAAGCCATAGCCTGGCTGTAAGCCATAGCCTGACTGTAAGCCTTAGCCTGGCTGGAAGCCATAGCTTGAATGTAAGCAATAGCCTGACTGTACGTAAGCCATAGCCTGATTGTAAGCCATGGCCTGGCTGTAAGCCATCGCCCGACTATAAGCCATAGTCTGGTGGTAAGCAATAGCCTGGCATTATTAGTAGATGAAGAGCAATCCCTTGATCTGTTTCCAGCGCTTGTTACAGTCAATCAGTCACTACCGTGAGCCCACCTGCTGCTGCATTGCACTACAGTACTTCAAGTAGTTCATTTCTGTGTTCATGTGATGCAATTGCTGTGTGCCCCCTCTCCCCTTGCAGTCATGTGCCAGAACTGGCTCTCGACATCCCATCAGTCACATGATCAGTCTTGGCTGTGGTGTCGTCTTGACAACAGCCCACTCCAGTAAGCTGCAGTTCTATCACTTGACGTCATTACAGCAGCTACAAGACTTCGATACTGCTCCTCTGCAAGAAGTAGTGGGTAAGCTTTAATTGGGATATTACACTCAGCCTATTTTTGGAATTCTCCTCCAATTATTTACATGCACTGGCACCGAAAACTAGGGAGCCGGACGAGTCATTTAGATCACTTCAAAAATGTAGCAAAGTTAGACTACATCACAATTGCAGGGGGGAGTGAACAAGTCAAGACCCCCCCCCCCCCCCCCCAGTCTTTCCAGTTGTTCAATGATGCTGCTGTGTAGTGTTTTGTGTACATGCCATGTCAGGCTGAGCTCATACTAGATGCCATAGCCCGCAATTCAACTTAGGACTCTGGAGACCACAGCATGATCTTCATCTTCTTGATGGGCATCAGCACTGTCTGGGTGATATAGTGATGGTACTCTGGCGTTGCTAGTAACTAAGCTGTACATGAACGGCTCTTCCCCTGTGGTTGCTTGAAGATGAGCTGACGTTCCACAACAAGACCGCACCTGTGATTCATGTGGACAATCTGGCTGCTCCCCCCACAATTGTTGCACTTAGCAGAGTGTAGTAGGTCCGGGAGCCTTTCCTGAACGGCATAAGGCCAGAAGTTATTAAAACCTGGCTGTGTTGCATACCGGTAAATTTGCGAATGGTTCCATTCGTTGTTTATTGGTGTGTGTAATGGCTACCGAGGGTAGCCATGTGTCGGCAGTGAGAGCGCATCGGAGGAGATGAGAGATTGTTGAATTATGTTGCACACCATACCGACATGAATACCAGGTATCCATAAGCACACAGAACCACCAATGATCCTGGTGTGCAACCCTCTTCCACTCACTATCCTGAACATGAGCCTGGTGTCGGTGAGCACTCGGAAGTCGATGCACAACCTCATGTGCCCGTTCCAACCTTTGCCGAAGGTCCACAACAATTTTAGCGGTTCCATGCACATGCACAAGCTCTGCTTCAGGCAGTAAACCAATCGTGTGGAAGACACAATTCATGACCAAAAACTCCAAAATGCTAAGAAGACTGCTGGTATTACCTCAACAACCTGTGCCCGTGTAAACAGTAGGACATCAACGTCACCGTGGTGGCGAACTCACCATCCAGACCTTGTGATTTTCCAACACAACGTATTGTGCAAAGCCTCGCACCGGCTAGACCTGAATCGTTTGACAAACCTGAGTTTCTTGCTCAGAGGTGTTCTCCAAGTCTTGCAGCAAGATCAGTGTACTTGAACCACTCTGTTTCAATAGTTTCCATCCGCTGTGTTAAGCCCGTATGCTTTGTCATTGTTGTCGTGTTGTACGCGCACCAGATCAAGGCGGTGACCAGCATGCATCCGGTAAGCTGTGCGCCATAACGTCGCTAGCACTGTGCGATGGTAGCTTGTGGGTTGGCACCGGCACGGGTGTGATCCTGCAGCTGGCGATCAACACGGTGTTGGACACGACGTCGCTACAGATGGCGCTGGGTGCACCGGCATGCAGCTTTGACTCGGCATGTGTGTCACAGTGGAGCCACTGGAGTGCGGTTAGGTCACTCATGGTCTTGCAATGTGCCAATAGTCAACTTAATGCCGAAGGTAAGTCAAGTGCGTTAATTTGTGTCAACTTAACTTCGCACTTTAAACGGGAACTGGGCTCAATAGCATCAAGGCGAATATGGATGGAAAGAAGCCAAGAAGGGAAAAAATATGTGTAGTGCGAATACTTGAGGTTCGGCAAATGCTAGTTTTCAGTTGGTTTTTAGTCGGAATCGTTGGAGTGTAGTAATGCTATGTAAAGTTTGGTATGCGGAACTTGATTTAGACATGAACGAGGTATGACTCGCATATTTTCACACGAAACCTCCAGGCCAAAGAAAGGGGTATGACGAACAATTAAACTCTAGAGAGTGTGATCTATTAGTATTGAAGAAGATTTTTTTCGCAACATCCTTCGTTCAAAACCATAAACCGGCCTTTTTGATTAGCATGTATATGACGTATTATGATTCAGGAATGACTGCAACCCCCACCACGTGTACTAGGGGTATTGTATGCACAGCTCTTTTTGTTCTCAACAATTTTTGTTTACTTGGCATGCCGAACAAAATGCAGTGTGGAAGGATGTCGAAAATTTCAAATTCGAAATTCTATGAGTATAGGACATTGAAACGAATTTACAGAGACCTGAAAATGGAACGTTTGTGCTTTGCTCTTATCACCATTGTCCTAGACTCTCAAGACTCAGCCAGCAATAGCTCTCGCTATGTTGTGTTCAGTGGCGGCCTTGGCTCTCTAGACTTTCGCAATGCGTCGCTCGTTGAGCTGAAGCAGAGGTCTCGCTTCACCAGCTTCTCGACCGCGGCCCGGTCCAGCCGTGGTAAATCCCATTCCACGGTGGATGCACTACGGCAGCTGGAGGACGGTGCGCCCAAGTTTCAGCAGCTCTTGGTCTGGAGGTCCTGACGGCTTGCACCGCTTCAGCAATGCACGATCTGTTCACAACTGACACAATGCAGCAAGAAAATAGTGAGTAGCAGACGACGATGTCACAATGCTACACAGTGAGTGATGTCTCCAATTGCGAGTTTCATTACTCAGCAACCTGCTGCTAATTTAAAAGCAAAAATGGAATTTCCCCTGCTAGCTCTATTTATTGGCTGGCACGATGATGTCGATACATTGTTGACCGTGATGACACCTTTGGATCCTTTTCTTTCAAATGTGTGTGTGTGTGTGTGTGTGTGTGCGCGCGCGCGTGCGTGCGAGTATGTGTGCTTCGTTGTGTGAGTGTGTCTACTGAGCAGGATATGCAAAGTTTTCGTAGGACCGGTTTGAGTTTAACTTAATAATGCGACTTTCTAACTTTTCAGATTTTTCATTCGGTTCATCCCTTCCAATGAGCAACTTTGGTACTCCTGTGCAAGTCCTCAAATATCCTTCCAGTGTAGGCTGGAATACTGTATTTTCGTCAACATGAATGCATACCTATCCTAAGAAATGGATTGCTTGAAGAAAGCTGACCTCTCGAGCAGTTGAGTGTTTTCGCTTTTGAATAGCTGTTTATCATAGTCTTGCACACGAATCAAACAATTATTTCTATTTTTTAATGCAGATCAATGTTTATTTGGCCGCCGACTTAACCATGCATACCAGTCATAATTCTTCAGAGTCACCTCAGTAAGCCCTAGACTAGTGTTCTCTGGTGTGTGTTTGGTCCAGGTGCCTTGCCTTGCCACAGCCCATTCGTGTTTGCCTCGTTGTGTTCAGGGAAGCACAGTGGGTTGGCTGAAGTCGAACCATGATTAAAACTAAAAGAAGATGGGCGGTTTTACCAACCATGCTGCCGTGACTCCGGCGATACCCCAGGGTGTGAACTTGCTGCCTGGCACACTTGATAAGTAATGTTTTCGGCATATGCGGGCCCGATCTCTTGGTTGATGGATCTGATCCGGCTCAAAGATGACCCCCCACCCCCTCCGGTTTTTATGCCAATCAATAGTTTTTGGGGCCGTTTTTCATTGAATACTAGTACTAGTAGTAGTAGCCGCTTGCCGGTGACTCTGTAGATGGCCTGTCGGAAAGGTGCCATGTAGGCTGTAGCAGTGTACATGGTGTAGGCGGACGTGCCCGGATTAGCTGGGTATTTTCACTGTGCTCCTTCCTTCTCGGGAGCTGCACAGCACTACAAGCCATTACCGTACGCCACCGTTACTCAGACACGACCAAGAGACACTGACACGAAGAATGGGTTTCAGTCTTTCAGAGGGAAAGGGGGGGAGGAGAATCGTGGCGGTGCTCGAGCTACGGCTCACTGACGTCGCAGATCTATCAAGTATCAGGCAGGGAGCCATGCACAAAATAAATTAATCGTGGTTGCGGTACCATGAAAATGATGAATCATGCCCGGTTCATTTTTTCTTCAGATTTTTCCAGTTTGCGTCTTTCCCTCAAACCAGTGAACAATCATTGTGTAACTGGTACGTTGTTCATGGCATGATGTCTGTCCGGCCCAACAGACTCATTGCACTCACTGGTCCCTACGCCGGTACTATTGTGATCTACCGTCACGTTCTTCGAAGTTGCCAGAAATCTTGGGCAGCTGCCGGAGTTCATGAGTCATCAAGAAAACTAACTTTTGAAGGCTCTCTTGGAGTCTGGCTCTTGACTTGACCCTTGAGTCTTGCAATGCCTCTTGGTGGGTTTGATCATCATTCTACACAATCATCAAGTGCCAGTGCCACGGACATGGTCATTGCCAGTGGGTCTTCTGTGTGCTGATGAGTGCAAATAGGAGATCCCCCTAGTCAGCCTTTGGGTAATCCTGAAAATTTGATGTATCCACTGCTGTAGTGTTGACAGTGTTGTTGTCGCACGGCCACGAAGTACGATGCTCCACTGAGCTGTTCGCAGTTTCTGGCTAGGCCGGACGTTACACCCGGTACCCTACCCTGGACGGTACATGTAACTAAAGTAACGGTAACTAATTACTTACTTGTAAGTGCTCAGCTCCTCAAGACAAGTCGCATGATCACTCCCCTATTTCTGACACTTGGAAGAATGCGCTCTGTCACAATAGTGTCACAGTCAGAGAATCTTACACGCCCGGGTTTGTAGGACTAAAAATATTAGACTCCCTAACTACGGGCCTTAAAGGGGAAGTATACCCTAAAATCAAATTTTCACCAGTTGTAGTCTTCGGGGTGCTGAGTCGAATGGTCTTGGTCCGAGGAAGCTGCGACGCTCCCTTCCTACTTGAATCCCAATCGAACTCGCGCACTTCCACCGAAACTGGGTGACTGCGCCCTACTAGATGGGGATTTGTATGCAAAATGTCACTAAAAGCGCCATTTCGTTCTTATAAAAGCACGGATGACCGCGATTGGCCCATATGTTGTAGTCTTTTGGACGCTGAGTCGACTGGTTTTGGTCCGAAAAGGCTGCGATGCAGCGTTCCTCCTTTATTCCCAATCGAACATGGTTGAAGAAGCGGTCACGTGGTCCTTGTTGCCCAAATCACCTGGTCACCGCGCCAGCAGGCGACAACTTTCACACCAAGGTTCAACTCGAGCGACAGGACTGCACCCAAAAAAGGTCAAACAGGCTAGTAAGTTGTACCCTGCAGGCACGGTGACCAGGCGACTGGTGTACGCAGGAGCACGTGACCGTTTGTTCAACTATGTTCGATTGGGAATAAAGGAGGAACGCTGCATCGCAGCCTTTTCGGACCAAAACCAGTCGACTCAGCGTCCAAACGACTACAACATATGGGCCAATCGCGGTCATCCGTGCTTTTATAAGAACGAAATGGCGCTTTTAGTGACATTTTGCATACAAATCCCCATCTAGTAGGGCGCAGTCACCCAGTTTCGGTGGAAGTGCGCGAGTTCGATTGGGATTCAAGTAGGAAGGGAGCGTCTCAGCTTCCTCGGACCAAGACCATTCGACTCAGCACCCCGAAAGACTACAACTGGTGAAAATTTGATTTTAGGGTATACTTCCCCTTTAGGGCTTCAGGCGCTAGGCGCCTAGGCCTAGGCTAGGCTAGGCCTGCATGGCCTGCTAGCTGCATGCAGTGCCGGCTTTTTTTTCAGTAAAATGTTACTCTCCAAAACCATGACATGTAGTGATGTACTGCCACAGACTCAGTACTAGTACAGTAGTCACTGTCGACGACATGTGGACACTGACGACATCGACAGGTGCTAAAAACGTAAAACTAAAAGCCAGGCGCTACGTACTTCACGTCTTCAGTTCAGGGAGGTCGCTACACTGTACTGTACACTACAGTAGTACTTATTACACGAGACGGTGTGACTAGGCACTCTCACTCTGTAGCCTAGTGTAGGCGGGCCTTGTCACTGGCCCAAATAGAAGCTGCATACGAGATCTACGCCCGTACGAGTACCCCGTGCATGCAGGGTAGATCTGCGACACGGCGGTAGGGTCGAAGCTAGCTGCTGGCAAAGGTGGCGGGCGTACATGCCATGGCATGGGTCACGCCAAGCTGGTCTGTACCGCGTACCGTACTTCAGAGACAAAACCCTCGTGGTCTCTCTGTCCACGTTCGAACTCAGTGTGGTGCATTTTTATTTCTGCAGTTTGTTCTCCTCTCGGAAGTACCCTCGCTGCTCTCCAAGTCACCATGGGTATCAACTTGGGAGACGTTTTCCCCGACTTCACGGCCAATACAACCAAGGGGTCAATCTCGTTCCATTCTTTCCTGGGAGATAGGTTAGTTTTCCGGCAGTGTATGACGGATAGGAATTCTAGAATTTTATCTGTTGCATGTCAGTTGTTGTTGGGCGTAGCTAGCTAGCTGTGTTGTGATGCTGGGGAAGAAATAACCTTTGCCCTTGTTGCCATTGCCGCATGTGCGAGGTCTATATCCATCCCTGATCCCACGCACTCCGGATCCGCTGGCTCCGCGTCCCGTTCATCTTTAGTTTTCGAAAAGCTCGCGTAATCGGCTTCCTTTTTGGAATATCGTTCGCTGCGGTGTGGCCCATATTTGTATGTTGAGGCCTTTTGTGTTATGACAAGCAGCCTTTGTAGTTCAGTGGTCCTTCGAACTGTTTACAGTTGCTTGCTTGCTCTTGACCATATCGCCATTGTACCAGCTCCCGGGCAATGGATACTTGCAAGAGTACTAAAAAATGCTGAGCTCCTTGCCCTATGTTTGGTCCGGAACCACCTGCTGATATGATAGGCTTTCTGTTTTCCGGAATATCACTAAATTTTATGGGAGTATGAGAACTTCACTGGTTACATTGATCTGAATAATGATAATGGCAAATAGCAATAAGCAGGGTATGCAACTCCACATCTGCTGCATAAAATTAAAATCACTCTCCAGGAGTAAAGTTTTTTTTCTTCATTTAGGCCGCCATGAACATCATGAATCATGGGATACCCCGTCTTGCTGTAGCCGTGTGTAGGTTCAGTGCCGAACTGCCGCATTACTAAGGTGATAAGGGATAATTTTAGTGCACTCTAGCCCTTTGTACGACACGCAGCAATAAGCAATGGAAAATACCATGATGGTACTGGAGAAATGGTGATGTACATGTAAACCAGTGTGAAGTCAAAAAAATTGATAATAATAATAATAATAATAATATAATAATAACTTTATTAGGATGACCCAAAGGCTGACCGCCTATCGTGGGGTCCGTCGCATTGAAGGATGATGGTACAAGAGAGTACAGATTGGGAAGGGGGGGGGGGGGGGGCTACGATGAACAGGGTAAGGGCATGCCAGCGAGTAGACCTGAATACTGACAAGAATGTTTGCGCAGCTCTCTCTTGAATACATGGACAGAAGATTCCGAAGTCAATGTGGGTGGGAGACAATTCCATAAAAGGGAGGTTTTGAATAAAAAAAGTGATTTGGATGTTGTCAAGGCTTTGGGGAATAATAATAATAATAATAAGTGCAGCGAATGCGAGTCACTATGACCTAAACTAAAACTTTGCCATTGGCTCATCCTCCGTGATATTTGCTAGTTGTGGTCAAGTAACGTTAGTTGCTTGAGAGATGGTGTCTTTTCCTCATGACCTGTAATTTCTTAATAAAAATGGCATGTCAAGTAGGGTAGATGTACGGGTTTTTTAACGGCTCTTACGCATTAAACATTAATGTGAATATTGACTTCAGTATACAGAACAGTGACATGTCATGATGTGGAGGCTTCATGTATGTATGGACCTGGCTCTCAGGCCAATCCTGGTAATATGTGGGCCTAATCCATGTAGAACATCTGTTAGTGCATTCTCGTCACAATACGTTTCTAAAGTTAATCGGGGAGGCTAGCCACGGCCTTCAGTAGCTGACGTATTGTGTCCTAGTACTCAGTTCGTTTTAAAATATGTGCTACTGGGTAGATCAGTATGGGAAAGACAACCCACTTTTGTACAACAGGACACGTCCTGGGTTGGAATAAGAGGTGTTAGTCTTTCCTCTTTCTCTTAAAAGTGTCAATGATCCCGTAACATTCTTCTTCTTTGGCTCCGTACTTTGGAGTCAACTGCTTGACCATCAAGTGGAAATGTACCAGTTGCAAAACGTGTGAAATAGAATAATGAATGTCAGAAGACCCCAAAAAAGATGTAGGATAATAACTACTTGAAGTAGAATTTCGTCCTTAAAATGTTTTCGCTCACCGTATTTTCCCGAATACAAGTCGCACCTTTTTACACTAAAATTCAAGGGTAAACAAGGGGGTGCGACTTACGATCGAGCATGATTTACTACTGAAGTCAATAATTGTATCAAATCTATATTGCTCAAACCTGAAAATGGGGGTGAGTGTTATAATTATTTGAGTGTGACTTATAATTATTTGAGTGTGACTTATAATCGAGGAAATACTGTACCTAAAAAAATTCGAGAATTAGCCTTCCCAGTTTGTATGATGAAAGTGTGGCCAGTGTTCCGTGGGCTGGTGTGACCTGGTGACCTGGTGTTGGCAGCTTGGCTTGTTAGAGCATCTTCTATTTTTTTTTGCGCACGTGTTGACCCACAGCTGGGGAATTCTCTTCTCTCATCCGGCTGACTTCACGCCAGTATGCACCACTGAGCTGGGCCGTGTCAATCAGCTGCTGGCTGAGTTTGAGAAGCGCAATGTCAAGCCCATTGCCCTGTCCTGCGACCCGGTAGACAAGCATTCCGACTGGATCAAGGACATCCAGGCCTACAGTGCCCAGTCTGGAGACTGGGGCTATCCCATCATTGCTGACGAGCAGCGGGAGCTGGCCGTACGCTTCGGTATGCTGGACCCGGACGAGAAGGACAAGGCTGGCATGCCATTGACTGCTCGCTGCGTGAGTTCTTTCTAAGCTACTGCTTTGTCAGCTACAGTACTGCCGGGCGCCGAAGAACGAACAGCCTAGAATCTCGCCAAGCCCAGCATACCAATGTATACACGGCGAGTCGGCGACTCAACTGTGCATAGACTGTAATACACTGACATAAGAACGGTCTAGGCTATAGCGCTAGGAGGCTGACCCCCAGTTCTTCGGCGACCGACAGTACTGTAGGTACATTGTATTGCAATGTTCGAACGCTATTTCCATGGCAACAACACTCATTAGAAAAACCAGCCCTGTGCTTTGCAGTGCACGCTGCATTCTATAGATAGCCTATTTGTGTTTTGGTCATTACGAAACTGGTGCATGTCATGGCGAACAAGTTGTGTCCATATTTCAAAGTCAGCTGAGTTACCGGTACATGTAAACCCGGAGGGAAAGATGCAAACGGGAAAAGTCTGAAGAAAAATAGTAGTGTGACTGAAGCTATGTCTGTGTGGATCTTGCTGTCTGCTAGGTGTTCATCATTGGCCCAGACAAGAAGCTGAAGTTGTCTCTCCTCTACCCAGCCAGCACTGGTCGCAACTTCGAGTAAGTCTCAGGAACATGGAACGTAGTCTTCATCTGCCATTTCAGGCAGACATATTTTTAGTGGTTTGGATGAGGTGCTGAGATACTAGAACCTGCACCTAATGCCTTTCTTGTGTTGTTAGCATTGTAGTCGTTTTAATGTCTTCTTCCATTCAGGATTATGTAGTTCATTTTTCTTTGTCTTTTGATATTCGTTCAGTGAAATCATCCGTGTCATCGACTCACTGCAGCTGACCGCCTACAAAAAGGTTGCCACTCCAGTCAACTGGCAGGTAAGATGAAGAGAGAGAAAGTTATCCACAGTCTGAGGGACTGAAAAGGAAAGAGGTCCGAAGAAAAATTGACTGTCACCACCAGGATGAGAGAAAGATGGTTAACCTGTACAGTACTGTGTGTGTGTGTGTGTGTGTGTGTGTGTGTGTGTGTGTGTGTGTGTGTGTGTGTGTTTGTGTCGTTTAGAGGCTAATCGTACAGTCCTTGCTAGTGAAATCTGACCACTCGCTCTTGAACCACACCACCCACACTACGCGTTTCACTGTGGACACATGAACTGAGCTGGGTTTCAAAACTACAGCGCGTAGATGCTGAAAGTGCGCCCACAGGCGGATGTCACTGGGCACAACTTTCCTACTGTAATCCTGTATATTTTCCTGCTGTTGGTGCCTCAATCTTATGCTTTGTGAAATAGTGAGCAAAGTATGCTGTCCAGTATCATGGCATCTTTCATGCATTATATGCAAGTTACATGGCTACATGCAAGTGTTGTCTGTGATTTTCTTCTACTTTTTTTGCATATGTGTACGTGTGCGTGTGTGTGTGTGTGTGTGTGTGGTGTGTGTGTGTGCATGTGGTGTATGTGTGTGTGTGCGTGCGCACTTGGATGATGTGGTCTCCTTTCCTCTATTTACAGCAAGGTGGAGAGTGCATGGTGCTGCCATCGGTCAAGCCAGAAGACGCCAAGACTCTCTTCCCAGAGCACTACACAAAGGAACTGCCCTCCGGCAAGGGATACATGCGATTCACTCCCCAGCCATAGACAACTACTGATCGTTACATCGCACTATCCCTTGCTTGCAGAATGCGTCGCTTCCAGTAGGCCTCTCGGCTTCTGCTGGTATTTTGTGTGGTTTTAGTTAGCGCTCAATAGGAAGCAGCAGTTCAATGCAGGTTCCTAGTTAGTTTTTTTGCTGGATCTCCACCCTTTTTCTAGTCACGGCGGCCATGCACACGCATGGTTACTTTTACTTTTCTTGCACTGCTGCATCGGTTATTGCTAGCAGTTTTAGGCGGTTAGTTTGATACATCGGTTATTGCTAGCAGTTTTAGGCGGTTAGTTTGATACTAACTTGGCAGTACTACTTGTATTGGTTTCGGTTGTGTTGACAGTGTGGGCTTTCGGTGGGTCGTAGGCGCTCGCATGCACGTGGGTGGGCTTTCGGTGGGTCGTAGGCGCTCGCATGTTGTGCCTCTCCATTCGTTCCATGTTTGCGAGAGAGTATCGAGAAGCTAGAGCCAGACTTTCCGATGTGCAGGATTTGCGGCTACTACATTTGTAGTAACGTTTCTCTGCACGTGCAGCGGGGGCAGTGCCGCCTGAGTGGAAATAGGCACTGTTTTTGACGAGCACTGGAAATCCGGTACTCTGCCGCACCAAAGAACTTCCCCTCTTATCTTCGAGCAATCTGGTTGCGTTCTTATAGCGTGTTCTTAGAAACAATTCGTACTGGATCGAAATGCATACAGTTGTGGTGTTCTTCGTCAAGCGCTCAACTCTACTCTGGTAATGCAATACTGTAATTATACAGAGGGATGATGTAGGTAGATATATTGTGTACCGGTGATCTCTGTTCGAAGCCTAGACGTGCAGTTCTGTTCAGGCTGATGCGACGAGATTAGTGGGCTGAGCAGATAGAGACAGATATGTCTCACGGCTGGTGAAACGGTAAACACTGTCTGTGGACACAGCAGGGCTTGGGGAGAGAAAACAACAGTCTTCACCCTCCACAACATTCATACAGTAGTGCCATTGCAAGACACAACAGACAGTACTCACCCCAATCGAAGTCCGAAAGGCAACCGGCGATGCCACTGCCGATGAGTGTACCACATCCATGTAAAGAAGGGGTTATACATGCGTCGGATTTTATCCATTTCATGAACTGAGTGGCAGACTGTGTATGGCATCTGATACATGTACGGTGACACAAGTTTTACCATGCCATTATGATACCGACCAAGAACTGAAATAAACGAAACAAAAAAATATGGACTGATGTGTGTTCTTCACTGAGTATAATAATCATTCGAAATGGACAGAATTGAAGAATGTTGTCGTTGATTTTTCTGGTATAGGAGATATGCTGGAGAGGGCGACATGGATCGGTAGTGAAAAAGACAAGAAAGTGACGGATAGCAGGCTGCAGTACAGTGCACCTAAAGAGCACTGTCTTGCGGGTGGTCGATAATAAATAGGCTCAAAAGTACATCAAACGACACTCATCAAGCAACACTCAAGTACCTCATACGATCTTGGCATGATCAAGGGACAAGAAAAAACATTTTACATCATATTTACACAATCATCTCACAGCGCAGGATCACCGTTGCCATGGTCACCAGCAATATCATACTGGTACTGACGCTGACGCCAGGGCCTAGACAGTTGTGCCGAGTAACTGTTGAATGCTCTCCGCCTTAGCCCCGCAAGGAGAGGAGAGTTGTCGGATGGAGATAGGGTTATCGCTGACGCCAATGCCAAGTGGGAACCATTGTCTTCACTCGGCAGTCGGATAAAGGACGTTGAAAGCCAAGCTTTTCCATCCTTGATTGGCTGATGTGCTATAATGCTATGTTTGCGAGCAGCAAGGGCAGAGCCCCCTTGCATTCCATCCACCTGCACATTCCCAGAATTTCCAGCCTGCTCGGAAGGAAGGAGGACTTTGAGCTGCACGAATGGCCGATTGGCATTCTGCTCCCTCCTTGCCACGTTTTGCAGACGCCGGACATGTGCCTGGTACATAGCTCTGAACCTCCACAGTGCCATCGAGACCAGCAGCAGCAAGAAGAAGCTAGAGAAGAAGCAGGAGAAGAAGATGATGAGGTCAATCTGCAGCAGATCTTGCTGGTAGTAGACTGTGACGGTTGTGCCGTGAGATGGCACTACACCGGTGCTGCGGTTGCGGCTGGAGACGTTGGGGTGCACGGACAGCGCGCGCAGGGCCAGGAAAAACTTTTGTCGATGGAGGGCGTGCTTGGAGTGTGGCAGTCTCATCACCAGCTCTCCCTGGAAAGCACATTTGCGGAAGCCGTGCTCGCTGACCGTGACCACTGTGGGTGGCTCGTTGAACGTATTCTCATTCATCGATGCACTCCACGATCTACTGCATAGTGTCGCCCTGCCCTGGTTGGCGGATAGCAGCTTGGAGAACACGTAATGGACACTCTGGCTGGACTGCAGTGGATGAACAACACGACACGAAAAAACAAAAACCCAACGACAGACAATCAATACAGGGCAAAGCCGACAACAATACAGGTTTATCATGTGAAGGTAGCCGTACTAGTACAATGTAGCTCATAGTCAATTCTGACCGTAAGGCACTAAGGGGGAGAGAAGCAAGACATCTCGTCTCAGTCCCTCTTCACCCTTTTCTCCCCAACGAAGTCAAGTATCGAATCCCAGATGGTCCCGAGGGGGGGGGGCATTCTCTTCCCACACATTGGAACTTGAATGAAACCCGCAACAGCCTAACGTCGCCAAGGCCAATAATATATGTATGCAAGTCTTTGCTTGCAACACAGAGTCATGTGAAGGGATCGGAATTTGCATGACATACTTCAAGGGGATATTCAACTGAATCCTGCTTGGGGGTTTCAAGGGCTTTAAATTCTACTGGCGTGCTAAACCCAGGATAAACCGACATTACCGAGAGTGAGAGTGAGAGAGAGAGAGAGAGAGGACTGGGGGTAGTAACTATGCACAATTGTCATACCTCCACAGATAGATCAGAGTCTGACGTGCCCAGCCAGACATCAACCTCGCCAACATGAGACACAACAGTGAGGCGGATGTCCACGTTTGTATAGCGAGGTGGAATGCTGAAGAACCTCATACCACCATATGGTATGTCCTCCGTAAACGCATCGTCAGAAGAAATGAGCAAATAGCATTGCTGGCCATTGACCGGGGTACCGATGTACGCTGATCTACACCGATCACACTGCGGTGCAGAAAAGGCAAATCCATGTATGTGACCTCAGAGACTTTGTGTATCACCATTAAAACGAAAAGCACACGCACACACATAATTATTATGCACATGCATGCATGCATACTCACACGCACACACATTCACACACACACAATTTTTTACGCCCATCGCCGGAAACGATGATAGCAATGCTACAGCGGAAGCCCTAGCAACTTGTGCAAGAATTGACTGCCATTATTCAGCCTGGTCTACACCATACAGCTGTTTGAAGTGACTTTCCGGCCAGTGAATCGCCATTTTTGTGTTTTGTGTCTTTTTTCTCACTGCACACACACACCACACCACATACTCTGGCATGCACTGGCTGCTGGTAACCACTCAGGAGAATGAAACCAGGAGGAGTCTGAGAAAGAGAAGAAAGACGTGTATGCCCATAATCGTCGGGAATCGAACCAGCATCAACTCGATTGAAACTCGCTGCACATACCACTGCACCATATGGGACGCACACACACACCTCAGACCTCATGCCCATCGCGGAAGCGATGATAGCGAACATCTATGTTAGACATAGCAACTTGTGCTGGGATTACACCATTCAACAGCTTGCTAGGCTGATGAATTGACCGCCACTATTTTCACACACGCACGCACGCACGCACGCACACACACACACACACACACACACCAAGAGTTCATAACCCCCAAGAGTGTGCAACTCCTGATCAGTCCCTGTATGGAGGCGGAATTCCTTCATTGCGTCATTTTTGGTGCAGTGCGATGAGTCACGCCAATGAATTATTCTAAAATTTACAGTCAAACCAGGATGCTCCCTCAGGGTGAACTGCCTAAACTGCGATTCTGGTCTGAGCATCAAGAAGTAAAACCAACAACAAAGGACACGATCCTAAAGACAAAACTGTTAATTTTTGCGATGCAATGGTGACTCTTCATCGCCTTCTTCTTTCGCCAGTGCAGTCAGTCTCTTCAAGAACAAGTTCTTCCCCGGGCCCTCGGCATATTTCCGGTGCTTTCCTCGAAGATGATTTCAAATGATTGAGGAACTTGAGAATACGCCGAAGGAGCATTTTTCGGCTGAGTTGCACAGCTATCAGAATGATTGTCCTCGACGGCAATGCAATATTTTTCACAGCGTCCTCACTTCTTCCTGTCGCGATGTCCATGGATTCTATGGAGAAAGAGTTTGTTTTTGAGAAAGTACGACTTGTACGTCCGAAATGTCTTAAAAAAAGCTGCGAAAAGTCGAAGCTACAGCCTTGAGTTAGGAGCGGTTCAGGGTTTAGTTTCCAGAAATCGCAAAGAACCCAAATTTACTTCGGATGACGAGTTGCGCATTACGTAATGTAGGAATTTCGCCGAGTGCTGGGGCTATGCCCGTTGCACACTCTTGGGGGTTATGAACTCTTACACACACACACACACACACACACACACACACACACACACACACACACACACACACACACACACACACACACACACACACACACACACACACACACACACACACACACACACACACACACACACACACACACACACACACACACACACACCAGCAGCAGCAGCAGATTATACTGCAACTCAGGTAATTTTGCCTTGTGCAACACATTGGGGTGCTGTGAGCAGCACTTTTGCACGCTGTGATAGCAGAACAGCAGAAAGCAATGCACTTGGCCAGCAGTCTGTGAAACAGGAGAATGCCAATATCGCATAAACAGGTAAAGTAAAGTGGGCACAGCCGGGATATCACTGGCAATGCTAATGTGTTTAGAAACACAACCAGTGTAGGAAGTATTGCTTGTCCCAAGCCAGCACCATGCCTGATTATACATTAGTGTAGGAAGTATTGCTTGTCGCAAGCCAGCACCATGCCTGATTATACATTAGTGTAGGAAGTATTGCTTGTCCCAAGCCAGCACCATGCCTGATTATACATTAGTGTAGGAAGTATTGCTTGTCCCAAGCCAGCACCATGCCTGATTATACATTAGTGTAGGAAGTATTGCTTGTCCCAAGCCAGCACCATGCCTGATTATACATTAGTGTAGGAAGTATTGCTTGTCCCAAGCCAGCACCATGCCTGATTATACATTAGTGTAGGAAGTATTGCTTGTCCCAAGCCAGCACCATGCCTGATTATACATTAGTGTAGGAAGTATTGCTTGTCCCAAGCCAGCACCATGCCTGATTATACATTAGTGTAGGAAGTATTGCTTGTCCCAAGCCAGCACCATGCCTGATTATACATTAGTGTAGGAAGTATTGCTTGTCCCAAGCCAGCACCATGCCTGATTATACATTAGTGTAGGAAGTATTGCTTGTCCCAAGCCAGCACCATGCCTGATTATACATTAGTGTAGGAAGTATTGCTTGTCCCAAGCCAGCACCATGCCTGATTATACATTAGTGGTATACAAACAACTGTTAGGGCCAGGCGGGAGTTTCACATGTGACTGACGGGAGGGAGGAGGGGGGGGGGGGGGGGGGTATTAATTAACGTTAGCTGTATCCATGTAAAACCCCAGACCTGGCAGTGAGTGCCAGTTGGCCGTGGGTATCGCCACAGTTCATTGAATGTAAACTCTAAACTGTAAAGTGATTCACGCAAGCCTCACTGCGGCATTTGTTAGCACAGTACAAGCTCCCTGCTCTAGCTTGGGTCGAACTTGGAACGTCATGATCTGTAGGGAAGCCCACAACCACAACCCTGTCGAGTGCAGAAAAACTGCAAAGTGAATCACTGAAAGACATTATCTTTCCTCACCTGATATAAGTAACACATTTCCTCACCTGATATAAGTAACACATTTCCTCACCTGATATAAGTAACACATTTCCTCACCTGATATAAGTAACACATTTCCTCACCTGATATAAGTAACACATTTCCTCACCTGATATAAGTAACACATTTCCTCACCTGATATAAGTAACACATTTCCGAAGCATGGTCCAAGCACTCTGTACTCTGGGTATTGTTTTGACAAACACACTCGCTGCCTCCCTTGCCACAGTTACCCGTGGCATGTCCATTGCAGCGGCATCTAGTGATAGAGAAGACACACAGGTTGAGTTCTTTTGACACAACACTCACTCCCGCTTTAAACAGAATGAAACTTAGTGGTAGACGGCCAATGTTCTAAACATAGGCTTTCCAAACATTTCAACTCTTAAAACTACCGTGCAAAAGCGGGTGAGATCACAAGCGGTCTCCAACAGGACCAATACAATGGCGCACATACGTTATACTACAAGCAGCAGCAGAAGTAGCCGGCACGCAGTCAAAGACAATTTCCCGAAGGCACATCTGGGGAAACCATTATTGGTGCAATCCAGCCATAGCATGCTGCAATATGACATTGCACATGTACACTCAGAACGGCATATTGGTCTGGGTATTACTATTTATTCAAATAGACAGCACATCAAATTCACCATACCTCTGGCAAAGGTATGTGCCCGCCATAAGATAATGTGGTTGCGAAGGAGAGTGGAAGTGGCCCTCGTCGCACTTGTCACACCGATCTCCATGTGTGTTGTTACTACAGTCTGAGCAGACAGTGTTGTCCACTCTAAGGGGCTACACAGCGTGCAGGGCAGGGCAGGGCAGGGAGAGAGAGCAAGAGAGAGAGAGAGAGAGAGAGAGAGAGAGAGAGAGAGAGAGAGAGAGAGAGAGAGAGAGAGAGAGAGAGAGAGAGAGAGAGAGAGAGAGAGAGAGAGAGAGAGAGAGAGAGAGAGAGAGAGAGAGACAGGCACACAGACAGAGGCAGACAGAGACAGAGAGATGAGCAGATGCCACCACAAAAGTGTATATATGTATCAGTGTGGCACAGAACTGCTCAGAGCTGACAGTCAAGATCATTTCAGTATGTATGTGGTCTTGAACTACTGCAATGGAGAAATAATTATTACGTTACTTGTACATGGGATCAGCCACGCGAAATTTTGCAAGCAGCTGGGGCAGTGGCAAGCATTTCTCTCTAAATTAATAAAGTTGCCCAATACACTGAAAGGTACGGACGTCACTATAGTCACCGTGGATAATGTTCTTGGTAGCGGAAGGGCCATGTCATTGGGGTGACGTTGTCCTATAAAGCTAACACCCGCTATGGGAACTTGCAACACACGACGCAACTTCAATGGATTATTTGCTTGACGAGGCATGGATTGGGGTAGCTATAGTACAATTCAATTTTGCAAATCTATGCCCACAAAATGGGCTCGGTGCCTTGCAATCGACTTAAACATTGTTTACTATAATCGAGCCGTCGAGCATTCAATCTTCATACAGTCCACACATATCTTCACATGGTCGACAAATAGCTTGGAAACATAACAGCCAGATCAAAATGGCTCAGGCTTAGGAGATCGCCTGGTTCCAGCAGCTCACACATTTACGTCGGTGGACAAGTTTATTCAAAGGAAGTGCTACAAATGGACACGTGCTAAACAGGTACCTAAGCGGATTCGCATCCAGGATTACAGGCACATTAACTACCTGGCCTTGCTCAGAGGGCTCAGCTGTGTTTTGCATACCTGAAAAAAACTTGTTAGGCCATCCAGAATTAATTCGTTGTTTCGGGTCACCCGACCGACCGTCTTTTTTCACCCGACCGCAAAATATTTTTTTAAGTGCATGCAAATGTACAGACTACTAGACTGTACACACGCGACCCTAATAATAGCAGTCCAGATATCGACCTCAGAAGCAGCCATGGCTAGCCAAATGGCAGGATGCAGCGCTTGGTGACGACGTTGTCTTCTATCTCCGATCCGCAATCGGTCCCGAAACAGCATCAGCTCCGCCACCTTGTCGCTATTTACAGAAGTTTTCAAGGTGAGATCTACTCGCTGGTCAGACTCGTTTGCCAGCGAGGCCAAGATCTGGTCCTGGAGGGGACCTGGATCTGATGGGACAATGACTGCCCTGGACTGTCTATACTACAACGGAATCTACAGTCAGATTTGATGGACTGGCTAGATGGACAAAAGCTATTCGATGTACATGTACATGGACGTAACCAAAATAAAAAATAAAATAAAATGAAAAAATAAACCCGACCGACCGACCCTGGTACGGATAAGGGAAGTGACCCGAAACAACGAATTAATTCTAGGTGGCCTTATGATTCTTTTCTTTTCTCTGTTTATTCTTTTACCAGGCGTGGGCCATCCCCTGGACTATCAAAATGGGTGCCTTATTATTTTTCTGTTTTTTAGCTTGTTTTTTTTTTACACTTCTTTGTGCGAGTTTTGTATTAGATCTATTGAAAAAGTTCATAAGTTTTGGTTGATGGAATTGACATGTACATGGTACATCAGTCCAAACACTGATAATTTACAATCTCTTTTCATCTTGAAACTCGGATGTTGAGCCATAAATAAATGTGGAAGAGAAAAAAGACATATGGATACGAGTTAAGAGTAACTCTCCATCACTGTAACATGATACTATATACAGTCAGAAAGTGCAATAACTAGGCACAAAACTGACAGAGTACTGAAACATTCGACGTCCTGACACCTAGCTTCAACACATCTCCGTAGCGCTAACCGTTATTGCACTTTCTGACTGTATATAGTATCATGTTACAGTGATGGAGAGTTACTCTTAACTCGTATCCATATGTCTTTTTTCTCTTTTCATCTTGTTTTTATTTTTCTAAACACCAACCGGTACTTTTACCCTCTTTTCATCTTGTTTTTATTTTTCTAAACACCAACCGGTACTTTTACCCATTCTACTTCCCCATAGCTAGATCTAGCTTCGCTTTACAATTTTCTGTTTCTTTTTCCTGGTGCGTGCTTTGGTCGGTGGAGCCCCTGGTACCTCACCATCACTGCTACCCAGTGCAGCCCCTACTCAGTAGCTGTTTGTTTTTGTCCACATAATTACCCCCCCCCCCCACATAATTATATATTTTACGAGTTGGGTTTGTGAATAATAGTGAGAAAAAAAGAAAGAAAAAATTCACAACTATCCGCGGTCCACTAGCTGTACCTCTGTGCCGTTGCCAAGCCGATTGCAGGTTTTGCTATTCCAGTGGCAGAACTTGTGGCACGAGACACAAGTGACTGGCTGATTGCTCAAGGTGATGTCAACATACCCGGCATCACAGAAGTTACATTGTGGCCCCTGGATTGAAAAGATATCACATAGCATCACAGACTAGTTATAGCACGGTCCAGGGCTTGCATTGGGAAAGAGTTCAGATTAAATATAACATGTAGGAATTGTTCAACAGAACACCATAGGAATGCTTAAAATGGCCGGTGTAGTCGCAATAACAACTACAATTGGCAGAATTGGCAAAACATTTGCATAGTTCCAGTCCTCCCTTTCGTACCACCCAAAACACACACACATGTACACACACACGTACACACACGCACACACACACACACACACACACACACGCGCGCGCGCGCACACACACACACACACACATACACACGTGCACACACACACGCACACACACACATGCACACACACATACGTGCGAACACATGTGCACACACACACACGTGCGCGCGCACACACACACACACTGATGGCGACACGCACATACACAAACCCACGATGCAAGTGGGATGCATAGCTCTTACATGCGTGTTGTTCGTGCAGTTGAGGCATGTCTTGACGCCGGCCGGTGTGGCGTCCTGGCAGTCGCTGTGCCCGTTGCACTCGCACGGCGTTCTGCACCGTGATCCCGTCCAGTGATAGTCACACTTACACACATTGGGTGAGACGCACTGCCCATACTCTCCACAGTCACTTGGACACACAGGTACACATTGTCTACGAACAGGATAGCACACGCATGCCCACACACACACAATGGGCACACAATGACAGGTTCATAGCCTTGACTATACGGCATACCGTAAAGTCTTGTATAAAGGCCGCGGCTTGGTGAAATTTTGCAGGCTTCTATATGAGACAGGCTTCTATACAAGATAGGTATTTCTATGTATGTCAACACTAAAACCAGGCTTATGTGTGATTTGATGGGCCCAAAATTGCGGCTTCTATTCGAGGGCGGCTTCTATTCAAGTGTGGCTTCTATTCAAGTGCGGCTTTTATACAAGACTCTACGGTATGCTTTATACTTCAGCATTGCACGCCGAACTCGCAAGGGAGAAAAGACAAGAAAAAAGAAGATAAGAGCGAACACTGTACAAAAGGAAGGGAAAGACAAAGGCTGAACAAACAGGCATGTTGCACTTTTAGTGGCACAAAATGTCCTACAATTCCTCAGTTCAACTACACCCAGGACCAATCATGAGTAACAGGACTCAGCGAGAGTGAGATGTCACAGTCAGGCTGGAGTCATGGCAACGCTGGCTTTCGAGTCCACTTGGATATCAATTTGTGTGGTCTCGCATCATGATAATTACGATTGGGGCAGTGGACGTCACCGCAAGGTGACACATCCACCGGCACTGGCTGAAATGGGGCCTTTCTGGCCAGGGATCCATTGCCGCTACAGCCATACACGTCATACCGGCACACGGCACAAGTGCGCACCCAACGGATAATGTTATTAACTTATTATGAACTTTGCTACGATCACAGTGGACCCAATTTGACCCAGCAGTCATTATTAATTTTATTGACTTCTGATGTCCTCACTTTAGAATCGGGGAGCAGGTCCAGCTCATAAGCCAGTGGGAGGTGAGTATATCAGACCCCGGCATCGCAAAGTGGTTAAAGAGCGAAACAACCCGTTCACTGTGTGCCATTGTGCTAGGTCACGAGTCCCCAATTAGCCGCAGGTTGCAGTGCGGTTGGAAGATCCTTTCGCGTCCAAGCAGGACTTTAACCTTGTACAGTACTGCGCCTTCAGTTCTCAGTTATGACCGTATAAGGCCGTCCCACTATGCCTGCCTATGAACAGAATATACTCTGTACTGTAGACAATAGTGTGTGCCATCTGGTCAGTCACCACCGTGCACTGCACCAGCCCCATGTGCACCGGCCCATGGTTCCTTTGTCTTAGTGTCCTACTCCAGCACAGTCTTGGGCAGGAAAACGTCAAGAAACCACATGTAAGCACATTGACCATGTGTCATTGTGTATGTGTGTGTGCATGAATGCATGCCTCATGTATTGATGAGTCACTCAAATTGATCAGCCGTTTGGCATACCCATTCATGTTGTTAAATCCAGGTGCACAGGCGCAGCCAAATCCGTCATCTTCGTCCACACATATCTGTGTGTCGGGGCAGTTATGTGTGCCAGTCGAGCACTCATCAACAAGTGGGCAGGTGAAGTAGTTCCACGGATTGCTGGAGATCTGCAAGGGATGAGCAACACACAAGTGAAATATCACAATTATTGTGCTGCTGCTGTTTCATATGTACACATTGTACTATGAAACCTTTAGCAGAACGATATGTAAAGAATACCGAACGTGAGTGTTGCGAGACACAAGGTGGCACAGGCAGATCATAATAGTATGGTACACACGTGGACGAGTTCAACACTCCAAGTATGCTGATATTTTGCCTTGCTAACTGGGAATGCAGCATGTTCTCCAAGGCTGTTGACTGGCTTTCTACATGGCTACAGGCACAATGCACGTGGTAAAGAATAAAGAATGCATTACGCACGACATCCGATGTCGATAGGTCTAAACAGCACAGTACACCGCAGCAGTACTAATAATTATATTAGCACAGACAAGTTCCAAAGGAGAACAATACGTCACAAATAGAAACTCCCGGCTCAACTGTATAAACTACAAGAACTCAACTGGCAAGACAGCAGTGCACATACATACATACATACTTCGGTAGTCAATGCCCGGGGTTGCACAGTACAGTCAGACCTCGCTTAACCGCACACATCTGTTTTCCACAAAATATCCGGATAGGCGAGGGAACCGGATAACTGAACACACATACTGGATATGCATGCGGCATGTCAAAAGCAGTGGCGTCATACATACATGTAGACGGGTCCTATGCAGTACACCTAGCATGCACAGTATGTAAAACAAGCGTGAAAAATGACAAGTGCATGCAGCTGAGTGCTGTCTGCATGCACCCAGCAGGTCAAGGACCTCGTTTGCTTGTACAACTTCCTGATTCTAGCTTCTGCAAGCCACGTGCAACCGGATACGACGAAGCTTTTTGTACACATTTTAACCAGTTTGTACGCAAAATCTTGCACCGGTATGCGGATCGCGAGGTCCGGTTATGTTGTATGCATAACATATGCTGCACATCGGTAACCAGCGATTTTCTTCCGGATGGCGAGGGATCCGGATAAACGAGGACCGGATAAGCGAGGTCTGACTGTACTTCACATTCACAGCCATAGCAGTCGCAGCAGCCAAAGCAGGCAGAGCCGCTATAGCATCCACAGTAGCCATAGCAGCCAAAGCATACATAGCAGCCATAGTAGGCAGAGCAGCCATAGCAGGAACACCTCCCCCCCCCCCCCCCTCTTACATGGAGAAGCACACGACTGACCAGGTTTGGAGGAAAGCGTGCGTAGAAGTCCGAGAAGCGGCTGTACATGCTATTGAACATGCGACATGTGTCTGGCATGCTAGGTCCGCCACTCAAACACGTCCCATTGCCAGTAGGTTGTCGACACCACCCACAGCCAAGAGCTTGTCGACAACTGGAAGAAATGCAGAAACAGGAAAACAACATAACGATAGTAGTAGAGGTGGCGTTTACCTAACCTATAATAAACTAATTATCCAATCTGAATTGCATGATACATTTAGAGTATGTTATCAATACAATGCTCCTCCAATCAACAAAGTAGCAAAGGCTCCCTGATCAGAGAATTTGCTAGCTAGATGACCCCGTACATGGTGCAGTGGTAACAAGTAACTGAACGATACGGCCATACATCTGAGCCGAGGTTCCAATCATTGCTGCGAAGTATCACCAAATAGGACAGGCTAGCAAGGCGGACATCTTACCTGTGACAGTTCTTGAATCGGCCACAGTGAATCACTGGGCACTGACTCTCCTGGGAAGCGATCGATCCACACCTCATACCCGGGCACAGCACATTGCTTTCATCGAGTGACATGCAGGCCTGTTGTGATGCACTCCACAAGCAGCGAGGTTGCTGCAGCTGGTGCGATAGCGGTGGTGCGCTGTAGCTTATTGACTCCACACAGGCCGAGCATGTGGTGTGAGCGGAGCAATCCACGGGACACTCCACGGAACACGTCAACGAGCAGTTATTGACAGGCTGCATTGAATGATACAACATAACATGAACTAATTATTCAACTTTGGAATGGGTTTGCTCCCCACACTGGAGCTCCAAAAAGAATCATCGCCGAAGTCACAACCACTTTCTCGTGATATTCATCTGTTTTAAGCGTAAAACAAGCATGGGCATAGGCAGGGAACGTCTGTCAAGGTTCATTCATACTGACATTTAGATCACTTGGAAATGGGTGTGCTGTATATGCTGAGGTCACCACCCGAAGTCAAATACGGTAACCCATAGTGAATTTGGTTCAAACGGGAATCTCTCAATCTGTTGTGGGCGTAAACAAGTGGACTGTATGAACACCAGAGCAAGAGTGATGAGCAGCAGTGAGCCGTGAGCAGCAGTGAGCAGCAGTGAGGAGCAGTGAGCAGCAGTGAGCAGCAGTGAGCAGCAGTGAGGAGCAGTGCCGAGCAGCAGTGAGCAGCAGTGAGCAGCAGTGAGTTGCATGACTGGGAATAGTACAAACTAGACACGTTCTTACCAAAACAATACTATCATTTCTTGCAGCAACTGTGCACATCTGAGCAGGATACATGACTCCAGACCTGCAGTGTAAGCAATACAAACACCATCCAAACGTACCCAATAGTTTGTATTACTTGTAGGTAGAAATACAACACCACAATCTGCCTAAAAGTGGTTTCAACTGCACGTCCATGTACATGGATATGCAACAAATGCCATAACAATATAAACGTATAATTCTTATCAGTTATACAGGCTTTACAAGCAAAGAGGTCTGCGAGTTCACATTTTTTGTTTGCCTCATTTTTCGCCCTTTAGGCTCGCTCTCCGACACACTTTTGTTGAATGGCAATGGAAACATGTTCATCATGCGCAATGATAGGCTTAACGAGACCTTGGCCTTGAAGATGATCAGTAAATCGGCCCTAGAGATACCTGCCGAGCACTAGAAATACAAGAGAGAAAGGCGTAGAAAACATGTAACTCATGTGTATGACGTATTGCATCAACCCACCTGGTGTACATGAGGGCAGCTGAAGAACAGTTTGTTCTGGATTTCAAGCACTTGTCGCACTGGGCCTGCAGATAGCACTTTGTGCCGGCTACTGGACAGTCTTGCCAGCGTGATAGTAGACTCTTCTTCCCCATGGACGTGTTCTCCTCCGTCTGACATTGGGAAGAGGCTTGATCAGCACTGGCCAGTGAGCAGGGGGGATTGAAAAAGCGAAAAGAAGAACAGTTCAAGTAGGCATTATTCATTCACAGCCGATACACGAGAGTGCAGCTGATAGCATTGGCGTGATATCCAGTGCAGAACAGAATAAACAGAATGCCATGCTATGCGCCTTACTTATCTACCCCATCCAATGCCCTGCAATCCGCACAACTTTGACAACACAGTTCATCTCTCCGGTGTAGTTGTAGTTTCACTCTCGAGGCCACAGTCAATTAGATAGGTGTACATTGAATCCGCAGCACATAACCGACAATGCGAATACAGTAGAGTCGCCAGCCCAAGAACGTAATACTAAGAATGCCACAGCCCAAAGCTGGGAAAACAGTAAGGTATTGCATGTTGTCTGTTGTTCTGGGAGACAACTTTTCTTGCACACGTGCCTCCGTGATAAAGAGTATATACACAATGTACATGCTTGTGTCGAAGAAGTTTAGAATGTGCTACAGGTGGAATCCTGATAATTCAAACCTCGAAATGCAGGAAAAACTTCTAATTAGCCGGAAATTCTAATTATCCAAAACATGAACCCACAACACAATATGTATATCAAAATGCTCTCATGGTCACGCAGAGTTGCGCTATGGACCTTAGACACAGATTTCACGGATACTGAACTGACCGGCACAGCCTGCTCGTGCAAACTGAACTGACCAGTACAGTGTACAGTGAACTTCGAATTACACTTTGCTAACTTCGAATTATCAGCACAAATCCCACACATTTTCTATGTAAGTGGAATCCGTGGAACTTCGAATTAACCGGACATGTCTGGTTCGAGGTTCGAATTATCAGAATTTTTTATGTGGGAATCGTATTGACAGAAATCGGTCCTGGAAAAACTTCTAATTAAGCGTTATGTTCGAATTAAGCCATAATTCGAATTATCAGGATTCCACCTGAATAAGAATGCAGCCAGATTGTTGAAAATAGGAGTGGCCCAGCCTTACCCCATGGAAACCACGTTCTTGGTCGTGCGACTCAACTGTATTCAGGAGCCGGTGAAGTATAACCTAGCTTCACCTTTAATTGACTGGATAATAGCACTTACTTGTAGAGACATCCAGTTCGGCCAACACAGCCCAGGCAGGAGTGGAAGCTGTCACATTTGCTATTGTCTGCACACACGGCATTTTCGTAATCATCTGGGGTACCGCAGTGACTGGTGTTGGAGAATTTGGACACACAGTATGGGTCGCCGTGGCCCTGGGGAGAACACCAGAGACATGAGCTGTCCAAAGCACCGCACGACGTTTCATCCATGGCCAGCGAACACCAAGTGTCTAGCTGGTCGGGCACGGTGAACATTGCCATATCACCGGACACCAGTCCGTTCTTCACTCCACCCAAGACATAGGCAGTGTGCCCACTACTGCTTGGCGTGGCTGTGTGATACTCCAGGTACGGTATACTGAAATCATCTGAAAATTCAAAGAAACACACACACACACACACACACACACACGCACACACATACACACACGCACACACACACACACACACACACACACACACACACACACACACACACACGCACACACACACATACACACACACGCACACACACACATACACGTGTGCATACATAAATGAAGAAACGAAACACACGGAGTGCTTCCAATGAATGCTCCGTGAAATTCTCTATTGAACAACATCAGTGCAGAGCTGGCAGGTACCAAGGACTGATTAACTCAGGACACAGAATGCACACTAGTGGTCCGGTCTCACCCGCAAACACTGCATATTAACTTAACTAGCCATGTGCATTGCGCCAGGCGGGCCTACGCAAAGCTGCACCTAACATACCTGTTTGCTGGGAGAAATTAAGCACAGCAAAAGCCGCACATTTTGTGTTGTACAGCAGCACGGTCAGCTGAGAACAGGCTGGAGATCTCTTCAGAGTGCTGCCTCCGATCACAACGATCAAATGGCTGTAGAGTGTGACTGACTGGTGCCCGGAGATATCAGAAGGTACCTGGATGCGGAGAGAGAAAATCAAACTGGCATTTCAGAAAACCGGCCGTTGCACAAACGGTGACTGTGCCAATTGCCCATCATGCATAGGATCAGCTCTAAACTATAGTGAGCTGCTACATGCACACCTGCAAGAAAATACTGCAATTTCACAAATTTTCAGTGTACTTTTATTTCCGGTACTTTCGGTGCCTTTGTTTCTTACATAAAATTTCAATACACCAAACAAACACTAACACACATAATTATGCCAATAGGGAACTGCTTCTCTGTACCTAAAATGTCTATTCACCTAACCTGGCCTTTTGCCCTCATACCGAGAATATTGAGCACCTAAAATTTCTGAAATTAGAGTAATCCGCTACTACGGCCTCAGCATGGTAACATCACCATGGTAACATCACCAAACAGTAGTATCTCAGCATGGTAACATCACCATACAGCAGTACCTCAGCATGGTAACATCACCATGGTAACATCACCATACAGTAGTACCTCAGCATGGTAACATCACCATACAGCAGAAGTACCTCAGCATGGTAACATCACCATACAGCAGTACTACTGGTGTGCGGATGGTGTGCGGATGGTGTGCGGATGGTGTGCGGATGGAGATATTGCTCCTCCGCAGTTTTTCTACAGTTTTTCTAATTGCTTTATCCACTATCCCAGCCAACCGTTTATTAACCTACTTCATTACTTTCTTCTGGGCTTCAGGAGTCGGCACCAGTAGTTTTCGCCGCTGTGGAGTTGCCCAGTCCGCTATTCCTCCCTCCAGCTGGTTTTCTTGTTACCTGGCGAACCGGCCATTGCGCTGTAGTTTCGGGTCGCTTTCGGCGCCTTCGCCTTTGGCCTTGGGTGAGCTGGCTTGCTGTGCTGTGCTTCGCGGCTGGGTGCTTTCCCGCGTGGTCTGTGACGACTGACGTGCGGGGTGCTCTTCACACCTCACGTCTCTTCGCGCCTTCTTCTGGCCGTGCTCGTGTGTCCACTGTAACTGAAGTCTGCAGCTGTCTATCTATGAGCCCAGCCCAGCACGGCGTCCTTCAGGTTCGCGCGTCTGGTCGCACGTCTGGCCCACGTGTTAGCTGCTTGTCTGCAGCCGCCATTCCCCTGTTATGTCGTCTCAGTCACGCAGGGGAGGTAACAGCAAGCGCTTGTGCTGTTCCTGCAGTAGGTCATCGGGCACGTGCCGCTCTTGCTCCTGCAACGCAGCAGGACGATGCTGTGTAGACTGCTACCCTGGCAGGGACCAGAGATGCACAAATTTCGGAAATACTAATCTGAGCGTTACTGTTGTCACTGGCGGTGCTGCTGGGGAGCGTTCGCTGCCTGATGCACCACCCGAATCAGTACCGGGGTGGGTGCCTCGCAGAGGGCGGAATACTTCGGTTTCCAGGCCCCAGTCGTCGGCCACGGAACGTTCCCGTGCAGCATTGCACCCTGGAGCCGCGAGTTCTATGCAATCTTCTCAATCTGTTGCTGCTGCTTCATCCATGCAGCCCCTGCGGGTGGATCTGCCTGCTCTCGCGTGCTCGGAGACGGCTTCAATTGCTCGTGCTGTGCCTGTGTTGGCTGAGGCATCGTCAGTGGGCCTGATTGATATGGAGACGGTGAGTGGCGACGGACCAGCATCATCAAGCCAAGATATTCCACCATTGTTGGCCACGGCACCTCCCATCGCGTTGCTGGGGGTCGAGGGCTCGGGCGCTTCTCAACGGGACGGGTCTCTTGGTGGGGGACGCCCAGTGTCTTTGGCACAGGCGCCTGGCATCCCAACAGCCGGCCTGATGGAACCCAGTACTCGCTGGCCCAGGAGATATACGACGAGGTGGTTCACTGGAGGAAGTCATTCTTCAAGATACCATGTGGTTCTGTTGGGAAGGAGCTTGTTAAAATGAGCTCTCTTCCTACATCAACAAGTATGTTCAGTCTGGCGGAGACGACACCGATGCGCTATTCTACTTTTCCATCCTGCCGGTTCTCACGCTGCAGCGGACGGGAGCTAAATGTACAGACAAGGAAAACAGCGGTCATCTACAGAGGCGGATGCGGCTTTGGAAAAGTAACGACATTCAGTCTTTACTGGAGGAAGGTCGCTCTCTTCAGCGCAGCACAGGGGGTCGGGCCTCGGGCGACGGGAAGCGCGGACAGGACGATGCGGCTCGACGTTTCGCCGACTGTATGACTGCTGGCAGGGTGAATGAGGCGTTGAAAAGTCTGCAGCCCGAATCCACAGCCGGCACATTGAAGCTTGAGGACGTGGTGACGTCTTCTGATGGCTCTCAGGCAACCGTGTGCCAGCTATTGCTAGAGAAGCACCCTGCAGCGCAGGCTGCCTCCCCGGAGGTACTCTTGCAGGGTGCCCGGGAGAACGTCCACCCAATCCGATTCGACTCGCTCACGTCCTCACTATTGTGAGACACGGGGCTGCATTGCGAGGGCTCGGCTGGACCGTCTGGTCTTGATTCGGCTTGTTCGCGAAGGATGTGCTCTTCATTTAAAGGCGCATCGACAAATAAGTGCAATGCATTGTCTGGACTCGCGCACCTCCTTGTGAGTTCCAACGTTGCACCCTCCGGCCTGGTACCCTTTCTCGCGTGCCGACTTGTGGCTCTGGACAAGAAGCCTGGTGTGCGCCCAATCGGTGTTGGGGAAGTCCTGCGCCGCATCATTACCAGAGCGATATTGAAAGGTGTTAACCAAGATGTTCAAGAAGCGTGCGGTTTCATACAGAAATGCTCGGGTCTTCCTGCGGGCATCGAAGCTGCTGTTCATGCCATGCAACGCCTTTATGATGATGAGTCTTGCGAGGCTGTTCTTTTGGTAGACGCACGTAATGCCTTCAACTGCTTGAACAGACAAGCAGCTTTGCACAATGTACAATACCTGTGTCCACCTATTGCGACAATACTGAAAAATTCGTATAACACCCCGGCTCGACTCTTTGTTGGAGGTGGTGGTGAGATTTCGTCCGACGAGGGCACTACGCAAGGTGACCCGTTGTCCATGGTCTTCTACGCTTTAGCGGCGCTCCCTCTAGTCCGGGCACTGCAGGTTGTGCATCCTACCGTACGGCAAACGTGGTATGCAGATGATTCTGGTGCGGGTGGGCAGTTGACTCGTCTCCGTGGATGGTGGGACAGCGTTGAGGAACAAGGCAAGCTGTACGGATACAACACCAACCCGGAGAAAAAGCTTCTTCTCGTGAAGCCCGAGCAGGAGGAGGAAGCCTACAATATGTTTGCTGGTACTGGCATACGTATCGTGACCGGCGCCACGAAATACCTAGGCTCCTACATTGGCGAGTCTGATGCTGTTGCCGAGCATGTGCGGCGGCGAGTAGGCGAGTGGATTGTGGAACTAAAGGCACTATCGGATGTTGCGCGCACGGAGCCGCATGCAGCCTATGCTGCCCTGACACATGGTCTTCGCGGCCGGTGGACCTACCTCCTCAGAATAGTACCTTTTCCAGCCGATTGCCTCTCTCAGATGGATGACATGATGCGCACGGTATTGATACCTGCGGTAACTGGCAGGGAGGCGTTTTCGGACAACGAATGGGCTGTTCTTCAGCTTTCCACACGCCTGGGTGGCTTTGCCGTGCCATCCCTGTCTCAAATGGCTAATGGAGCTCTGGAGACGTCGAGGAAAATCACATCAGATCAAACGCTGGAGATACTCGACCAGAATGACCGGTCCAGGCCCTCGATATCGATAGAGCATGCAATTCATTCAGCCCAGTGAGCCAAGTCAGCAGCTCTGGCGGAACGGCTAAAACATGACGAACAGCGGTATATGAGCGCCAAGGAAACACTTACTCCGCTTGCCGCCCGCCAGTTGGAACACCTTTCGGCCAAGGGTGTATCGAGCTGGCTCCACACCCTTCCGCTGCGTCAGCACGGCTTCAGTCTGTCCAAGTGCGACTTCCGCGATGCCATTGCGCTGAGGTACGGATGGCCTCTGAGGGATGTCCCGGAGAAATGCGTGTGTGGCCAGGATTTCACCGCGGCTCATGCGATGTGCTGCCCAACCGGGGGCTTCCCTACCATTAGACATAACGAGGTACGAGACATGATAGCGGACTTAGTCACGGAGGTGTGCCCTGACGTGTCTGTGGAGCCATTGCTCGCGCCGCTGGAGGGCGAAGTCTTCAGAGCTGCCAGCACCAACACGGCACATGATGCCTGATCTGACGTCCGCATACGTGGGTTTTGGACAAGGGCACAGAACACTTTCCTTGACATTCGAGTCTTTCATCCTGACGCCGCCTCGTACGCAAAGAAGCCCATCGCTGACCTCCTTCTCCAGCACGAGACGCAGAAGCTGCAGTACAGCGAAAGGATTGTCAATGTTGACCGTGGTAACTTTACCCCGCTTGTCTTCACCACGGCTGGCAGTGCATCCCCAGAATGCTTGCGGTTTTTGAAGCGATTATGCGCTATGCTGGCACAGCATGATGGCAAGCCCTACGGCGAGGTTATGGCCTATGTCAGATGCCGTCTGTCGTTTGCACTCCTCCGAGCTGCAGTTATGTGCATCAGAGGGGCTCGCTCTGCATACCATCGACCGGTAAATGCATTGCGCCCACTAGCCATGGCTGAGGGACGGATGTAACAGTGGTGTGTATAACCTCGCTAATAGAAGTGTCCTCAATGCTAATGGACGCGTCATGTTTTGTTTATAATTTAAGGTGCAACTTAACGCTGATGTGGGTATTTCTTTGCTTTTCTTCATTTGGTCCTTTAAAATGAAGCGGCTTTTTATTTCCTTTTTCTTCTTTTGCACCGAGATATTATTTCTTGCTGTTTTTTACCGGATGTGTCACGACTTTGAATTGAATTGAATTTTCCTGAATTGATTTGATTTTTAGCGTTATGAGCGGCTTTATTGACATTGCTCTTCAGATTGGATTTTTTATTGGCCCGTAAAAGAGGCTTCTTTACTACCATACAGCAGTACCTCAGCATGGTAACATCACCATGGTAACATCACCATACAGCAGTAGTACCTCAGCATGGTAACATCACCATACAGCAGTACCTCAGCATGGTAACATCACCATGGTAACCTCACCATACAGCAGTAGTACCTCAGCATGGTAACATCACCAGACAGCAGTACCTCAGCATGGTAACATCACCATGGTAACATCACCATACAGCAGAAATACCTCAGCATGGTAACATCACCATGGTAACATCACCATACAGCAGTACCTCAGCATGGTAACATCACCATAGAGCAGTACCTCAGCATGGTAACATCACCATACAGCAGAAGTACCTCAGCATGGTAACATCACCATACAGCAGTACCTCAGCATGGTAACATCACCATGGTAACATCACCATACAGCAGAAGTACCTCAGCATGGTAACATCACCATACTGCAGTACCTCAGCATGGTAACATCACCATGCAGCAGAAGTACAAAATCCACTGATTCTAAATGAGTGCCATCGTCTACAGTGTGTACTACTTACAGCAAGAGGCCTAAGGAACGTTGGCACAGGTTGAGTTGGCAGAATGTACTCCCAGGTCCAGTCCCGCAGGCGCAGTCTGAACAGTACGAGGTCGTCGGAGTAGCTCAGCGTGCGCCCGTCAGCCACGTGGCCAGCAAGATACTGGCTTCCGCCCAGCACCACAACACTGTCCACGTCACCGTCTTCACCCTTCACATAGCTGGCTGTGTGGCCATACACTGAGCGTAACACACCAGCAACAATGCACCACACGTTGAAGGACCAAGCACCATGCACGAGACATCATAAATTCACAATGATACCCTTGCTGAGGAAAGGGCTAGTTGCATGTCTACGGATGCTGGGAAAGCCTGATCTACTTCGAAGTAGAAATCAGTTCATATTTCAAGTTGAATACACAAAACACTCAAACAAGCTACCTTGCACATGGCCTTTCCTACAGATCACACCACTCCATCTACACTTCTCTATGCGCCTCCAGCACTGCCCTGTTACGTATATATCATATTCTCAGTTTAATAGTGCAGCTGATACCACCATTCCCCAGAGATTCACACGCAGGGATAACTAGGGATCAGATTAGTGCTGCATGCCCGTCCTGCATGCATGCTTGGCTGCCTGGTCACACCTGGTCACTTCTTACCGCTGGGCGCTGGTCCTTGTGTTTGTCGCTCCACCCAAACTCCCTGGGATAGCCTGTACACATGTACGGTTCTGCAGCTGATTATGGTCTTCATAGACGAGTTGATTGCAGCATAGCCACCTAGGAGTAGAAGCTCCCTCGAGCCGTTTGTCGCTGTCATTGTCAAGCTGTGAAAGGCCCTGCCAAGAGGTGATGCGGAGCCCTGCAGAGTAGAAGTTTGGCGTTTTAAAGGATAGAGGAGTAGAAAGTGACATATACTCTAGTGAGCAGTGAGAGGCAGGGAAGGGACCTAATAAGAGAGCGAGTGAGCAAGCAATGGGGATGGAGCTGGGGGGGGGGGGGGGAGGGGGGGTGGACGAGGAGGCCCACTCATACCAGCATCCCATCCGGGAAAACGAAAGAAAGGCAAGTTTCTGATCCTGATAGAGAAATTGAGCTACACGCTGGTAAGAGCAATATTCTATATGCACTGAGGACATGAGCAGCTATGCACTGAGGACATGAGCAGCTATGCACTGAGGACATGAGCAGCTATGCACTGAGGACATGAGCAGCTATGCACTGAGGACATGAGCAGCTATGCACTGAGGACATGAGCAGCTATGCACTGAGGACATGAGCAGCTATGCACTGAGGACATGAGCAGCTATGCACTGAGGACATGAGCAGCTATGCACTGAGGACATGAGCAGCTATGCACTGAGGACATGGGCAGCTATGCACTGAGGACATGAGCAGCTATGCACTGAGGACCGTATGATGAGCAGCTATGCACTGAGGACATGAGCAGCTATGCACTGAGGACATGAGCAGCTATGCACTGAGGACATGAGCAGCTTCTGATTCTGATACTACCACTGACCTGTTGCAGAGAAGTCCATGTACTTTTCTTGATGCCCAGGCTTAGCTCCCATAGCTCAGAGGTGGTGACATTGTTCTCCAGGACACCACCAAACACATACATTTTCTGCTCCTGCAAAGACTTTATTGTACACCACGCAAAACACAAAGCATTCGAGAAAAACAAACAGTCAAAGACATTGAACTCATCTCGGGACTCATCGGGACTCATAACTCTGCAGCTTAGGGAGCGAGTGTGGGCAGGCGTGTATTTACAACCATTTTGCCAGGCGTGTAACAGTTATTTACCAGCATACGATTCTACCAGAAGCACAACTGCAGCGGAGTCTTCACAAACAATAAGTGTAAAAATGGAAAATTCACAGGGACAACAAAAAGGTGATAAGAACATACCAAAACAGTGGAGTGAGCGTATCTCGGGGTGATCACATTGTCACCTCTTTGAGACTTTCCTGCCTTCATTTTCAGCACGTGCCACGTATAGGAAGATGTAGATACAACTGCAACATCCGCCGATAGCATTCGCCCAGTGCTGTCGATGCCTCCAAAGACGTACAGCAGGTCTTCAAGGGTGCTGCGAATGCACACGGCTGTGTGCTCGTAGCGAGGAGGAAATGATGTCATCGGGCATGGGTTAGAAACTGTGCATTCGTGGATGTTGTCCAGCTCTTCAGACAAGCACACAGCACAGGCAGGCAAGAACACCAAACTTCATTTCAGGAATAACCAACTATTCTTGAGAGGAATTAAGCCTATCTGTGACACACGTCAGATTTCGCTATACATGTACCACCAACTCCAATGCAACCATTAATCGCACTAAATGGTCTTCTCGTTGCAAAAACCTTTTTCCTTCCAACGCATGCAAGACACATCAATATCTAGGTGATTGGTTGCTTTCCATTACCATTCCCTTAGCAAAGCTGAACCCGAGGATCCGGCATTTCTTTCCTTACCTTGTGGTACCAGCCAGCTGGAGGACAGGTTAGCCCAGCCAGGTTGGGTGGGACTGGTGCGTGGGTTGCTGCAGCCTTCCTCAGTACTGGATGTGTTCAGGCACCGGCATTGTCCAGAGTTCTGCACAGGGCAGCACATAGCAATATCAAGACATGACAGGCATGATCATACTGCGGACAACACTTCAAAAGTGTGACAGGCCAAATGCAAAGGTCTGAACAACTACAGCTGTCGGGCGCCGAAGAACGGAGTGCCAAAGAACGGCCAGGCTAGAATTTCACCAATTTTTAAGAACGGTGTAGGCTGGATTTTTTGCAGATAAGAACGGAAACCATAATTTACACTATAATGTAAACTCAGACGTATAACTCTGCATAAATGTACATGTAAGACTGTACCATCAAATAAGAACGAAACTGCTGTGTTTGCTGAAAATAAGAATGGGCTAAGCTAGAACCCTGACCCCCCCCCAGTTCTTCGGCGCCTGACAGTACTGTAGGTGATTCTGCATGTACTACAAAAAATGCTATGCATGTACGTGTTCCACCAAAATTCACCCCAATTCCAGGCAACTCATTCTTTTGATATAGAACACTTTGTGATACCCAATACTTTCAAATACTTTCTGAGTGGAAGTTGGGACAACGAATTCTTAACAGACCGTAGGGAATGCAACCATCCAATTAACGTATTTCACAACTCACATTGACACACCGGTACTTGCAATCTCTGCAGATAGATACCGTGTGAAGCCCATCGCAGACAAGCGTGTCCTCTGACTGCGCCACGCACGAACGCTGCGGCTGTGGACAATCCATGCACGGAATTGAGCGATGAGTAACCACAACACCGTCACCGTCATCGTTAAACACGGGCAGGAACACAGTCATAATGCCCGACACACTGTAGAACTTAGCTCCAGGAAGCGCATGGTTGTTCTGGCCAGACACCATTCCGATCAGCGTGTAGTTTGCGAGAGAGCTAGTGTCCAAGTGTAGATCATCGTAGACCAGCACTGACTCATTGTTGCACGGCAGGGATAACCAATGAATGGTAAGCTCAATGGCAAGGCCAGGGGCCACAACCTGTGAGACATTGTCTTGGGTGAGATGGAGCGATGCATCCGGTGTGCTTGCAGTCACTGCCGTCGCTGTGGCTGCTGCTGCATCAGCAGCAATGATAACTAGTGCACAGTGGGTGAGGCCAGAGTACAGCAGCGGGTTGATATGCACTGTGGACACGTACTGCAGTGTGCCGGTCGAGTGCGTCACCAGCCGCGTGGCACACTGCTTCAAGCACAGGCTTTCGCTTTTACTGAAGACAAAAGAGAGCCACACAGACACAAAGACACACACACACACACACACACACACACACACACACACACACACACACACATGTCACATACGCAGACAGACACACCGGCAAATTACAGGCACACAAGTACACATCCAGACCCACATGTACACAGACAGACACAGACAGACACACACAGACACATACACACACACACACGTGTCCACACATGTCCACGCACACACACACACACAGATACGTGATGAGGTCAGAATTCATAATATGAATGAACGGCGGCTCATGGCATGCTTGACAAACGAACTGGTGAAATATTTGTCTACTGTACACATGGTCATATTTCTGATGAACACGGGATTGCCATAGTACAACCTACCCTTGATAGAATCGATATCCACTCTCACACTTCTCGCACTGTTCGCCAGCATAGCCCAGAGAACAGTAGCACGCACCGCTGGTAGTATTGCAGCCGCCTACACTCATGTCTTCACGATCACTGCACACACACTGTCGGCACGTATCCGATGTGGCATTGCGAAAGTGCAGCGGCTTGCACAGCTCGCAAGACTTGCCAGCTGTGTTGTCTGCAAGCAGAGAATATACAGTGGATGCGCTATGGGATGAAACATGTAACATCTCAGGTTAAACGAAGACCTGCATGGCCGCCCATCTAATTACCAACTTGGTAGTATCAGCTCGTACTCAACCCAGTCAACAGTCAACACACAGCCTGTCATATGCAGGCTGTCGCAAGAATCCTCCTCCACTGCAGTTGGCATGAATGAAGTCCGCCTGCTAATCTCGTAGGTTAGCGCCCTGGGCCAGTGCACAGTCAAGCAAGCCCAGGTGTATGGCCTCACAGTGCCCGGTACTGTGTGACCCGCCATGCCAGACTATTGCCAAGCAGCACTGTAAGTACCGCATTTCCCGAATATAAGTTGCACCATTTGCAGTAGACTCCTCGGGCTAATAAGGGCATGCGACCTACAACCGAGTGCCGAGACCTCCTACTTACGTGAACATATTGAAACAATACGGCTCACACCTGAAAGTGAGGGTGCAACTAACCGGAAAGTGAGGGTGCAACTGACAATCGAGAGCGACTTACAATTGGGGAAATTCAGTATGCAATGTAGCAGTAACAATGAGTCATGCCCCACATTTCACAAGTTAGATACATGATTGTATCTTCAACGAACCCATGACAGCTCAATCAAACGGAAGCCTGCTTAGTCTGGAATTGTGACTTACTCTGGCAGTCGTCGCACAGTCCACGGCCGCTTGCGCACGTGCTCCAACCATTACACTCGCAATCTTCTCCACACACTTCACCAGTCCAGCCAAGATCACATACGCACTGGAAGAGCGGGGACCCGGAGCAATGACCATGTCTACCACATGACACAGGACACCTGTACACAACCACAGCATATAAACGATTAAACAAAAAAAGCAAATATATTCAGCAATCAGTATGTTTATGCTCCCAGTTGTTGGCTGCCGGAACAACAATTGACACCGCAAAAAAACTCCGAAATTTATAACGTGCGAACAGACCCACACAGAAAAAGAGCTGTGAAACTCAATTCACCATCTCTGACAATGCCACATTTATTGCCACCCCACAGTTCTTGTATTACACTTAATCATGACGTGTTGTGTAATTACTTACCATTCTTCACAGCGCAGTCCATCACCAGTGAAACCCACATCACAGTGACAGTAGCCACTGTCCACATCATTGTGACAGGAAGCATTGCTGCCGCACGACGTGTTCTTCAGCATACACCAGTCCACGGCAGGACACCGTGTGAAAGACCAGCTGCAGACACACAACGGTAAAGTGAACAGCGCAGTGTACATGGTCATGAGGAGCCAAGAGCGGATGGTGCAGTATACACTGTCACGAGGACAGAGAGGAGCGGAGTGCACACACCAGATCTGAGCGCACAGTACCGTGCACAGCAAGAATGAGAACTCCATGGCATGGGCGTAGACCATTCCTCTTCTTCTAGGCACCGTACTGCGGACCAGTTCTAATACGTGTAGGCACGATCGGACAGGTCTTAGTGCAACCGGGGAACAGTCACATTCGTGATTATTGCAGTGACAGAATCAACATCAAGCCAACATGCTAAGCGTCACACAGAGCAGCATGTGACAGTTATTGTGCAATAAGCAGCACAGAGAGTGTAATGCGCATGCGTGCATAATAAACGCTCTCGCGGCAACATGACTGACATCTTGATAGTGATATGTTATACATATAGCGCCGGGGCACGCGCAATCATCGATGTATCATAAGAACATGAGTGACTGCGTGGTGTGGTGCATAGGGTTAGAGTGCATGGGTTACAACAACATGAGTGACTGCGTGGTGGATAGGGTTAGAGTGCATGGGTTACAACAACATGAGTGACTGCGTGGTGGATAGGGTTAGGGTGCATGGGTTACAACAACATGAGTGACTGCGTGGTGGATAGGGTTAGAGTGCATGGGTTATAACAACATGAGTGACTGTGTGGTGGATAGGGTTAGAGTGCATGGGTTACAACAACATGAGTGACTGTGTGGTGGATAGGGTTAGGGTGCATGGGTTATAACAACATGAGTGACTGTGTGGTGGATAGGGTTAGAGTGCATGGGTTACAACAACATGAGTGACTGTGTGGTGGATAGGGTTAGAGTGCATGGGTTATAACAACATGAGTGACTGTGTGGTGGATAGGGTTAGAGTGCATGGGTTATAACAACATGAGTGACTGTGTGGTGGATAGGGTTAGAGTGCATGGGTTATAACAACATGAGTGACTGTGTGGTGGATAGGGTTAGAGTGCATGGGTTATAACAACATGAGTGACTGCGTGGTGGATAGGGTTAGAGTGCATGGGTTACAACAACATGAGTGACTGTGTGGTGGATAAGGTTAGAGTGCATGGGTTATAACAACATGAGTGACTGTGTGGTGGATAGGGTTAGAGTGCATGGGTTATAACAACATGAGTGACTGTGTGGTGGATAGGGTTAGAGTGCATGGGTTATAACAACATGAGTGACTGTGTGGTGGATAGGGTTAGGGTGCATGGGTTATAACAACATGAGTGACTGTGTGGTGGATAGGGTTAGAGTGCATGGGTTACAACATGAGTGACTGTGTGGTGGATAGGGTTAGAGTGCATGGGTTATAACAACATGAGTGACTGTGTGGTGGATAGGGTTAGAGTGCATGGGTTACAACAACATGAGTGACTGTGTGGTGGATAGGGTTAGAGTGCATGGGTTACAACAACATGAGTGACTGCGTGGTGGATAGGGTTAGAGTGCATGGGTTATAACAACATGAGTGACTGTGTGGTGGATAGGGTTAGGGTGCATGGGTTACAACAACATGAGTGACTGCGTGGTGGATAGGGTTAGAGTGCATGGGTTATAACAACATGAGTGACTGTGTGGTGGATAGGGTTAGAGTGCATGGGTTACAACAACATGAGTGACTGCGTGGTGGATAGGGTTAGAGTGCATGGGTTACAACAACATGAGTGACTGTGTGGTGGATAGGGTTAGAGTGCATGGGTTATAACAACATGAGTGACTGTGTGGTGGATAGGGTTACAGTGCATGGGTTATAACAACATGAGTGACTGTGTGGTGGATAGGGTTAGAGTGCATGGGTTATAACAACATGAGTGACTGTGTGGTGGATAGGGTTAGAGTGCATGGGTTACAACAACATGAGTGACTGCGTGGTGGATAGGGTTAGAGTGCATGGGTTACAACAACATGAGTGACTGCGTGGTGGATAGGGTTAGGGTGCATGGGTTATAACAACATGAGTGACTGTGTGGTGGATAGGGTTAGGGTGCATGGGTTACAACAACATGAGTGACTGCGTGGTGGATAGGGTTAGAGTGCATGGGTTACAACAACATGAGTGACTGCGTGGTGGATAGGGTTAGGGTGCATGGGTTATAACAACATGAGTGACTGTGTGGTGGATAGGGTTAGGGTGCATGGGTTACAACAACATGAGTGACTGCGTGGTGGATAGGGTTAGAGTGCATGGGTTATAACAACATGAGTGACTGCGTGGTGGATAGGGTTAGGGTGCATGGGTTATAACAACATGAGTGACTGCGTGGTGGATAGGGTTAGAGTGCATGGGTTACATGACACACTCACGTGTGGTTGGCGTACACAGGTACACGTCTTGTATCCATGGGTGAAATATCGCAAGTTTCATTGGCGGATGGTCCGTCAAAGCTGCCAGGCATACATCTGGTTTAAAGAAGGAAGAGACGAGGCAGTTCATTCGAGTGTCAACGCCTGTCAGCTTCCATGGTACATTTTTCCATGGTACATCCATGGTACATCCATGGTACATCCATGGTACATCCATGGTACATCCATGGTACATCCATGGTACATCCATGGTACATCCATGGTACATCTTTTGCAAAAACCAAAACACCAACATTGTTACCTACACCAAATCACTACCCTGGCACTCATGTGCAGCTTTCATATCTCACTACCCTACATTCACTATAAGCCTCACTACCCTACATTCACTATAAGCCTCACTACCCTACATTCACTATAAGCCTCACTACCCTACATTCACTATAAGCCTCACTACCCTACATTCACTATAAGCCTCACTACCCTACATTCACTATAAGCCTCACTACCCTACATTCACTATAAGCCTCACTACCCTACATTCACTATAAGCCTCACTACCCTACATTCACTATAAGCCTCACTACCCTACATTCACTATAAGCCTCACTACCCTACATTCACTATAAGCCTCACTACCCTACATTCACTATAAGCCTCACTACCCTACATTCACTATAAGCCTCACTACCCTACATTCACTATAAGCCTCACTACCCTACATTCACTATAAGCCTCACTACCCTACATTCACTATAAGCCTCACTACCCTACATTCACTATAAGCCTCACTACCCTACATTCACTATAAGCCTCACTACCCTACATTCACTATAAGCCTCACTACCCTACATTCACTATAAGCCTCACTACCCTACATTCACTATAAGCCTCACTACCCTACACTCACTATAAGCCTCACTACCCTACATTCACTATAAGCCTCACTACCCTACATTCACTATAAGCCTCACTACCCTACATTCACTATAAGCCTCACTACCCTACATTCACTATAAGCCTCACTACCCTACATTCACTATAAGCCTCACTACCCTACATTCACTATAAGCCTCACTACCCTACATTCACTATAAGCCTCACTACCCTACATTCACTATAAGCCTCACTACCCTACATTCACTATAAGCCTCACTACCCTACATTCACTATAAGCCTCACTACCCTACATTCACTATAAGCCTCACTACCCTACATTCACTATAAGCCTCACTACCCTACATTCACTATAAGCCTCACTACCCTACATTCACTATAAGCCTCACTACCCTACATTCACTATAAGCCTCACTACCCTACATTCACTATAAACCTCACTACCCTACATTCACTATAAGCCTCACTACCCTACATTCACTATACGCCTCACTACCCTACATTCACTATACGCCTCACTACCCTACATTCACTATAAGCCTCACTACCCTACATTCACTATAAGCCTCACTACCCTACATTCACTATAAGCCTCACTACCCTACATTCACTATAAGCCTCACTACCCTACATTCACTATAAGCCTCACTACCCTACATTCACTATAAGCCTCACTACCCTACATTCACTATAAGCCTCACTACCCTACATTCACTATAAGCCTCACTACCCTACATTCACTATAAGCCTCACTACCCTACATTCACTATAAGCCTCACTACCCTACATTCACTATAAGCCTCACTACCCTACATTCACTATAAGCCTCACTACCCTACATTCACTATAAGCCTCACTACCCTACATTCACTATAAGCCTCACTACCCTACATTCACTATAAGCCTCACTACCCTACATTCACTATAAGCCTCACTACCCTACATTCACTATAAACCTCACTACCCTACATTCACTATAAGCCTCACTACCCTACATTCACTATACGCCTCACTACCCTACATTCACTATACGCCTCACTACCCTACATTCACTATAAGCCTCACTACCCTACATTCACTATAAGCCTCACTACCCTACATTCACTATAAGCCTCACTACCCTACATTCACTATAAGCCTCACTACCCTACATTCACTATAAGCCTCACTACCCTACATTCACTATAAGCCTCACTACCCTACATTCACTATAAGCCTCACTACCCTACATTCACTATAAGCCTCACTACCCTACATTCACTATAAGCCTCACTACCCTACATTCACTATAAGCCTCACTACCCTACATTCACTATAAGCCTCACTACCCTACATTCACTATAAGCCTCACTACCCTACATTCACTATAAGCCTCACTACCCTACATTCACTATAAGCCTCACTACCCTACATTCACTATAACTAGCCTCACTACCCTACATTCACTATAAGCCTCACTACCCTACATTCACTATAAGCCTCACTACCCTACATTCACTATAAGCCTCACTACCCTACATTCACTATAAGCCTCACTACCCTACATTCACTATAACTTAAGTATAAGCCTCACTACCCTACATTCACTATAAGCCTCACTACCCTACATTCACTATAAGCCTCACTACCCTACATTCACTATAAGCCTCACTACCCTACATTCACTATAAGCCTCACTACCCTACACTCACTATAAGCCTCACTACCCTACATTCACTATAAGCCTCACTACCCTACATTCACTATAAGCCTCACTACCCTACATTCACTATAAGCCTCACTACCCTACATTCACTATAAGCCTCACTACCCTACATTCACTATAAGCCTCACTACCCTACATTCACTATAAGCCTCACTACCCTACATTCACTATAAGCCTCACTACCCTACATTCACTATAAGCCTCACTACCCTACATTCACTATAAGCCTCACTACCCTACATTCACTATAAGCCTCACTACCCTACATTCACTATAAGCCTCACTACCCTACATTCACTATAAGCCTCACTACCCTACATTCACTATAAGCCTCACTACCCTACATTCACTATAAGCATCACTACCCTACATTCACTATAAGCCTCACTACCTTACATTCACTATAAGCCTCACTACCCTACATTCACTATAAGCCTCACTACCCTACATTCACTATAAACCTCACTACCCTACATTCACTATAAGCCTCACTACCCTACATTCACTATAAGCCTCACTACCCTACATTCACTATAAGCCTCACTACCCTACATTCACTATAAGCCTCACTACCCTACATTCACTATAAGCCTCACTACCCTACATTCACTATAAGCCTCACTACCCTACATTCACTATAAGCCTCACTACCCTACATTCACTATAAGCCTCACTACCCTACATTCACTATAAGCCTCACTACCCTACATTCACTATAAGCCTCACTACCCTACATTCACTATAAGCCTCACTACCCTACATTCACTATAAGCCTCACTACCCTACATTCACTATAAGCCTCACTACCCTACATTCACTATAAGCCTCACTACCCTACATTCACTATAAGCCTCACTACCCTACATTCACTATAAGCCTCACTACCCTACATTCACTATAAGCCTCACTACCCTACATTCACTATAAGCCTCACTACCCTACATTCACTATAAGCCTCACTACCCTACATTCACTATAAGCCTCACTACCCTACATTCACTATAAGCCTCACTACCCTACATTCACTATAAGCCGCCGTTATTCTTTGCAGGAATGACCCCTCCCCTTCCCCACAGGAGAATTAGTCCCCTCATAATTCCATCAATCTGCACCCCCCCCCCCCCCTCTCCTCTTGTGTTGTAGACTTCCCTACATTCCATCCCATTCCCTCTCCCCACAACCTGTATCAAGCACTGTAGACTCGATCAGTGCACAGCACACGGCATTTTGGATCGCAACCATACACTGCAATCTCCATGTTATAAATACTGGCTTGGGCCACCAGCAGTATCCATCAGTGTATAGCACTCGTTCTGATTGTTAACGCATTATGTCATCTTCCTTATTGACCCAGGCTACGAGCATCACTAGAGAGTGAAGACGATACAGATGATAGGGCATGCAGTACCAACCTGCCACTCTGCGGATCGCTGACGTCCATGCACCAGCCGCAGAAACGATCCTGTGCGGATGGTGTGGCAAGGCAGTCACTACACACAGTCCGTGCCGAGCAATTCCTGCACATGTCCGGGCTGCAGAGAACATGCAAATAGAAGACATCACAGGACCGGCGGAAGCAGTTATTGATTGGTCCCGCCATACCCTAGCCTTTCATACAGTTTGTGTATGATATGGAAGGTGTACACTATGGTGTACACTATGGTGTACACATGACCTCCTCAGCAGTAAACAGATGTTGGTGGCGAAAAAGGTTGGTCCGGCCATGGCCGGGCCGACGTCGTTCCGCCGGGCCTGCATCAGTGGTAAGGAACTGAAACAGTCAGTGCAATAGCCTAGACTGAGCCAATACTTGCGCAGTGACGACAAGCATAAAGAAATCTAACAGGTATTCAATGTTGTGCAATACTGCTCGTCACAGTGCCTTTCCTGTTTCAACTAGAGCAGATTGAGTTGTTTCAACTAGAGCAGATTGAGTTGTTTCAACTTGAGCAGATTGAGAAGCTGCTCAGAGTGTACCTCCATAGGCACAATGCTCAGTTGTTGACACTGAGAAGTGGTGCAGCACGGATTTAAGTTAAACCGGGCTCAGAATTGCATGACTAACCTGTTTGAGAAGTAGAGGCGACACTGTCCGTAGGCATTGACAAGTGGCATCTTGGCCTGATCATGACACTTTCCCGTACTGACACACCACACGCACGGCCGTGCGAACCCACCAAGCATACACTCATCGCATCGGCTACGTCTGCATTTACACATGACACAACAGGAATACTTGTGCACAGTAGCATGGTAATGAAACGTGGCAGCGATGATGCATCAGGGTTGAAGTAAAACAGGGACACGTGTTCGTGTCAGCTGATTGGGTAAAACCTTTGAACAAGGTATTCTTCATTACGTACATAACCCCACCTTTAACACACTACCATTGTGTTGCCTTTCTATACACAAGAGAGTCACGGTGTAAGGTAGCCCATAGTCAATTTAGGTCGTAGAGGTCGAAGGAAGGCGGTGTTAGAATTCAGAGACTTCTTGTTCCAATGAACTCTACATCTTAAGGGTGGTGCTCTTCACCTCTGCCTAGTCACTGTTGCCTCCGCAATCAAAGTTAGGAACCCAATCTCAGATGCATGTGTGTATGCTGAAAACTAGGTATTCGCCTTTTCACCCTTGCAACGATGTTTCGTACATTTGTATATTCAGACCAGAAGAAATGAAGAGAGGAGCAAAAGAAGCTCCAGTGCCTTAGGATTTACCACCTCATGAATTCCTTTACAGTGAACTAGGCCACACATTCTTACTGAGGACAAGGAAGAGGACATTCTTGCTTCATCCTGACAGTAGAGGAGCTTGCCACTATGCTTCCAATCGTTCCTGGTGCGATCAATTGGCAGAATCCATTCATATTCCACTCACATGCTATGCTCTGTACACGCATACACACATACACACACAAAACGGCCCAATGAATATCAAGCTCCACCGGTGTATATTGAGGAGAGCCAGATGCAATGGTGACATACTGAGCCCTACCACAATGGGTACAAGCAGAAATGTTGTCTACAAATAATTCCTACAACTCCTAAGCAAGGCTGTTCACCAGTTGAAACGTCTGCTCACAGATGATGAACATACTGAAAGCATGAGAACTGGACTAAATGCCATTGGTCCATCATTCAATTCAGCGGGGAAACTCTTTGGACGAAAACATAATTCCTGAAAAACATTTCTGCATATGTCGCAGTTTTAGAATTGCATTTAAGTCTAGCCATGCTGTACATGAGCAGCTAGGGACAATGACTGCTGCCTGTTACGCCGTCCCCCTCCCCCACAACCATCTTGCCAAAAAAGATAGGATACACTGCAAGAACATCATATTGGTTGTAAATTATCGTAATAATAGGAAAGCAAGAATGTTGAGTAGCCTTGCGAGGTATGTTTACGAAGGTACTCGGGAATTCGGGTAGCACCCACCGACTTACATCCAGACAAGCATCGCATGTATCACGATGTTGACACGATAGGCAGCTAGCCGAGTCCTGAATCCAGCTGGAACCATTGAATGTAGCTGGTCCAGGGCAGGATCCGATTTGAGTGCTGGACATGTGCACGCAGGTTCCTCTCTGCGCACACCATCCACAAGAACTGTTGGTGACGCACGCCGAGCAGTCCGTGTGCGCTCCGCATGCATCACTGTAGAAGTGGAACGCCAGTGGAACCGCCGAGAGTGTACCCAGCGTGTTAACCGCAGGCTCATGTATAGCACTGCTATACTCAACAGGAGCTGCAGCACCGAAGCTGAGAACATCAGCAACATCCACGGTGGGTACTGGGACGGTCGTTGGCAAACGTTGCTCAGTAGGCGCGGAACGCAATGACAGGGAACTATCTGAATCGAAATACACGGGCTGTGATGATGGAGACTTCGCTACAATACTCGGTTCCTCAATAAAGGAATGCACACCGCCCAGGGCTTCCGGACTGGAATTTCGGCCACCTGGTACCTATATAAAAAAGCAAAAAAAAAAAAGAGATAGAGCGTGTAAGTCCACGGGAAAATAGGGCTGGCATGAACACGGTATTTCACAAAAATCTACTTCAAGTCTAACTCAGAACATGCCCTTTGTATGTGATGCACACAAGTGGAACTTCACCGGCTAACTCTTCTTATAACGTTATTGACCACAATGATTGTCAACTTATCATGCAAACCATAAAATTACTGTTGTTACACAACTTGATAACCTACACACATATGCATATGCAAATGTGCACAGACATGTACACGTGGATACACTTGCACACCTACCCATGCACACACATGCGCATATGCACCCCCCCCCCCCCACACACACACACCCACATACACAGATACAAACACAATTACAGCATATAACTGACCAGAGTAACATTAATGTCCCCGGACACGGGGTCCTGAGTGTTGGGATCCGACTCAGCAACGACGCGCAGCCACACCCAACCATCGTCAATGTGCACGAAGAATATGCTTTCCACCGGCTCGCTGACATTAGAAAGCGCAGTCACAGAAGCTGCTGTTTCCTGTACCAACAACGAGTACAAACAGGAGAAAGGCTAAAACGTGCCACATAGATCCTATACTTGATGATCGTCCTTTTTTCAGAAAAAATGAGGAGGGTGGGCGGATTTAATTTTTAATTTTTTTAATGCATTATTGCTTGATTTATGAGGGTGTGTTTGGTTGGTACGATCTGTAACAGGATCATGGCGAGCAGCTGATGCACACGGAGCAGCCTCATGCCAACTAAACGGTACTCCAGAAACAGAGCACATTTTAGTGAAACGTGTGCCAAGTTTGGTTGTATTCTTCAAAATGTGTACGAGTTTGGAACCAAAATCGAAGTTCCGGTCAGGTTTCACCGCGAAAAAGCGAAACTGCTCGGTCTCCGTACGTACGTATATGTCGTCTCGGAAGGTTGAGAACGAACTGCCTCTTCTATCCTCGCCACGCCACACCTCAAAACGAACTAGTCAGTGGTTTTTCTCTAGAGCTAGAGAGAGAGCTTTTCATAGTTTACTTCAAGCGGCGACGGAAGAACTCATAATGGAGAACTAACACTGACAACGAATGACTGACGACTGTCAACAAACGTCTGACTCTGACAACGAATGACTGACAACTGACGACGAACGTCGGACAACTGACGACTGACATGGCAAAAGGAAGACATGATAATCATAAATTGGTGCCCTCGTCAGCACAAAAAGGTGGTGTACTCAGCACAAAAAGGTGCACGTGTCAACAACAAAGCAGCGCAGCAGCATGTACGGGTCAGCAACAAAGCAGCGCAGCAGCATGTACGGGTCAGCAGCACAGAGACACAAATACAGCAGCAGCTACGACGAAGAGACAACACGTGCAGCCACATGTACACACAGAGACACAAATACAGCAGCAGCTACGACGAAGAGATAACACGTGCAGGCGCAGGTACAACACTATCCCCTACCAAAAAAAGACATCCACTCCTGTGGATGGAAGCAAAAGTGAAGTGTATAAAAAACGGAAGGAGACAGACCGGAGAAGAAGACAGAAAGACAGGGGAAATGAAATATGAAGCAACATAAACAGGCGACAATAAAACACAAAAGAGGTGGGCCACAACTGTTGAATGCATGACGAGTAGGCCAGGAGGG